TTGTTCCCTAGCACCACATTTCCTTCTCTCTTCTGGAATACTGCTTCCCCGGACTAATGTAACACTAACAAATACCCTTTCTTCCCCCTACCCCCCAAAATAAACCAAACCATTCAACATCTGTCATTTGTGAAGCTGAGAAGTGCTGGAGAAAAAAAATCACACCAGGGTGTCTGATATCAGCATAACTTTATAGTGACAACCTCAACTGTGCGCTCTCTTATTTTCCACAATAACTGTCTTAAATCTTCAACCTCACCTTCCACATCACAGAGATGATAGAAGTCATCAGATGAGGGCTCAGTAAACTCTTTGCCACTGCCTCCTACAAATGTGTCTACTTACCCTTCCTCATTGCCTTCTAGTACAAGATCCTATGCTCAGGACTCCAGCCGCTCCTGCCTTTCTGGAGACCTTGAACTATCTATTATCTCTTCTTTTTCTGTGACTTTAACTTCTTTCTCTCTATAGGATCTTTCACAGCACACCTTCAAAATAAAGAAAGAATAAGTTCTGGGGGCGCCTGGCTGGCTCAGTCAGTAGAGCATGCATGCAACTCTTGATTTAAGGGTTGTGACTTCAGGCCCTATGTTGGGTGCAGAAACTACTAAAAAGAAAAGAAAGGAAAAGATAGAATAAATTCTGTCTTTGTCCAACTTCTCCCTCCAGCTGCTGCTTAACTTTCACTTCCCTTCATGGTCACTCTTCTTGAGAGAATCCTACTCATGTACTGTCTCCATTTCCTCACATCCTGCTCACTCTCCAGTCTGTGCGCACCACTCCAGTGTCTTTTTTTTTTTTTGTAAAATATTTTATATTTAATGAAATAGTACTAAAATTCTTTTATTATTATTATTATTATTATTATTATTATTATTATTATTATTATTGTTAGGTTAATCACCATACATTACATCATTAGTTTTTGATGTAGTGTTCCATTTAGTACTAAAATTCTTACCTCATGCCCCACTGCTCCCCGGGACTGCCCTTCACCAAGAGCATAAACCACTTCTATGTTGCTAGGTTCAACGGTTCCTTCTATTGGACCACTCAGCAGCATTCAACATACTCCATGCTCTCCTTCTGGAAATGCTCTCTTCTCTTCCCTTCCCTTTTGTGACACACTACTTTATTAGTATCTATCTTTCTACCTACCTAGCTGCTTTGTGTTCATCTCTTTTTCTCGCTCTTTATCTTTCACTGACTTTGAAAAGTTGGAATGTTCCATGGCTCAGCTCTAGGGCTTCCTCTCCTTCCACACGCTTCCCCTCAGCCCATCTGCTTCACTTCTGTAGCTTTCACAGCAATCTACACTCCCATGGTGTTTCACTGCTCTTAGAATGAAGCTCTTACTGAGACAAAGAAGACCCTGAATGACCTCCCCTGTCTGCCTCTGTAGCTTTTGCCCTTACTTCCTGCACTCCCAACAAACTGGCTTTTTCCATTTCCATCACAGCACCATGGTCCTCCATACCCTGGCCATTTGCACATTTTTCTCCCATTGCTTGTTACAGTCCACCCCCACACCTCCCAAGTTTGGCTGTCTGACTTTTAGTCATCCTACAGAGCTGAGCCTCAGTGGCACTTCCTCAGAGAAGCATTTCTTGCTTCTCGGACTAGGCCAGCCTCATTTTTTTTTCAGGCTCAGTTTTTACATAATTTTACAGTATACTCTCCAGATTATATTTATGTAATTTTTATTATTCATTCCCTCACCAGCCATTAAGCTCCACTGCCTGTTGCTCAATGTCCCACATATAGTAGGTATTCAGTATAATGCATTAATTCACTGAACAAACGTCTTCTTTCAAGAGTCCTTTCCAATTTTATAAGATGTAGGCCTCGTGATGCACCTCTAATCACTATCCTAACAATTCAGGAGAGATCCCATCCATTTTTAAAAATACAAACCCACACTATTGACTCCCCAGGAGTTTTCTGGAAAGGGCTGCAGACCAGTGAGGCGGAGAATTAGGTCATTGCCCTTTATGATAATTAGAAGGGGCTCTTTGCCAAGCTTCACCAGATGCATGAGAGCCTGGTGCAGACCACAAGCACTAACATGGTGATGTGCTGACTCCAGCAGGAATGGGGCTAGTCTCATCAGCTGCTGTGCGGCTGAATGCCAGTGTCTAGTTCAAGATGCGGCTCAGAACGGTGCTACTTGCTCCTTGAGCCTACTTGCCGGGAGTTTTGGCCAGCTTCTGAGATGCAGAAGCAAAGACAGCAGAGGTGGTGAGGCAAGCTTCATTGGTGGCTGACTGTATCTTATTAACGGGAAGACAGGCCATCAGCCCCATGTGCTCTCTTCATGCCCTGAAAAAGCCATGGAAGAGTGGCACCTGGTCTCACCCTCTGTGGCTGAACAAGCCTGCTAGTATAAGGAAGAGATTTGCTGGCATTGTAGGATGGAAGGCCCTCTTGTATCAGGGTTACAAGAAACTGCTGCAAGGAGTGTAACTGGCTGGCAGCCTCTAGCTGCCACACTTTAGAATCTGCTGCAGTGGGCTTTGCTCAGCCAACGACTGGTTCATTTCAGACCAGCACTCTCCCTCAAATTCTACCTTGAATTTTCCCTCAACAGAGTTTTGTCTCCCTTTAACAGTGCGTGGTACTGTGCTCGCCTTGAGACACAGGTTGTGGTGGAATTTGAAATAGGAGATAATTTCCTGGAATGACTGGTCTAGAGGGTGCAGTTCCTACTGGATTCAAAGACAGGCGCCATCACTGCTCATTCTTTATTTTAGGGGAAAGAGGATGAAGAGTGCTCCTTCGGAAGTCTTCTTCCTAGGTATCTGAAAGAGGGCCCTTGGGGGGATATCACCTTGGACTTCCCTTCATACTGATTTAGCTCACAAATCTAGAGTCAACCAAATTTCCAGAACCCTGCACTTTCCCTAATGTTATTTATGGAAATGACAGGTAGCCACACTGTTCATCCTGCTAATTCCTAAACTGCACATAAAATATGTGCTCATCTTACTAACATTCAAATTTTCCGTGAAATAGACAGCATTCACAGGGTATTCTCAACAGAAACAGGAACAGAAATAGGTTTCTTCTATTAAAATTACATTAGGATTATTTTGGTTGCAGTTTAAGGACTTAAACTCATATGAGCAAAGCCCCCCCAAAGGGTGAATTTATTAATTTAAATAACAAAGAAGTCCAGTAGATAGAACTGGCTTTGCACATTATTTCTTGTTCATTGCGCATAAAAGCTTCCAACAGCCCTGGCTTACCTGCTCCTCACGGATGCTGATCTAAGAAGGAAGAGCTTATTACAAAAGGTCCAGGAAAACATACAACCTTGACCTGGCCAGTATGAGCTATAAGCCCATTTCTTAATCAATCACTATGGGTAGGTAGTAGAGGTGTTCTACATGGAAAATATTTGCAATTTATATAATAAATGACCTAAATTTTTTATAGTGAGCATACATTAAAACTCCTATAAATAAGAAAAAGAAAAATGACCTAAGAAGAATATAGACAAAAGCCACAGAAGAGGAAAATGAGTAACAATAAAAATATGAAAAATTCTCATTAATAACAGTATTCAGTGAAATAAATGTAAATTAAAACAATGAAATACTATTTTTACTCTATTCAAATGTAAGAATTCAAAGGCAAATGTTGATGACAGTGTGGGGAGATGGGGCCTCCCATACATTGCTGGGGAGTAAATATACCATCATATATCCATACTTGAGATGACTCTGTTGTCCACAGAAATAATGGGTAGTGCAGTATGTGTTAGCATGGTAAAGTCTCCCAGACAGATTGTTCAGTGGGAAAAGGCAATTCACACAGTAGAATGTTTTGGAAGCTGTGGAGTTGCACCTTTAGGAGAACTTGCTGCAAGGAATGTGACTGGCTGACAGTCCACAGCTGCCAACTCCAGGGACTCATGAAGCCAAAGAATGAGGGTACATCAACACAAGGCAAAAAATCTTAAGCAGTGTGGTAAGTTCAGTGACAGCGATGTGCATGATATAGACACAGACATGGACACAGAGACACAGATATGTGCGTGCCCAGAGGAGGCAAACCCAATGCAACTTTGGGGAGATATGGGACTTTGGATCTGGGGTGGCTCCCAGGAAGGATGATGATAAAGTGAGATGTTAACTGGGTACAGAGAAGAGGAAAACACTCCAAGCGGGAAGAACAGCATGAGCAACTCATGGAGGGAAGAAAGCTGTGCACAGGGAACTGACAACAGGTTGCTAAATACTAAACTAGAGGCTTGGATTGCAACAGATGAGGCAGCGAGATAGGCAGAGTCCAGCAAGGCCTCCTTTGTCATCCTAGAGAGGCTGGAATAGGTTTGCATGTGGCGAGAAGCCATGGAAGGCTTTGGAGCAGGAGAGTCCATCTGAGAAGAGATTAGAGGATAATAAGACACAGGTGAGAACAGACAGGACGCTGTCACTGTCTTTCAGAGAGGGCGAATGTCTGGAAAGGACTTTGGGATAGTGTTATACTAGTTGGAATCAATGGAGGGGAAGAAATCTAGGAGCATGGAGTTGGTACCATCTGTAGGAATTGGTATTGGGCTGGAAGTAGGAGGTGGGGTGAGAGATGGGGAGGAGCCCGATTAGAGACACCCAGGGTTCTGGGGTGAGGGCAGAGAGGTGGTGAACTGAATCAGATCAGGAAACCTATACCTCAGGGAATACAGTGATGGTTGCAAAGGCATCTGGTATTGTCCTTCTGCCACCGTCTTAAAAGGGATTCTAAAGGGATTTTCTTTCCCTTGTTCCTCCAGCACTACACTTGCATTACTGGCCTAAGTGGATACTCACCAGCTGGCCGTGTCCATCACTACAGCCAAGTCTGAGAATTCTCGAGTATACTTAGAGCCTGTGGAGCTGCTGACACAAACAGTCATTAGCAGACGACCCTTTTGTAACCAACTATGCTTTAAAATGTAAACTGTGGGGGCATTTTGCTTGCATTGTCCAGAAGGAACTTTCTCCTGCCTGAGCCTGGATTAATCATGAGAGAGCTCGTCAACATTCCACTGGTACATATTCTTACTTTGGTTGCCTTCAGCGGGACTGAGAAACTTCCAAAAGGTTTGTTTCAGGAATCTTGTCTTCTTGTTGCCTTGTCACAGTTCTAGAGAGTGAGTGTGTGTGTGTGTGTGTGCGTGCGCGCGCGCTCTCTGAACACAACCGATTCGTATGTTGATGGGCTTGGGTGTTACTTGGTGAAGTTGGGGTACAATGTATGGAGAGGGAGAAAACTGTTCAAGTAAGCAGTTGCCTGATGGTCTCATTTCTACCAGCATCCCTCCCCCGCTTAAGTTCTGCAACAACAAGTTTAGCCACCCAGTCCAGGCGGAGCTCTCACTTGTAGGGAACCATCAGCAGGTAGACTGTACGTTATCAAGGTCCGTTTTGTTTGTGTGTGTGTGTGTCAAACTTCAGGGTGGTCTAAAGATGATGAAAACTTTCTCACATTAGGTTTGCCAGGAATATAATCAACCCTACTCCCAGATGTCCAGATTGTTTGCTTCTGAACAAAAATCATTTCCATTTTCAGTTTCAGTTTTGCAAGATTCTGAGTAAATATTTTAGTTCCTAAAAATTGGAATTAAAGAAAGACTCACACCATTTGCCTATATAATAAAAGCCTGAAGACAATGAGTTCTCAGTAACTTTGAGGTTGGAGGCATGATTTGGCTTGGCAAGAGACTGTGAAAGTTTTTTTTCAGAGCCTTTGGAATGTACCGGAAATAACACCACCTCAGGGAAAGGAAAGCAACTTAAGAAACTGACAGACACCTGTTGCAGTAGCAAGAATGTCCACAGTGATATGGTTTCTGGCCAGTGTATTATGAAACTGAGACGAGTGTATTTCAAATCAGGAAGAAAGACAGGAAAATATGTGATTTGCAAAGTGACTGAGGGCTTCTTTGAAAATTTTTTTAAAGACATGAGTAAGACTGATATCAGTTAAAGGGTTTTCAGATTAAATGTATTAGAGTAAAAAGAATTTTGTGTTTTATGATACTCTCGAATTAATTATTTTCCCCTCTATGTTACTTTCCCAAAGAACTGAACACGTTTGTATTGTGTAGGTAAGTGAAGGTAGTATCTGTATGTAGATGGGAAACGTAGCTTTAGATTTTGTGGTTCACTAGAATTCCAGGAGCCACAAGGGCAAGACTGCTAATGAGATACAGCTTTCCTCACAAACAATCTGATTTCATAGATTCATGTTGTTTTGTTTTCCTTCTTTACCTTACACAAGCAGAAAGGTATCTTCAGATGTATTTAAACGTTTAATCGCCAACAAATACTTTAGGGTATCTCCAGATAAGGAAGAATCTAGATCTTTTCAAACAGCTAATAATAGACAGACTTAACATTGGCTTCAGATTATTTTAATACTTCCTGATCATACAACGGATGTCCGGTAAGGTAGCACCTGAATGTTCACACATACGGATTGTGACAAGTCTTACTTGTGCTATTCTAAACCACAAAGTTACATAAAAATGACATGGTTAAATGCTAAAATTCACTAAAATTCAGTCTCATAAGGAGCAAAAAATTAATTTTGATGGTTCACATCAGGATTTGGTACAGTAAAAAAAACCTATCTCTCCATATAAATAACCCCTAATTTATATTCTAGAAAGAAATGATTTATAATTTCCAGACTTTACAGGTAAAGCCCTTAATTCAAATGCACACTATCTCTAGTTTGAGAAATTCAAAATATGGTGATATAAAGATAACAAAGCCAAAAATTCTGGCTTTTAGATAAAATGATCAGATTATTAATCCAAATTTATTTGTTTGTAACTTATTTACTACTATAATTAGATTATAAAATCAAAAAATTAAAAGAATATTTTTGCCCAGTCTCCTGTATTTATGGTAAAATTTAAACTAGTATGAACCTAACACCAACCCTAGCCAAGAATACCAGGCCTAGTAGAACAAACATCCATTAACTACACACACCTGCTCTGAGAATAAACATCATTGTCAGAATTCATGGAATATACTGGCACAGAACCCACAAAAATATGCTATCATTTTAATACTACGAAAAGTAATAAAGATGTTCCACACAAACTATCTCATAGTTACTTTCTCTATTCTTGACAGAGAATAAAAAGAGTTTTTTAGATGGATATCTTTGTCCTAAGTCCTTTATCATGAATGAATCAAGAAATCTGCACAAGAATGTGTTACAAAGTAGACTGACAGATTTTAAATAGTGCAAGAGTAATTAGTGGATTCTTTTCTAACTGTCCATATACCATTGCCTCAATAAAATTAACAATAGACTTTGTAGAATTAATAGTTTATTGTTTTAATTTTAGTTTGAGATTCCCCATGTTCAAAGACAAGGGGAAAAGTCACTTGTTCTGAATCATTCCAACTAGTGATACTTAGAACGATGAGCTCAATATCATAACCCACAAGTAGGAGAAATTTACCAACCTTCAGGTATGAAAGTACCCAACATTTCATTGAATACTTGCCTTAACCACATACTTCACTAATATTTAGTGCTTTATCAGGGAATATTAAGTGTGTGGTGGGATTTAAAGTCTGTAGGAGTATAGGAGTTCATGGAAGCAGCTCTAAGTGTGTTTATTACGCACAAAGAACTCCTGTCCAAATGCCACTTTACTCCCATACCTAGAGGTTTCTGAGTCTAAGTGATCTATCTTCAGATATATTTGAGTAATTTCCTCTTCTGCATCGTATGTATACAAAGACAGGATTCACAGATTCAACGTATGACTAGGCACAGCTGTCACTGAAATCCAGGACACCGAGTCCTGGATGAATATTGACGTGCACTGAAAGAGCAACTCATTGCGTGTTTGCTTTAAATACTACTGACCTTAAAGAACAGAAAGAAGGAGCAGAAATGTCAAGATTTCTGCCACATTTCCAGAGTAGGAGGCAACTTCTCAGTGAAATAGGACTTAAGATCATGGGAGAAAGGGACAAGTGAGGGACCCGAAGGATGTGGCCCCATTCGGGAAAGCGAGCAAAGGAGCAGACCAGAGAATGCAGAAGAACTACTTTGGCCATGCTGAGGACCCAACTGGGCTTGGGGAAGGAGCCTTTGTCATGGCCTTAATTTGCACGAAATTACTGTTTTCACTTCATCTAACAATACTATATGCACATAGGAGCAGCGAGGACAGCTGGTTGGATTAGTTCAAGGTTGGTGCTCCCCGGGGTCTAGCTAAAGGACTAGAGAGTAAGGGAGCTGAGATTATGTGGCAACACACCGTGCAGTCGAGGATGAATAATGAAGGCAGTGAAGTGAGGACATTTAAGGCCTGGAAGAGAACATTAATTTCAAGTTCCTTTTCCTAGTCTCCAATGTCTTTCCATGTGTTTTTAGGGACAGTAGGTAGTCTCTGTGAGCCTCTGTTTCCTCATAAAATGAAGACGTGCAGAGTAGTGTTCAAAATATAGCATTATATACTATGCTAAGGACTGTCAATGACTGGGGAAATGTTCATCCTTGGGTAACATGCACATTTTAGATTGGTCCCTATGAAACTATGTCTTAACCCAAATGAATTCCCCCAGGAGAGGCAATTTCAGACATTCTAACTCCTACCAGCCTGTGACCAGTACCATTCCTGAAGACAAGGACAAAAGTGCGTTCTGTGATAAAGAATGAATGATACCACATTAATAAGTGACTGAGATTATCGATGAAGTTTACAAACTCCAAAGGCATCATCATAAAAAATAACTTGCATTTTATTATATCACCAGTAGAATAAATGTGTCAGTGTCTAAGCTAAATGATGAGCAATACTGAATATCCTCTTTCTTTGGGGAATCTGAAAAATTTCCAGCACCAAAACGTGTTTTCTCATACTGAAAAAACAATACTGTATTCATGATATTAGAAAAAAAACATGAATATATCCCAAGTCTGAGCTCTAATTTTCTTAAAACAGAAAGAAGCAAAAACACCTGGCTTCTTGGTTTACTCAGTCATTTGGTCGTGTTAATCAACAACTATTCAATCAGAAGCTGGTATGTCAATGGCCATGTGGTTGAGCCCATAAAAGGGTAATGTCATGTCCTTCTCATCAAGCAGCTAGGATTCAAGTTAAGCTACTCTTTGGGTACAGGAAAATGTTGTGCTCATTTTCATGTATTTGTTATTCATGTGGTCCTTGGATTGAGGGAAGAAATAGTGCCCTAGTTTAAACAGACTCCGGCTGAGATGAAAGCTGAATAAGAGAATGAAAGTAAACAGGAGACAGTCTGCTGAGTCAACAAATATCATTAAATACAACGATGTGATTTTGTCTGTAACGATTTGAAAGTGGATTTGTTTGGATAATTTTGAAAGATGGGTAAAGTGAACTTAACCAATTATATCCTGCCTATACAAATTGATATTAATGTAAATCTTATTTTTTCCTCTGTCTGTGAGTAGTATTAGGCTGAAGACATGGAATAGCTTAGTGTTAAAAGATAGGAACTTTAAACCAACCTTCACCTTGAAGTTCAGCTCTATAACTTCCTACTTTCATTATGTTTAGACAAGTTATTTAACCATTCTTAGCCCCCATTCCTCATCTGCAAATGAGAATAATAATAGTATCTACCTTTATGTTTGTTGTGATAAATGAGATAATGAATGAAAAGTATAATGCATGGCCCATGGCAGGTTCTTGATATTGGATGCTAAAATTATTAAAAAACAGAGTCAAACTTGACCCAAGACTGCCATGCCACTGTACATGATGGGAAGGTGTTAATCTAATAAAGTTCTTTGTAACACCTCATGTATGTCTCCATAAATGTCAAGACATTGTAACATTTACTTCCTTGATTTTAATTTATCTCAACAGTTTGTAAAAGTATTAATAGTATGTCTATTACCTCTGTCACTTTGGAAGTATCAAGTGAGAAGAAACTAAGGAATCAAGTTTATTTTATAATAATACATGGCCATGAAGAATGATTCTGAAAATATAAAATATAGAAAAGCTTACAATAGAAAAAAATCATCCCAACTTCCAAGACTACTAATGTATTGGTATATTTTCTTCCATTTTTTTCCTATGTATCATAAAAAACTGTTTATACAATTCTGCTACCTGCCACTTCTACTTAACATGAATGCATGAGCATATTCTATTATCTATACTCTTTAAAATACCATTTGCAGTGACTGTGTAAATAATACACTGTTTAGACAAGAGTTGCTGATATATGTTTAATATCCACCTCCCTGAGACAAAAAAAAGGCCCTCATCTGTTGCATTTGTTGATTCCTGTAGTGTAAATATTCCAACCACAGTTGATTTCAAGCTAACGACGAATACTGAATTGGAAAGAGATGTGCAGTAGCATGCCTTTATATACTATTTCTATTATACAGATACATTGGATGTAAATTACTTCAAGAGCGTAGATAATAGTGCAGTGTAGTAAAATAATTAGGAAGTGATCCATTTTGAGTATTATTATTTTGTTTTTGACATGATTTATTTAATTATAAATTTTTTATTTCAATTTGTTAACGAGTAGAGTTGACACCCAATGTTAACGTTAGTTTCAGGTGTACAACAGAGTGATTCAACTTCTCTATATGTTATGCTCTGCCTGTCACAAGCGTAGCCACCCTCTGTCACCTAAATTTATATAATTTAGTTTTTAATAATGGCTCTATTTAACAGTTGTCTCACAAAATTCTGGAAAAATTAGCACAAGGCTCTGTCAAGCAAGCCAGTACCAACCAGCTCCAGCAGACCCCAGCTAGAAGGCAGAACTGGGTGCCGAAACTTTCTTCCACTTCAGCATGATTAGTACAATTTAGGACGATTAATCTGTTTTGTACAGCGAAGGTCATCTAATGTGCCTTTCCATCTTGAGATTATTTCCTTGGGATAGAGTCCCAGATGTAAATATTAATGGTAAATTTGGTCATCCAGAGACCAGGAGAACCACTGAACTGTTCAGGCTTCTGTTTCTAAATTACCAAATCAAGTAACACACAGTGTTCCATATGGGCAAAGGCCAATTTTGAATGCTTCACATATATTCATTTAATGAACCCTCCTGACGAGCCTCTGTGGTGGTTTTATTATCCTCTCCATCTACAGCCAAAGATGCTGAGGCCCTGGCTGAGTGACTTGGAGCGGGAAGTGACAGAACAGGGATCTGAACTTGAGCCCTATGCTAGCGCCTCTCATTCTTTGGGCCGCTCAATAGTCTTTCCTTTTAAACAGTGAAAGCATTCAGTGGGGGAATGGGGTCGTCGGGGGATGGGCATTAAGGAGGACACGTGATCGGATGAGCACTGGGTGTTATATGCAACTAATGAATCGTTGAACACTATATCAAACACTAATGATGTACTATATGTTGGCTAATTGAATTTAAATTAAAAAAATAAAAAATAAATAAACAATGAAAGCATTCAATATTATCAATTCACCTTTGGGCCCATCATTATCTGCATCCAACAAATTTAATAAATATTCACTTTTTATTTCTTAATATCTGTATTACTATACAGTTGATATCTTATTTCATCCATGGGAACCTTCATGCCTATGTAAAAAAGATGTCATTTCACCTAAAAATTCTGCTGTCTTATTTCAGCTATTCTCTTCCCACCTTTAAAAAAATATATGCCTTTTATAAAGGCCTCGGAGATACAGTTCATTTAAACATCACATCAGTCAGTGTGCTAACCCTGGGGATAGAAAAAGGTCTAAGACATGGTCCCTGGCCCCAAAGCTCAAGATTTTTACAATTAAGTATGGGACAAAGACATAAACAGATCATTTTAATCGCACCCCTGTGACAAGTGCTATAAGAGTGACATTTGCAGGATGACCTAAGGTTCAGAAAAAGGGCATTTGGCTCTGTCTAGCAAGTCTGGGAAATTGGGAGAAGATGCTGCTTAAACTGGATCTTAAGAAAATAACACCATTAAGGAGGAAGATGTGGGCCTCATGGGACACTCGAAAGCACCGTGTTCCCTTACTCTCGGCCCATGAGTTTGTCTCTGAGTTTACTGAAAAAAGAAGGTTCGTTTAGATAGTGGATGCATGTTTTATGGCCAATGTGCCAGTTTGTTTTCATGAAGCTGTCACCCCCTACCCTCCAGCTAAAATATTGTTCACACCACTTACTTGGCTGTCATGTGTACCTTGCATTTTAACTAAAATGACCATATAATTTATTGTCCAAAGTCAGGCACTTTTGGAGTAGAGGGCACTATCAATAATTGTGCCAGGAGAGCAGGCATAACAGACTATTTAACTGATCGTTTTATTTATCTATCCATCCTCATTATCTAGATTGTGGCAGAGATGGGTTTTACACATCTTTGTTGCTTCTAGTGAACCTGGTACTTGCTACATGGAAAACAGTAAATAAATCTCTGCTAAATAATAATAATCATAACAAAGTGGTAATGATAATTATTTTAAATAAGATTATGCAATGGGGTAGATTTCCAGACCCACCCAAATACAGGTGTTGGCATTTTGCCACACCATCCAGCCCTTGAGATGCCCAGGACCCCACCCTGTTTGCTTTGGTGGATTCACAGGTTTCCTTAACCATTAAAGAGGGGTGCATCCCACTCCCAACCTGCTCTCTTCCTTCTTAACTTCTTTGTCCTCCTAACTCTTATAATCCAAGTGACCCTCATTTCATAGAGGGACAGGAAGAGAGAGGACCATGTCCCAGCCTCTCCTCCTGTTGTCTTTCTTTTCGTGGAACACACACACACACACACACGCACACACAGAGGCACATACACACACAAACAAAACAACAACAAAACACAAAAACAAAAACAAAACCAGCTTTGGGATATAACTCACATACCACCCACCTTACCCACCTAAAGTATACAATTCACAGAGTTGTGCATTTATCATCAAAATCAAGCTGAGAACATTTTCATCACACCTACAAGAAATCCTGTGTCCTTTAGGCACTGATCACCCCCTAACCCCTCCATTCTCCCCCACCCCGGTCCTAGGCAGTCACTAATGCATTTTCTGACTACAGAATGGCCCATCTGGACATTTCATATAAATGGAATCATACAGTATGTTGTTCTTGTGGCTGGCTTCTTTCACTTAGCTTACTGTTTCCAAGGTTCATCCATGTTGTGGTAAATATTGGTACTTCATTCCTTTTTACTGTCAAATAATATTCCATGGTTCAGATATACCCATTTTGTTGACCCATTAATCTGTTGGTAGACACTTGGGTTGCTTCCACCTTTTGGCTATTGTGAATAACACTGCTATGAACACAGTTGTATAAATATCTGAGTCCCTGCTTTCAATACTTTTGGGTATATATCCAGAAGTGGAACTGCTGGATCATATGGTAATCTTAGGCTTAATTTTTTGAGGAGCCACCATATTGTTTTCCACAACAGCTGCACCATTTTACATCCCCACTAGCAATGTGCAAGGGTTCTAATTTTTCCACCTCCTCGCCAAGTAAGTGGAATGTTGTGGATGTCAAGTGGTATCTAACTGTGGTTTTGGTTTGCATTTCCTTAACAGCTAATGATATTGAGCATCTTTTCACATGCTTACGTCTCCCACACAAGTGAAATTTATACAAACTCTTTGAAGAAATGTCTATTCGGATCTTTGCCCATTTTTTATTTGGATATTTTGTCTTTTTACATATTCTTTTCCTAATTTACTCACATGCAGATCGGAATTCTTTGTAAATCTGATGAAGCTTGAGCTACAAAGTCTTTTAAAACCCTCAGTGGGCTCTAGCAATGTGCTCATATGAACATATATTATTATGAAATTTGGAAAAAATTGTCTTTAAACAATTGTTACGACCTCTTTCCACTCTGATTCCCTTTTGTCACACTTCCCTTCAAGTTGATTTGTGTTGGGTGGCCACAGATATATTGTATGTATAATTTTATATTATTTTCCTTAAGGTGTGTACCCAAATTACATAACTTTGGGCTTCACAAAACCTGGATCTGCCCCTACTTATATAAAATAAATTCCTACTCTCCTGAGAGCCTTCTCTTTTGATTCTCAAACGCCTAGTTTGAAGTAGAAACAAAATTCTCTACATAAGATCTTCCTTCCTTTTGGCAACTTTCTGCTACAGGGAAATATAATTCTCATTCAGGTACGTGGTTGCCTCTGACTGCTCACAGAGGATTAGTAAACAGCATTCTAGGGTGTTCTCACCTGATGTCTCTTCTCCTTGTAGCTCCTGTCATCACTACTCCTCTGGAAACAGTGGATGCCTTAGTTGAAGAAGTGGCTACTTTCATGTGTGCAGTGGAATCCTATCCCCAGCCTGAAATTTCTTGGACCAGAAATAAAATTCTCATTAAGTATGTATTCTGCCTTTTTCTGTTAAGAATACCCACTGCTGCCTTGCAATTTAACTTTGTCATAAATGGAATCACAGCTCTTGGTAGTACAAAAGCTCACCTTCTAGAATATGAAAAATGCAAATGTCCTCATTTTATAAATGTAAGATCTGAATGTCAGTGAGGTTAAGAGAATTGCCCAAAGCAAAACCGAGACTTCGCTGACATGGGGACATGTGGGCTATTTCCAGGACGCCATTAGAAAATACCATGACATCCTCAGTCTGGGGGCACAGAGCACATGTTTCAGGACATGCTGGGGAATTAACAGGGACCAGACTTCTCTCCTCTACTTCTACTACCCCAATCAGGTAAAGTATGTTGTCTAGGAACCTGACCTCTAGGTCACCGTAACTTTTTCTTTTGAAAGTCAGAAGGGGTTCCTGATATATAATGAGGCAGCCTCTCCAACAGATAAAATTCCCACTTGACGTGAAAAGGTCATGCTCTCTTTTCCTCATTTACAATAGTTATCTGATCAAAAACACTGTAAAAAAATCTGTAAGGCAGGGAACCTGGCTTCCCAGCAGGCAATACAGCTTTGCACTAGGGCCAGAGTGCTTATACTGGTAGCCACAGATGGAGGTCCATGAACTTGCATGAGGAAAAGTTACGTCTTTATTTGCACTAAACCCTAATGAAATTTAGTGTTTCCTTCTATGACACATGTTGTAATGTGGGAAATTACCCTGTGCTGTGGTCACCTTCAGGTTGTCTCCCAGGCAAGCTATTCCCAAAGTGCTGTGATAAAAAGGCTCAAAATAAGATGCTTGAAATACAGTTGACCAAATCCATTTAAAATAAAATAAAATTTTAAAAAATATAAAATATACAGAGACAAGGAGAAAGAAATGGGATAAATTAATGTACTTAGGAACCTTGGTTCACTCAGTGTTTCTATGTCCAGTCTCTCTTGTGCCTCAGACTTCCCCACTGCAGTGTTCTTATAAAGACCAGTATGGAGTCTGAGCCACAGATGGAAGGTGCCTGAAGCTAATAACATATCCTTGCTCTGTTGGAAAGATGTAAGCACATTTGGCCATGACTCTAGCTTGCCAATGAGCCTGCTGAACAGCCATGGATTTTAAGTGTGTTTCTTGGGTAGAGTTCATGGGACCATAAAGGGACCACATATTTATTTTTTGAGAGAGAGAAAAAGTGAGCGAGCAGGGAGGGGCAGAGGGAGAAAGAGAATCTAAAGCAGGCTCCATGCCCGGCACTCAGAGCCTGACATGGGGCTCAATCCCACAATGCCAAGATCGTGACCTGAGCTGAAATCAAGACTCAAACACCCAACTAACTGAGCCACCCAGGTGCCCCAAGGGACCACATTTTATGTCACCAATGGGTGGTTGATTTAGGGATGACAGAGCTGTCAGTCTAGAGGTGGCATGATTATAAACTTGTCTTTCCATCCCTTTCTACTCGAAGCCATAATCTTCTTTGTTCCATCATATTTTCTATTTCTATCAATCTTTGGCAGGTTGCTATTTTATTTACTGCCTATATTCAACACACCTTATCAGCTTTCCCTGTGTTTCACAAGTCACTCTCCTGTCTTCCTCTAACATGAGTCATTGTGCCAATATCTCCTAAGCTATTAGCTTACGTTTTACATGCTCCACATTTTCATGAGTTTTATCTATTATTTATGTCTTTGTCTTCTATAGTAAAATAAATAAAATAATGTCTTTAAATAATACAGAAAAACTTCATTGTAAATATGGATCATGAATCACAGTAGTCATAAAAGAACTTGTGAAGTTATCATGGAAGCTAGATAGCTTTGTATTACATTACAGCTGTTGCATATATCTTCACATATTTATACCCTTCCCTACTTTGAAATTATAATAGTTGTTAGATAGTCAACATTCAGTATTCAAAGGTCAATGTTCAAAGACTACTCTCCCCACCACAGCCCTCTAACTTGTCTGGGAAGGAAGTTTGATGCCTGCATCATAAATAGCTTTGAAAAATATGGCCCTGTGATCCTCTCGTGTGTTTATCTCTCAACATTATAAGGAGATGAAGAAATGAAAGAGTTTTTTTTTTAATTACACAAAGAAAATCAGCATTATAATATATATAATTATATTATATATAACATATATTATATATTTATTCATATATATTTATTTATATATAAATAATATAAGCTCATGTTAATTTGGCTTGTAATACTATGAATAAAATCACTTAATACATCTGAATCTTCCCTTTACTATAAGACAAAAATGTTACAAATAAATAAGAAGTAAATGGAGCTATAGATTTGAATAGTTAGTTGATAGTCAAAGAATCTGTGAAATAGGAAGAAACTACATTTTGAAAATATATTCCAGTGCCCTTTGAGGAATAATGAATACCTGGACACAGAAGAAACCTGAAAAGCACTACCTCAGCCAGGTGATCAAGGTCAATAGCAACAGTGAAAAATGACATTGATAGCATACCCTTGCTATGATGTGATGTGGCACTCTGCTTTTGTGATCTTCCTCCCAAAAGCCATAAACCCAGTTTTATCATGATAAAAACATAAGGCAAAGTCCAGCAGAGGGGCGTCCTACAAAATACTTCACGTCATCAAAAACAAGTAAAGTCTTAGAAACTGTCACAGTAAAAAAAAGCCTAAGGAGATATGACAAATAAATGTAATGCAGTGACCTGAATGACATCATGGAACAGACAAAGACATTAGGTAAAAACTAAGCAAACCTGAATAAACTAAGACTTACAGAAACTTGTTAATACTGTATCAATATTGGTTCATTAATTATAACAAATATACCACACTAATCTAAGATGTTCACAATAGAGGAGACTCATGAGGGAGGTATACGCAAAGTACTATCTTTTCAATTTTTCTATAAATCTAAAAGTGTTCTAAAAAATTCTATTTTAAAAATTATAAATACTTGAATATTCCTCACAATCCACAAGCAATTTACTCTAATTAAGCAACAATGATGCAAGAGCTTATAAATATTGAACACTTTATATTTCACAGAGTGGCTAGACTCTTGGTCCACAGGTACATCTGTAAAATATTCCAATGTTCATATTTTTCCATGAACACTTACACAGAGCAAAACAAAACAAAATCAACAAAATTACATGTGAGTGAGTCTCATGGCTTGCCATAATTATTTATTGTGAGTTAGTGAACTACCCAGTGATTACACTATCCTTAGTCACATTAGACCAAAATCTACCATACATCTTTTGGTTTCTCTTCAAGATCAGTATACAATGGTAGTCACCTGTTGAGATTAGAACATCAAGAATCCACTTCCTTTCCCATTTTTTGTTTTCACATTAGTTCCCTATTTCTACTGTAACAAATGACCAAAACCTTAGTGGCTTAAAATAATAGAGATTCGTTATTTTACAGTTTTGGGAGTCAGAAGTCTGAAATAGGTCTCTCTGGGCTAAAATCCAGGTGTTGACAGAGCTGCATTCTTCCTGGTGGCACCAGAGAAGAATCTGATTTCTTGCCTTCCCCAGCTTCGAGAGGGCTACCTGCCTTCCCTGGCCCCTTCCACCACTTTCAAAGCCAGCAATTCCATCCCTCTGCCCTCTACCACCACTGTTGCATCTCTTCTCATTCTTTGGGTTCCCTCTACCATCTTTCAAGGACCATCATGATTATATTGGGCCAAAGTGCACAAGCCATGATACTCTATTTTAAGACCCTTGGTATCTATAAAATCCCTTTTGCCCTGTAAGGTAACATATTCATGGGTCCTGGGGATTAAGACATGGATTTTGAGGGGAACATTTTTCTGCCTAATGTATACATTTTGCATAAAGAATCTTTATTTGGCCATAAAACCTACTTTTATGTTGATGCTTCCCCTCACATTTTTCTGTTTCCCCAATTCCCTTCTCAACAAACAACATGTAATTTAATGAGATAATGTATGTAAAACATCTATTTTTACAGTTTGAAGCAGTTTTGCTTCCTTATATATTCCAAGGAACTAGAACTGTGCTTGGCACTTGTCAGGCACTCAACAAATACTTGTTTAATAAACAAATGCTCAGTTAATTGTTAGTTACTTCTATAAATATTTAGTTCTTCCCGCTAGTCACAATTATGTGTGTGTATTCATTCCCTGGCTGCTACTTTCCAGTAATTACGGGGAGAAAACTCATATGTCTTGGTAATAATATACTTTCCTGAATAAAGTAAACTTTACGTCTGGACTTATCAATAGACATCACCTTTTGAAAGCATTCTGGAGGGACTCAGTGGTGCTTTGATTATTGGAGTCTACGGAAGATTAGAATGCAATGTTGGCTTTAAATTACCAACTAAGGTTATTATTCAGAACTCATTCAACTTTCCTTTTGCTTTTAATCTGCTTCCTCCATTGCCAAGTCATCTGTTTTGATTAGTTAATCATAGCTGAAAAACATCACACAGGAGGTCCTAACCTGCCATTGCTGTCTGTGACCTGCAGGCTCTTTGACACCCGGTACAGCATTCGAGAGAACGGGCAGCTCCTCACCATCCTGAGCGTAGAAGACAGTGATGATGGCATCTACTGTTGCACAGCGAACAATGGCGTGGGGGGCGCCGTGGAGAGCTGTGGGGCTCTGCAAGTGAAGATGAGTGAGTGGGAGAGAGCCTCTGCTCGTGATGTTAAAGCTGACCTGGTATACCCCGGAGGAGGCAGTAAATAGAGCCTCCTGCACACCTGGAGGTTCAGCAGCCAGCCAAGTTCAAGTCCAAAACACAACCTTGAGGCAGTGAATTCTACACCTTGTATTCCTGTCCTCAACTACAGGCAAGCCCAGTTCTCTAGCCTCTCCTGTTTTCTTGCCTGTCCACAGTGCTTTCTGCTCCATCCTGCCTTCTGCCACCAGGCAACCTCCCTCTCAAATCTTCTCCCTGCACCTTTAAAACAGTTCCAACCAGATGCACTTTCTATCTCTAACCTCTTTGCAGACACTTCTATCCTTTTGCCTTATTTCAAACTTGATTTTCTTGGATGACTTTTCAAACTTGAGTGGCTTTTCTGCTTCACTGGAGGCTGTTTATTTTTCCCCACTTTTCCTGTCTACAAGGCTAGCAAGGACCCCTAGCCCCCTTTCAAGCCATTACTGCTGTGCAAGATCTTTCCTCTCATGAGGACATGTGCCATTCTGACCATTCTCTCCTGTACATCTATTCAAGTCACCTACTCACTTCTAGGCACTCCCCTCCTGCCCCTCCAACATCTACCAAAGACTTTGATTCCAGATTCATTATCTTTCTAACCATCCCTACTCCTGCCACCATCCTAAGGGATTTGAACAACCATGAAACAGCCTCTAGCCATTTCATCCTTACAACTCCTGATCTCTACAAGTCCAGTGATATCTGCCTTAACTGTTTATCAGTCAACCCCATCAATGACCTTGTCACCCCCAGGAAATGATCTGTATTTAAAATTGTAAGCTCCAGTATGTCATACTCTGAACATGGACACTTCTATTTCTCACTCTGTCCCATGAAGAAAACACTTTCCCACACTCATCATGTGCCTCCAGAGAGAAGGCACAAACTCTGTCTCTTCCTCAGCTAAGAACAGAGTCCAGCTCTCTCACTCCCTTACTCCCACTATACTGCCATCACCAGCGTGCTCACGTTCTCCTGCCCTTGACTCCTCCATTCTCCCACCCACTGACGCCCAATCGGGACTTCCTCAGTTCTCTCTCCACTGGGCTTTCTCTCCTCCCTGGTGTTCTATCATCCAGCACTCTTACCAGCACCCTCAAATCTCATGACCTCCTGTGCTGGAAGCCCTAGCTGCTTGTAGACTGTCCACCTTGTCATAATGTAACCTTTATTTTCTTCTGACACCACACTGCTGATGGCAAAAATCACAACATGCGGGTGCCATACAAAATCAGTGGGGTCCTGTTCCACCTGGAACTTTTTTATTGCAAGTTATGTTGTTAGCTCTGATTGTCATCACTATTTCTTTTATCTTTTACTTTTCTACTTTGTGGTCATTGTTTTGCTGAAGGAAGTCATTCGCTCCTTCTTTTCAAAGTGTGAGCATGTGATTGTATAAAATCTAAGGATGCATTTTCTGAATCTTTGCAACACTGAAGTCTTTACTTTGCCTTTATTCCTGGATAATAATTTGTCTAGGTACAGACGAGAGTTTAAAAAGGCTCTTCCCTTAGCTTTTATTAAACAATTATTCACTGTCGTATGACATTCCACGCTGCAGCTGAGAAATCTTTTTCTTATTCCTGTAGGTAAGTCTAGTGTTTATCTTTTTTTAAAATTTTAGTATTTTCTCTTCATTTCTAGAATTCATAAATTTCTCAAATTCATAAGAATATGTTAGGTGTGGTTTTCTTTTATTATTCCTACTTAGTGTTAGGTGGGCCTTTTGTTTTTTGAATCTGAAAGAAAAGTTTTTTTTTTTTTCAAAATGAGATCTACTTTTTTCTTTTTTTTTTTAATTTTTTGAGATCTACTTTTTTCTATTTTTCTTCCTCTTCATTTTATCTAATTCTTAAACTTTTAATTAACAAATGTTAGATCTTTTTTTTTTTCATTTTTCATGACCCTAATATTTTCTCATACTTTTTCTACCTTCTTGGAGATTTATTTAACTTTTCCTTCCATATCATGAACTCAAGTCTTCAAGATGACCATTCTACTATTCTGCCCTAATACTGAGTACTTTGATCTTAAAAACCCGTATTTTTAATTTCTAGGAATTACTTCTCTGCTCCTTTTTTTTTTCCAAAGCAAACTCTGTGTTTTATGATGCAATATTTGCTCAAGCCTCTATAAGGATATCACTAATGTATTTTTATTATTTTATTTTTTTAAGATTTTATTTTATTTTATTTGAGAGAAAGAGAGCATAAGCAGAAGGGAGGGACAGAGGGAGAGGGAGAAGCAGACTCCTGTTGAGTGGGGAGCCCAACGCAGGGCTCAATCCCAAGACCCTGAGATTATGACCTGAGCCAAAGGCAGACGCTTAACTGAGTCACTCAGGTACCCCAACTAATGCTTTTTTTTTTTTTTTAATAATCTTCCTTTTCTTGCTTTCTGTTCTCTTCATGATTAAGTTTTGATTTCCTTTTGGTTCCTTTTTTTCCATGTTCATGTTTTTTCTCAAACATCTACTCATCTTTTATGTTTGATAGTACTTATAAATGAAGTCCTACAATCATTAGAATAGGGATGTAGCGGGGCTAGTGGGACATTGTGTGGAAGCTGGTCTGGGGTTCTGTGAGTGGGTAGGGGTGTACCCACAAGAAAGCTTTCTTTCAGCATATGGGCAGTGAGGAAATCAAGTAAGGAAACCTGAATGTTCTCCTTTGCTAAATAATGAAGGCTTGATTCTGAAGACAGAGCACATATAAGTATTTCACTATTTTGTGGGGCTACCTTTCCTTTGAACATTTCTCATATTCTCTCTGGCACTAAATGTTCTTTATTTTGGATCTATCCTGAGTCTTCTCTTCTTTTCTCCACATTCTCCTTAGGAAAGCTCACCCAGTCATGTGGGTATACACAGGTTTGGCCATCCCAATTGCTAACATTTTGGAATGCTCCCACACTGCTTGGTAGAGAACTCCTTCCTGAGACCCCCAAGACCCTGGCCTCCATCACTACTCCACTACCCTCGAATCTCTCCCAGGAGCTCCCTCCCCCAAGAGGTCCATCAACTAAGGGTTCCATGCTGGCATAGCATGATGCTTCCAGCATCCCACTTTAACATGATGGCCAGCCCAGATGGGCCAGTGGTCATGGCTCCACCTGAAGAGTCTTCCCTTACAGTGGGGAATCCATGACTCAACATCAATGCTTAACTCATTCCCACGTCACTTTAGCTTCAAGTTCCCACAAGAGTTCTCCTCACCTCTCACCCAACAGATGACCAAGACATCTATTTCACTGAGAAGACAGGAGTCATTTGCTTTAAACAAAAGTTATTTGCTTAAGACATTTGGCATAGGGATCAGTTCAAGGAACCCAAGGGAAGGAATGGATAACACTCTCTTGGCCTAGGTCATAGGAATATCAACTCTTAAGCTAAGCTTTTGCCAGCAGCTGTATGATAACCCAACTCACAACTGAGGTGCCTGGCCATCATCTAAATGTAGGTGTTCACTGTTGTTGATGAGGAGATTTGTGTAATTTAGATAGTGGGCAAAGTGACAAAGTTAATATTTTCCTATAATATGTTTAAAGCCTGACTTGTAATTTTGCCATAATCCAAGATCATACCAACTCTAAATGGCAATAATTGCCTAGATTAAACATCAGAAGACCATGCAGTCTTTGCAAATATCACTCCCAACCACCACTAACCGCCACATGCACAATTAAAGTGGAAGGAAAACGTCCTTATTTCACGCTTTTCTCCGACAAAGTAACACACTGATTTTAGCACACGACCTGAAAGAAATAAAATGTATCCATTTCTCAGTAGTCTCTCCTGCAAAGACAGGTCTCTGTTTTGTATCTGTAACATGAGATTCCTAAGGAAATAAATGTAGTTTTCATTATTTATGAATGTTTCAAGTAGTAAAATAACAGACTTCCTGAACTTGTCAATTCTTCTATACATTAGATTTAATAACTTCCTCTGAAAGCTTACTATTGGAGAATAAACAATAGCCGGCATAAACTATTTCTTCTGACAGAATTAATTTAAAAGCATTTCACAGAACAGTAAATTATAAAGTTTGCTTCACAGAGTACAGTTACTCTAAATTGTATGACAGAATTTCTCCAATTACTGATACAATAACGTCTAGTTTACTTTCTAGAGGATAAATGTATCTAATTCTTAATCACCAAATTTAAGAGTCAAAGTGAGACTAAAGGGAAAGGGAAAGCATAACTCAGAGTTATATAAAAAATAGATCAAATATCTCTTAAATGTTTTTGTGTCTGTTGGTATGAATTAAATGATGTTGAATTGTTACCGTGACAGTTTATTTTAATCAACTTTTCATTAACTATCTTTTAAAGTGAAGAATACTATGACTTCAAACTCCTAATATGTTTCATGAATTTGTGTTTTTCAAATAAGATATGAATAAAACAGAGATAACCTAAACTTTGAAAAATTATTTCTGTTTGATATCCACTCAAAACCTGTCTTAGCATTTGGTAAATCCTGTAATGTAATAAATTATTCTTAAAGTGAATATTTAGACTTAAATAGAAAAGAAAAAGTTTAATGCAGCCATATTGCCTTTTTAATTTTGAATTTTTGTTTCCCTTTAGAGCCAAAAATAACTCGTCCTCCCATAAATGTAAAAATAATAGAAGGATTAAAGGCAGTTCTACCATGTACTACAATGGGCAATCCCAAACCATCAGTGTCGTGGATTAAGGGGGACGGTGCACTCAGGGTAAGTGATTATTATGAAAACTTGTCTATACAACTTGTTTTCAAATACAACAAATCTTTGCAAAGTCAGTTACATGATCACAAATTTCTAGTATAAAATTGTTCCCTTATATAACATTTTAACCAAACTTAAATATTCCTCTTCCCATACACACCAACTACAAGGCATTCTGGTTGGGGTTGGCTAGGGAAGAAAAGATGGGAACCAGTTGTTCTTTATAGGGATGAAAAAGGAAGAAAAGCAAAAGCAAAGCTAGAGTGTTTCTTTGTCAATTGGTTGGTTAGTAGAACCATTTTATTTTCTGACACTGGATCTTTGAGACACGGGAGATAAAAAAGATAAAACTAAAATCCAGGTCTTAGACCCAACAAACAGTTTCTGGGAGGAGAGTGGGAAAGGAGGTTTGGAAGGCAAGGAATTAGAACTCTGGAGTCAAGTTAGAGCACAAACATCAACACTGGTGAACAAACTCCCTGACAAATACCTCAGTCACAGAACAGTCAAATTAAAAATCTATTATGTGCATGCTTATTTTATATTGCTTTTGTATCTCATACCTACATTTACTGGTAATTGATTACACTGCATCATCACTGTCACCTACTAACTGTGAACTCAGTGAGGTTTCTCATCTTACTATGCTCAGAATATTCCACAGAGAATATGTAGGTGTTGATATATGTCAATTAACTGAAATGAAGTATAATATTGATTAGCTTTGTTTTATTTAAAATAAAACAAATAATTTTGTTTATGATAATCTATATGATAATCTATAAATGATATTTTTGATGATAGCAGCGATGATGATGACCTGATGAAGTAAGGCAATGATATCTTGATAAAGCCATGGACGTTTTAAAAATCATGTCCCTATCCTTGGCAGGAAAATTCCCGCATTGCAGTTCTTGAATCTGGGAGTTTAAGGATTCACAATGTGCAAAAGGAAGATGCAGGACATTATCGATGTGTGGCAAAAAACAGCCTCGGGACGGCATATTCCAAATTGGTGAAGCTGGAAGTTGAGGGTAAGGAGTTGCATTCCTTCCCATTACGGTGCTATTAGAAGGGCCTCATGTTCTACTGTGAAGGCTGGACATTAGCTTGCAGAGGCAGACATGTGGGTAGACTAGTTCCCTTAACTGTTCCAGATACTAAAGCACAAGGTCAAAACTCTGAAAAGAAAAATTAAGAAGAGAAAGAAGTGTGCCCTAGTATAATAGGTCATATTCCATCTATTGCCCACAATCACTGGTAATTTTGACCAAAACAGACTAAATTCACTAAAATAGTAATACAGTAAGACACCAGTTCAGAACTTCTATTTGGCTTAGACAATTCTTCCTTGCTTATAAAATTTGAAAACCCTCATTTTTTCTTTTTCAGTAACTTTTTTCAGATTGTATTCTATCACAAAGGGTTGAGAAAAATAAAATACTGACTCAAAATGTATAACTAAAATATTTATTAATTAATAAAAATATTCCTAGTTCTGTGAGTTACATTGTCAAAATACTTTTCATTTTTTAAAATCTTCTTTTAAAGTCAACCAATTCAGCAGCTAGTTGTAAAGGTCTTCACTGAGAATTCAGAATCCAGATAGGGCAAGGTGTTCTACCCATTTGACTGTCAGATCCTTCTTGATCTAAAATCACATCACATTTTGCTTAAAAATAGAAACTACCAGCATGCCTGTGCTCGGTGAGCAAACTAAGTACAAAACTCTTTCCAGCTCTTCCTGTTCTATGCTGTAGAATTAATCTCTCTGGCTCCCAGTTCTCTCATCTGAAAAGTGGGATTTGTTACGAGTATTCAGTGAGGTAAGGTGTTGACAGGTAGCTAGCAGAGGGCCTGGCCCTTTGTAAACAATAACTGTTGACTATAAGAATCATCACCTATTTTTCTGCTTTTCTCTTATCTGATTGATAAAGTATTTGGGCTTTCTCACACTGGCCCACATTATAGTTCAATTGGGAGAGACTTCGGGAGTTCCCCATAGCGTACTTTGACTCCATCCTACTCACTTAAGCCCACATCTCTTCCTTCTCAATCATATAGTTTTCTATTAGCTCCTTTTAGATTATTTTTATTTCCTAGGCAGGCCTTCCTCTCATAACATTAATAATCTCCTTTCCTACATCTGCTTCTAATGTAACATCTTTATTACGTCATTGCATCAGTTGCTCATAGAATCTCTATTAACTCCTCAGAGAAAAGAAAGAAGTTGATGGGAATAATGGCTGTCAGATGTAAAAAAAAAAAAAAAAAAGATATATTTTCAGCATAGTTGCTATAATTTAGTATTTTCTGCATTAGCAATGGCATTTAAAGCTCAGTATGCAATACCCAGTTGATGGGACTTACTGAGTGAAAAACAAACATACAAACGCACTCAATCACACATTCGGACACTGACTATCTGCCTGGATTCAGTGTTTCCTTGAACTGTACATGGAATAATACAGAATGAATGTTATCCATTTGTACATAATATCATAAAGATTTTCCTCTTCAAGATATTAAATATAAGCTCTCTGTATTATAATACAGAATGCTGATAGTTTATAGGTCACTGTCTTCATAGATATTGAAAATATTTGCTTTAACACTGACTAGAGAAAATGAACACAAATCACAATTAGTTGGAGTCCAATTACACAGCTTGGTCTTGCTTTGCCATTTAATTTTGCATCCCACCTATCAGTAAAACTGAATACTGTCTTCTCTCTTCTTAACACTTAAATGGGCATGCTCATTGCTTTAACAGTTAATGTATACGGAGGTGTTATTAAACTCACTAGTATTGAGAGCTCATAATATCATTTAAAGTTACTCTAACAGCAGGTAAAATGATCCTTTTAGCACACATCTATTTCTACTCCATTTTGGTCCCTATTAAAGTAGCCAATATATGTGAAAATATGTGACAAGCTTAGCACAGTGGCTGGTACATAATAAACATTTAATAAATGGCATCAATTATAATCATTACTATTAGAGCATTAAAATTGTAGCAAATCTATGTGGCTTCTCTTGAAGTTCTGAACGGCTGGCTTCCACTTAAAGAAATAGTTAAGGCATTTCCACAAGATATAATGCAGACATGATCTATTTAAAGGAAGGGCCAATTTAACCAACAATTCAGAACAGGTGAAAAACCAACTGAAAAGCAACTGGCACAACCCCGAATGTATCTGTAAAGACCTACTAACCGGGCAATAATGAGGGCTGAAGATAAAGCTAGGCCATAGTCAGTGAGGCAGATGAGCATTTGTTATGCATTGTGTAAGTAACTCTGAAAATTAGTCTGAGCAAATTAGAATGAGAACTCCATAATGTCATTCAATGCCGGGCTATACGTACTGCACGTGGTCATGCCATGGAAAAGTTGTTTGCCATTGCTAGCTTCTAACGGGGAGAAGCATACCAATTGTGGATGATCTTAAGTGCTGTAACAAACGTGAAACAGCCTTCAACACAAAAGTTAAGCTCCCTTTCTAGATCACCATCCTCAGGCTGCTGGACCTCTGGAATGGCAACATGAAGATAGTCAACTTTTCTGTCTTATCTTAAAAGGTTCGAACAGTGACATATAAAATTACTAATGAAACCATCTAACTCAAGCATAGCCAAACATGGATGTTCTTCCAAAAGGAGGAGCAATGGGATGGCTAACATTTTGAAATGCTAAATGCTTACATGGATTATTTTATTGAATCCTTACTAACAGTCGGTGAAGAAGGTCCTATCATTGTGCTATTTTAAGAAACTAAGAAACAGAGAGGACAACTAACTCACAGAGGTGTCTAAGACATTGAGTAATGCTAAATACTGTGTACTCTATTAAGGAACAGATAATCATGTGCGACATTGCCAAGAGTAGTGTCAGAATAGGGGTGAGAGAAAAAGACAAGAGAATATAAATGATGGAGAATGGGAGCTGAAAAAAAAGAGACAGTAGGTATCAACAAATTTTTTTCAATAAATTTGGCAGAGAAAAGGGAAAAATCAAAAAAGTGAGCAGTAGCTAGAGGTATATATGGTATATCGGTAATGTTGTACAAGATTTTTCTTTTAAAAAGATTAAAATGTTAAAAAACTGAAAATGTTAAAATATGAATGAAAAGAGGCTCAGAGAAAAGGACATTTAAATATAAAGGAGAGAGGTAGACTATTCAAGGGAATGCGGTACTTGAGAAGGCAAAAACAGTGTATCGAGGGGACAAATAGAGTGATAAACCCTATACAGAGGGTGACCACTTATCCCAGTTTGCCCAGGACAGTTCTGGTTTACACCTGTTGTCCTAGAATAATTATTAATAGAATCCTCCTTGTACCTTCAAAAGTATCCAGGCTTCAATGACAGATTATATGATCACTGTACTTAGGAAGAAGGAACTTCCTTCCTTGTAATAGGAAGGAGAAAGGGGGTATATTCCACTATAAACGAGTTAGTGAGTTTGGTAGATGGAATTTGAGAAAGCTCTGTTGGATTCTATTTCCTTTAGGAAGTAGAAAGTAAGTTTATCTTCTGAAAACACTTCTGTAAAGGGAGGTGGAGGACTGAGGAGAGTGGAAAGGTTTTAAAATAGCTGTTGGGAATGGGAGAGATGACTCACAAGGGGAACTACGATTCCTAGGTAACATTAAAGTTTTAGTAGAGAATGGGACTGTGAATATGGAGTGACATCAATGTGCCTCACTGTAGAAAAAGAAGAAGTTCAGACAAAGTAGAATGCCAAATCCAAAGGCAAGATACAGGAATTGGGAGTTTGCCAGGAAGGAAAACAGGGCAAAGGATTTGAGAATTATTGCAAGAGAATGGTTGGTTGAAGCAATTAATCATGGTATTTCTTCATACCAAATATACAAATGTAGGATTAAACACTTACAGCACCAGCAATATGACAGACAAGATAACATGAGTATCTTCCTACTACAAACACCCAGAATTGCTGGGTTATTCATACAACCCACAGGATAAAATTATATCTCCAGAGGCCAGGAATGAATAGGAATTGAAAAAACAGCAGTAAGCTCATAAGCTGGTTCTGCACTGTCCTGGAGCTAATGGCACGTGTAGCCATCTCTATAACCTAGAATGTGTATTTTAAGACTCTTAAGGGAACAGGAGACAAGGTTGTGGGCCCCTGTGAAGGAAGGTTAGCACTGAGAACCTTCCATAAAGCTGAGAATCACAGAAGTGAAAAGGTGGACCAGAAAAATTCCATCCAATGGTACAGAAAGACAATGTAGAGGCTTATCTGGCTACCTGAATTCTAGGTGTGAGAAAGAAAAAAAAGAGGTTTTCTGATAATGAGTCTGTATTCAATGCTTAGGACTATATCTCATATAGGTTTGATAGTGAATTCATACTGCTAGCACAGTCTGGGGCTCCCAAGCTAGAGAAATTAACATAAAAATTGGTCCCAGGCCAAAGATTTAACAACAAAAAAGCTTTAAAAAATACCTTACCCAGATTCTATAGGATTTTCATAATAAAGCCACACTAAAGATGAGTTCACGATGCAGAATTATAGCATCCACAGGAAACAAACTGCCTTAAGTGAGAGTTAGCTGACATAATATTCAAAGGGATTAAAACCCCAGGAAATTCAGCTAACACAATATAATAGAGACTTGAAAATAAATATGTTTGAACTAATTAAAGACAAAAGGAGAAAAAAAAGCAAAGAAAAATACATTAGAAGAAGAAAGGCAGTTCTGAGAAAGAATTAAATAAGTTTAACAAATGAAAAACATAATTATAATTAAAATTCAATGGATGAATAATGGTATGTTAGAGATGAAGAGATAATGCACACATTAGAAGTCACCTCTTCAGAATTTAGAATTCAATGCAGAGAGATGGGAAAGATAAAACTGAATTAAAGAAATAATTAAGGATATGCATTACAGAAAGAGAGAATAGAGAAAATATGAGAGGCTATACTCACAAGCATAATGATTGAAAACTTGCCAAAATTAATGAAAGATTTAAATCTTCAAGTATGAGAGGCACAATGAGTCCCAATCAGTAAAAACAAAGAGCAGGTACATTAATAGTTTCAGACCGAGATTCATCATAATAAACACCAAAGACAAAGAGGTGATCTTAAATTATTGAAGAAAAAACAGATTACTTATAAAGGACAACAATTAGGATGACAGCAATAAAGAAACCAACACTTTCAACTATTCCTATTATTTGGTATAGTCTAATGGAGGTGTCTTTCTTTGTTCTTAATTAAAAAATCAAGCTTCAAAATGTGTATACATTTGTCTCCATAATTTAATTCTGATCATTTATCTAGAGGAATTATATACATAAGTGTATGTTCAAGATTACCACAAAGTTATTTGTAATAGTAAAAATTTTTAAAGAATTTAAATTTGCAAAAAATAAAATAAATTTGCATCAATGAGACTGATAAAGTATGTGGAAAAAATCCTATGCAGCTATTAAGAATGAGATCAATCTATATACTTTAACTTTTACAATTATCCACCAAAAATGTGATTTGGGTCTGTTTTCCAACAATGAGCCTCAGTTTCCTCATCTCTAAGATGGGGTAAAAAAAACTAGCACCTATCTCTTAGGTTGTTGCAATGATTACATGAATTAATATAGGCACATAGCAAACACTATATAATTATTTGCTGTATTTATTACTATTTATTAAGTACCTATATAGTGCTTACTACGTGCAAGGTTCTATTCTATCTCGTTAGAAATATTAACTCATTAGAAATATTAATGTGTTCATAAGTGAAAAAGTTGAAGAACAGTATGTTTTATATATTCTATATTAGAATGTATAAACTAAGCTGTTAATAGTCATCATCTCTGCATGTAGAATTACATAGGAGGTTAACGTCTATCATACACTTTACATAGCTCTCTATACTTTTTGGATTTTTATAACGAGTAAGAATTAATACATGTACTTATGTTTTGGAAAAAATTATTTCTTCCAAACATTATACTATTTTGATAAAGTGACATCAACTTTTCTGTTCATTGATTTGATATAATATTTTTGCAGTTCTGCTCCATTCTGCTCTAGAACAAACTCAGGGATGGGAAAAGTTTTGTCAAAGGCAATTGGTTCCTATGTTGATTAGATATTTACAACATCGGCCATTGGCTGAAGAACTGGGGTTGAGGGTGAGGTCCTGATGAACAGAAGATGAAACATGCCATTTCCTTAGGGAAGGAAGTTTGAGGCCTGGAAGAGGAAGGGAGCCACCTGGATGGAGTGGGAAGTGAAGGAGTTCAGAGGGCAGCATCTGCTAGTGGATTCTCCCCCCATTTGACTCTTCTTTACTTTATGGGCAGACCTGGAATCTGTGATTCCATAGTGGCTTGGAGGATCCAACACTAAAATTCAATTTGGGTTCTGATTTCTCAATGAGCATTTTCTAGATGTGGTTGAGTGTTATGACTCAACGTAAACAAAGGTAAGTTCCCATGGAAAAGTTAAGCATTACTGCTAGGTGAGAACTCTACAGGTATGCTGATTTAACACTGGTAGGGAAGTATCTATCATCTCCCAAATTCCATAGTCACTTGAAATGCAGAAAAGAGTTGTCCATCTCATAACGGTGGAGTCTCTTCCTTTGGAAAATTTAACCCGTCATGTACCTCTGTGACAATGGCCTTTAGGATAGGTTTCATGGCAGGATGTGATGAGGGCAAGAGAAATCTCCATATCATATTCCATAGATTCTAAGATGTTCATTTTTAAGTATTTTACCATAGCTGGGGTGAATCTCAGAGATATTTGTTTCTTATAATCGCCACTGGCTAATATTTGTTCCCTTTGTTGTGCATTTTAATATCTCTGAAACTGAGATTTGTCTCACTGGTCTTAAAGACAATCACACTTGCTTGGTAGTTTCTGACCTCAAGCTGAGGTCATTCTCCAAATATGAGAATGAATATATAATGATAAAACAAAAATAAATCAATCATATTGGCTCATAAAGATTTCCTTCTATTTAACTAGAAATATTCCTTCCTCTTAAGATCATTTCTTTCTATCAGTTCCCCACAGAGATGAAAGCATCATTTTCAGTGGGATGATTCCATGTAGTCCCTCCCCTCTCCCCCCACCACCACCAATTATATTTGCTGCATATTGGTTTTGTTAGGTTGAAAAGACACAGAAGAGACTTTTCAGTGCCCTACAGAAGGAATTCTAAGTCAAGAGACAGTCTATCTGTTTCTCCAATCTGCCTCATGTTCTACTTTAGGTATCCAAAGAATGATCCATACTGTCTCTCTTATGTATCTTTATTGAACTGGTTTTCTCTAAGTTCTTTAATGGCCAGGAAGACAGACATTCAGTGGCACAGGGATGTGGTAATGGAATGGGATGATATGGATGGCAGGGCTGGAGTTTTTAAGGAGAGGTTGTATCTCAGAGGCTTTAGATGACCACTGAAATGCAAGATTCTGATTTTTACTTTCCTGTTTTTGACCCCAATTTTAAAATGATAATTTTTTTTAGCTGGAGTGGAGAAGTCATTGTTGACTTTTTAAATCATTGGAAAAGATACACTTAAAAATTTACAAATATCTAATTTTCTTATATTTCCCTATATCCTTACATGTTTCCCTTATATTCTTTGACTTAACTATTATGAAATGATTTATTTATTTGGAACTGAGTGTCGATTTTATCACATTCTGTGGATTTCACATTCAGACAATTCTGCTTTGTGTATAGAAACTGGCTGAGTGTAGAATACTTGAGACTCCATTTAAAATAGGTGTATGGTGGAATGTACTGGACTCCCTGTCAACTGCATTTTCTATTATTACTTGTTTACCCTTGGAGGTTTAAGCTATGAAGGAAAAGATTGGGCAGAAGAGAAGCTGGAACCAAGGGAGGGTTCTCTGTCAGCAATCACCAGTGGGAGAGGTGGTTTAGTACCTGTATAAAGCTGCAGATGAGAGCCGTCAAAGTAGATCAAGACCAGGAAGAGAACCCTCTGAGGTAGAGGGTTATTGTAGGCTTTCCAAATGTTTAAACAATACCTCATTTGCAGGAGGCCTCAAAAAGCAGAACCCTGTCTCAACACCTGAGAGAGGCATTTTGGGGAGTGAGGAGGGAAGGTGAGCCACCTGGCGAATGTAAGTGGCCTCAGTACATGAGCCTCCATCACTTGTCAAGGCCTTCAAGTGTTGTCAGTCTGTTTCTCTGCAGTCTGAAAGGCTTTCCCATGTATCCTTAGGGCTGCCTTGGTCTATCAAAGGCTTTTTTGGGAAGATTTTTTGCAGACATATGCAGTATATCAGACAACAACAGAATCCCAAAAGGTAAAAATAAATCATTACACATATACATTACATATACACATATATGTATCTGTATATATGCATATACATACATAAACATATATACATACATATAAACATACATACACACATACACACCCACATGATGTCCCAGAGGCAAATGTCAATAGATCTAACTAGAAGAGATCAGCACTGTCTTCAAATATGTTAGACTTCTGGCTGCCTTCCTTCCTAGAGATCAGATTTCCTTATTACATCTAGAAGAGTGGAAGTGATCAAGTAATGTGGACACAACATTTGATTTGCTTTTTCCTTTGTTTGTGCTGCAGCTCTTAATATGACAAATGCCACAGAGAGAGGTATTTAAACCCCAACGTGTGCTGTGCTCTCAGTGATTTGCAGTTTTAATAAAATTTGCGGTGCTCCTGTACCCGGCATCAATTCCACTTGCTTGATGCCACTAACAGGTTTGACTTGCTGTCATGAATACATTGTCTATCTAAAAACCAAACCAAAGAAAAAGGCAGAAGTCTTTGATATCCCTGGGGGTCATCATGGGGAAAATTAAATCTGCATGATTAATAAGGTGCATGCTCTAAAAGAAGAGTTTTATCCACTGATTTCCACTTAAGGGGCTATTATGTTACATTCCCATCTAAAAAGTCCCATAGTGCTTTCAAGAAACAATGGCACAGTGGTCCTTTAGTTGAGGAGTTGTCACGAGAGTTCTCTAAGGCAAGAAAAAGTTATATAATGATTATAGCACTGAACAGATGCTACATCAAGTGAAAAAACAGGTAGGCCCTCTTTAACTGCACGTTTGAAGAAAAAAAATGTGCCTCAAAGATTTTTCTTAAATTGTTTACTATAATGGGGACATTGCATTATTTGAAATGAAAAGTTACTGTGACCTGAAATACGCATACTCTAATCAGAGTAAGCTTTGATTTTCATTTTTTAGGTGTCAAAATGAGATGTACAAGTTCAAGCATACATAGGCAAAAAAGGAAACGTTCTTTCTCTTTATTGCACTGATTTATGCAGCAGAGACTCATTTCACACTGTGCAAGATAGAGAAGGCCATGCCTCCGCTGGCCTTAATTTCGAAATGTAGTAACTTTGAATCATGAAAAGATGTAATAGAAAGCTATTAGAACTCGATGGTAATATGGAATTCAAATACTATTACTTAAGTTATTTCCTTCAGGAATCAAATAGATGACTTTCAAACTGTAATTAGTATGTTCATTTCCACGAATGATAAACTAGTCAAGGCATGATTTTTAGAGGGAACTTAACGTACTGGCTAAGAACATGGGCTCCAGAGCCTAGAGGAAACTCCTAAGTTCAGGTCCTCACTCCACCACTTGTGGAATGTCAGGTTGTTTCCTTAGTCTCTTTGTGCCTCAGTTTCTCTACCTGTACAAGGAGGTTAATAATACTTTGTACCTCATATGTTGTAAAAAGGATAAACTAAGATAACATATTTAAAGCTCTTACAAGACTGTACAGAGCAGTCACTCAGATAATAGTTATCAGTGTTAGTTCTCAGACTAATGTATCTTCTGCGCAACAGAAGTGATGATTTAAAAACACTTGTGGAGATAAGCACAGCTCTTTATTCCATGTGTCATCTTTATCTTTGAGGTAGACGCAATCAAGTTCAATGGCAAAAAAAAAAAAAAAACCCTACATATTTCTTTAAAAGAGAGTTGATTTTTATTAACTTTGGTTCCATCAGAAGAGTAATTATAGGTTTTCAGCTTGAAGTCGTAATTCTGTCCCTCGTTCCACAGATCAGGAAACTTGAGACTAGAAAAATCAGTACTTTCTCCAAGTTAGCAAGGAGCTCAGACGTCTCGGTTCCCAGGCCAGGATATCTTCCATTACCCCATTCTTGAGTTTTCCCTTTCCCCATGTTTATGTTTCATAGACCAGCATGCTGGAGTGCTCACATGCTTTAGCATCAGATAGATATGGGTGCTAATCCTGACTCTGCCACTTGCTAGTTATGTGAGGTCGGATGATTTACTCAACCCTTGCAAGTCTATTTCCTCATTTGGGAAATCGGAGCAATATTACTTAGAGCATAGAGTTCTTAAAATGGACTAAGAGCATATATGCCTTGATAAATACTGGCTGTTGGTGGTCTTGTTGCCTGTTGTTTACATTCTACCCAGAGAATATTGCTGGTTAGGTCTCTCAGATTTCAAAAATAGAATGTCAACATTGCCAACTGCTTCTCTTGTTTCCAAAGAACATAAATCTATCCTCAATCAGCAATGTTTTATACCTGCATGCTTGGTACTTGTCAGAGACTGTAACTCTGGTTTGGCCCCATTGGGACAAGTGATAAGAGAAAGCTTATCCAAGAAGCTATATGAAGATTTGCCTTTACTGGCAAACAGGAAAGGGGCTGTTTAGAGTCGGTACAGAAACACAGTATCCGCAATAGGAAAATCAAAGCAACCTTAGTGCATATCCTGGGCTTACCGCATATTTTACTCATTACAGAAATAGCAGTTCGCCAAAAAATCTTGTCAAAAATATCGACCATTCCATCATTTACTACTTTAAGGTAAATCTTGAGAAATTGCTTTAAAAATTTAGTGCCTGGGTGGGGGAAAAATGGTCTCTCCTGAGAAATTGGCCTTTTGTTTCCCTCCTTGTCGTGAGAATGGTGTACTTTATTTTTACTTTGTTTTTTGCCCTACCTGGCATGTATCTCAGAATCCAAGTCATAGCACCTGTTACACTAAGCCAACCAGAAGTCTCCTTTGCCTGACACTAATGTGTTATTTCATTTAATTTACTGTCACATCATTAATTATAGTCACTTCAAAACCTCTATGGAAAGAAATGGAAATAACAAAATTGGTGAATTAATACAACTCTTCCTCCAAGGTAGTGGTTCTCAAACTTCAATGCACATCAAAAGCCTCTGCAAATCTTATTAAAAGTTATAGCTCTAGGACGCATTCCCCAGAGATTTAGATCTAATAGGTCTGTGTTAGGGCCTTTTAACAATTTCCCAAATGAACCTAACCCGAGTAGTCTATGAATCACACACTGAGAAACACTGACTTGAGGATTTCTACTTGGAATGTCTTTATTCCAGACAAAGCTTAAAAATTTAAGGAAAAAGTTAGCTTATCCATAATTCATAGGATAAAAGTTAGAATAAGCTTCAAATTTATTCATTTGTTGAGTGCCTACTGTATTTTATGGAATGAGATTATTCCTAAGGATACAGAGATAAAGACATGGCTCATTTCTGGAAAAGTTTTCAAATTCAGTGAGGAAGATGAGCATGCAAGCAAGTAATTACAAAAATTAAAGTTCAACTATTTGCAATGATAGAAGTACAGGACAGAGGAGATGGTGGGAGGTCAGGGAAAGCTTCAGAGAGGTGAGGTCCATCAGGGCTTTGACTGATGAATAGCAGCTCATGGTACAGATCATATCACAGTGATGGGGGTGGGGGGAAGTAGATTTATCATGAGAGCACAAGCTGCTGCTGAGTCAGGGAGTAAAAGACAGACTAGAGAGTACAAGACAGTATCTACTGGGATGCCATAAAAACCAGAATGGGCTGCAATTCAACGCACAGGCTAACACTGAGACTATAACACATGGTATCTTTCTTAGACATGGTTTTCAAATGCCATCTCTTTAGCATGAGGACCTACAGTTTGGAGGCCTGTGGTCATATCTGGGCATCTGGAATTCCATTTCAAAGACCACAGAAATGTTCCCAAGCCAAGCCATTTTAGACAACCAGGAGATTATGGTGTCACTTAAGCTTAAGGTTATAGCTCCTATTTCTTTTCCTGGCTAAAATTTCTGGTGAGCTAAAATAATAACAACAACAACAACAACAACAATAATAATAATAATAATAAAATAACTTAAAATAAAAAAATTCTTGTTCTTAATAAACTTTACCTTCTTTGATTGCTGTCAGAGCTCAAGTATCTTCCTTTTCATGAGATTAGGTCCAAAATGTTATTTAAAAGTAAACAAAGATTTTGATAAATGTACCATGGTTATATAAGATGTTAATATTAGAGGAAGTTGGGTGAAGGGTACCTGGAAACCCTCTATATTATCTTTGCAACTCTTCTGTAACTCTAAAATGATCTTAAAATTAAAGCCTTAAAAAGGGTAAACCAAGAAAGGCTTCTGTCCTGGCAATTAAGCAGCTTAGCATCTCCTCCCCACGAAAACCAGAATATACGCTTTTTTCAAGAATGAAAAACATGAATCACAACTGAAGTCCAACTTCTTCATTGGCTTATGGTTAAACTTCTAATATATTTTCAGAACCATTTTAACAAAAATATTCTTAATAGTTGCTCCATCTCCATCTAGGACTGAACTAAAAACAAGTCAACTTTGTGTGGCTCTTATCTGATTTACTTGATAAACACTTCTTGCTCATGGTCATTATTCACCGTCCATATTTACAAGCTAGGGAAATGTTATTATCTCAAAGTCCACAGAATGGTTTCCAGCCCAAGCCACTTGAGAGAATCATGATGTCACAGAGCCAGGCCAGCCTTACTTTGAAGATGCAAAGGAAGGCTGTTTGTGAGCGTGCTGTGTATGTTTTCTAAAGGAGCTTGCATTCTGATTCCTTCAGAGATGGAGCCACAGTGGATAAACCTCATGCATTGCTCTGCTTCAAAGGAAACAGAAATGTAAACAGTGGCAGCACACTAGAGTCGGGTTTCTTTGCTTTAGCTACCAAGAAGTCAGCAAAGAAAATCCAGGTATTTACTTAGGTTTATTATTATTATTGTCACATGTTCTTTTAATGATTGGAAAACAAAATAATCTATCCAGACACAGAGTACCACAGAGCCTCAATATCATTACTTTTCAATAATCGCCTGAGCCAATTTTTGTAAGTAAAAAATAAAACTAAAATGACCCTTTTGCTGCCTGTGGTGCTTGTCTTCTACTAGGCATCTCCAACACAATAATTCGTAAAATACAATGCTAGATGAGACAAATGCGGCCTATTTAAGAATGGGTTCAAATAATCTAGTATTGATTAGCAGCCATGTTTTTTTTAATAATAAGGTCTGAACAATGGACTTCTCTTTCTACAGAATGATTCCTCTCTTCTCAGATAAGTAAGGAATGGATTTAAGTACAAGCTTTTAACACCTACAAAAAGGGTACTCAACACGATTCATATCTGGAATGTAGCTCCCTAAGGCAGACTGAAATTTAAAAACAAAATACACCTTCTTTCTTTGAAGGCCGATGGAGAAATAGCTTTCATCAGTCAGGAAGATACCATGAGCTACAAACAGCTCTGAAAAAAAATAAATGAAAGAAAGAGCGAGCTAGAAGACCTGGCTTCAAAATTAGCCTCTAGTACGTTCTAGCTGTGTGTTAGTTGCTTTATTAACTGCTTGGTGCAAATCATTTCATTGAAAAGTGAAAAAGTCCTAGAATGTTTTCCTGACAGTACCAGATATTCAGAGATTTCTTTAAGGTTTTGCCTATGAAGAAAATTATAAACAATGCCATCCTACAAGGAGCAAGAATGTGCAATGGCAGCCTCCATTGAGACTTTGGCCTAGGTGGCCAGATTCCTATTATCTTCTTGGCTCTCCTCACTCTTGCAGTCTGAAGAATGGGAGCCATCCCTCAGTTCTGCCTGTTTCCTCTTCTGGTCTCTTTCTTCCTCTCCACAAGGTCTACGTGACCTATATGATCTTACTAAATGTGTTCATTTCTGCCAGGGAATCTTGATGGCTTTCCCTCCTCCCATATAATAACACATTTCCCCTCCAAATTTCTTCTCCAATCAACTAACACAGTGAAATGAATAGGAAAAACTTAATTTATCTTTCTTAAAATCAAATCATATTCACACACACACACACACACACTCATGTTCAAAATTGAAGAGCAAGTATAAAAACAAGTGTTGGATATTCATGATTTTCAATGGAATATGACATAACGTATTTTTATATAAATGCAAATAAAAACATATGCAAATTTATAGTCACAGAAGTAGAATATTAGAAAGAGTCTTACTATTCTTTGAATTTGTGAGACTTTCTATGTATGTATTAGTTTTAGTTCTGGGGGTAAATTAAGATAAGAAGGTAAGATAAGGAAGTTCAAAAGTGAGCAATCAGCATGGTAAACTGGAGCTAGCAAGCTTCGAAAAATGAAAATATTTGATGGATTTTTTTTTTTTTTTTTGCCCAGTGGATAGGAACAGAAACTAAGTCTTGTGGGTGGTAATTATAAGGAGACTGATTTGGTTTGCTTTAGAATATATTCCTTTTTTTAACAGTATTTTAGAATATATTCTTTTTAACAGGTTGCTATGATAATACTGAGTTCCCCATAAATCAAAGTATTCAAGAAAATGATGGATATACTATTTAACTCAGATGTTGATTATATCTCAGATTATTCCAATAAGAGAAGTCTCTGATTCTCTATTCTAAATGTCTTATTGAACAATTCCAAGAAAGTAGAAAAGGAAAATGAATCACTACCCAGCTCCTTTTTTAAGTATTTTCTTTTTTCTATAAGAGACTGTGCTAAACTTTAGGGGGAAACAAAAACATAACAAAAGTAAAGTATGCTATGCTGTTCCCTGCCTCCAGCCCCAACGGAGATTACACATCAGTTTGGAAGCCAAGACTGATGCATTACACATAAAGCAGTTAAATGGGAATAAAGACCATGAAGCCAAATATTTAAAAATTGATAGGTAGTAAAACAGTAAGTTCAGAGGTCAAGAGGGATCATAGGCTAAGCAAGCAGGATACATGAAAAAACTAGGACTATAGTCTGACCTCGAAATGACCAACAATCTCATACACTGAATGAGTGTACTCAAGCTTGAATAGGTTTTGCAGATTATTCTTGCATCATTTTCTCTAATCTAAAGTGATCTCAATTGTGCATGCATGTGTGTGAATGTGGTACCTACTTGAATAAATATATAAGCATGTGTAAATACATCTGTATAGAGCTGTGTATCTCTACTTGTGCCTAGAAAGAAACGCCGAGAGTCTCTATATGAAAATATAATTTCTGGCAGAACTTCTAGGCCTCCTCCTAGGAAAACGGCAGATCTTAGACAATCTTTCACCTCTTGAGTTGGTTCTGTAGATCCACAGGGGAGGAAAGGGGTGCATTCTTTCAAAATTTCACACTGCTCCCAATTCCAAACAAATCAAGCAAAATGAACATCAGTAACAACAGTAAGTACAAAGTGATAGCAGAGGGAACTCAGCATGGTCTTCGTGATATACTCTGAAGTACAGTCCAGTAAAAGATCAAACCAAAATTAAGCAAAATTGAAAGGAAATGAAGAATGTACCTTCGCTTGTTCCAGAACCCAAAAAAGAACAGTGTATGAGGGAAAAAAAAAAATGATGAGCGAATAAGAGTCTCAAAATTTACTGAGGCCTTTTAACTTTAGTGGAAAAAATTTTTGGAAATAATAGCGGCCAGGGAATGAAGACACTTAGTATTCCCTTGGAGTCCCATGCTCCTCTCAGCTACTCATAGATAGTTACTTGGCTGGTGAAAACCAAAAATAGTAAGATTTGGAAATAATCACAATTGGGTTGAGGAACTAGGAAAACATGCCCAGCCCAAAGGCGTTCAAATGCAATTTTTCAGAGCCAATCTGGCCCACACATGGACCTTCATTTATTTTTCCTGATTATGTCTGTGTTGGAAACCAGGGATCTCTATGATTTCAAGGGTCCACATGACCAGTTTTCAGTATGAAAAAACTGGTATCGAATACCAGGCACTGTTGGGGGTGTTGTTCAAAAAAAAAAAAAAAAAGTGATTTTCTTTTTATAGGTACATTTGACAGAGACTTTTAACTCTTTTAACTATAAATGTATTCAATTTAACAACTTTTAAGTCGTCTTTGACCTTGAAAAAATAAAACCGGAATGTGCCACTGACTTGGTTGGTGGAGGCAGGGAACGTTCAATCAGAATAAAATTTAAAAGGGGAAATTATAAGTTTGCTTACATTTAAGAGGATTGGGTATTAAGCTCAATAATGAGGGTTTCTTACTATGAAGCACATTAGAACAGGGAATTGATGTCTGAAAACTGGAGTGTGGCATTTCTGGCTCTGAATCTACAGCAAAGCTCTGAGTCTCAGATTCCTCGTCTGGAAAATGGGCTTAATAATATCAATTTATGTTTAATCACAGGAATAGGATCAGGGTTAAAGGAGATAACATATATCGCGTGTGCAAATAACCATAACCTGTGAAGAGCTATGCAAATACATTCCTAGCATTCAAAGTTGTTAACAATAGCATTGCTATTTTACACTTATAAACAAATGCTGCAGTTGGCTTGTCACTAATTTGAAGAAAGGTCTAAATGGACACAAACAAACTTTCAGGGAAGAAAAACAGAGCTCTGTGTGGGATCTACATCTGATATAGTTATATTAAACATTTTGGAACCATTAATTTGGCAGTTGTCTCTTTCCTGGGATTTTTTAAAAAATTATAAATTCTCATTCTGCATACCCAATGTAGACATTTTTACATTTTTCTTTATGGCTTGCTTCACTGGTAGTTTCCTACAAGATAATGGTTTGCTCCTCCCTGCTCTCTGAGCAGCCTCCGGGAGTGGATACGGAGGAGAGACTCTCCGTTGGTGGTAGGCTCTGTTCTGCAGAAACCCCCTAATCCTCTGTTTACCACAACATGAGTCTATTGCCATAGAAATGATAGTTGAGATCCCAGATTCAACCTCACTGACTTCACAGCAGGGCCTTGTAAAAGGAGAAGCCATGCTAACAAAGGGAAAGCACAATTTATCAGAATAGTAGGCAGTCTGTTGCCTTGAAAGGGTAATTGTCAGCATTAAAATAAAAATGCATGAATGAGCTATGTTGTTGGGTATGCTGTAGTTTATTTTCTGTGTATTACTGCCCGACTAAGAGTAGTAATTTGAAATTTTATGTCATTTAACAGTTTGCTTGTAAAGGTCAGCAGTTTCCGTTGATTGCATTTGTCTTACTGAAATAAGAAGCAGATTCTAATTAATCTTGTTGCACAACTGATGTTTCTGTGGTCAAAGATTTTCCCTTTTCATGATGTGTTGTTTTTGTTTGTGTGTTTATTGTGTGCGTTTGTTTTGTCTTGTTTCTATTAATAGAAGAAAGTGAACCTGAACAAGATACTAAAGGTATTTTTTTTTCTTTTTGCCCTGCTTCTTTTAAATGTATGGTTCTATTCGATTGTTTATTTTTGCTGACCTTATAAGCAATTCTAAGTGCTGTTATTTTTTTTAGGGAATAACAAACGATGTACAGGGAACACTGTGAGCATTTGACTGAGTGTTATTAGATGGGCTGCTTTATTTTATAATGTATTTATTGACTATTTACTTTTATTAAGTAAACTCTGAAGATGCAAACAAATGACATAAATCAGCATAGGAATATAAATCTCACACAGATTGGAATAGAAAGTTACCTTTTGACTGAAAGCCTTTTTTTTGTGGGGGGAGGGAATGGGGAGGGGAGGGTGTTACAATTTTTGGAGGAATGTAAAAATGTTAAGATGCCAGCTTAGGTTTTTACTGTTATTACTCCAAGAGGACAAGTATTATGCAACTGCTCCAAACCAAACCAAATCAATCAAATTTAAATTAATTTTAATTGCCCATAGATACATACATATATTTAGTGTAATATGTTTAGAGGAAAGTAGCTGGAAATCAAATTTGTTTGGGGGAAAAACCCTACCTTGTAGAATAAGAGTTTTTCTTCCAAGAAAGCATCTTCTATCCTGATTAAGATTCAAACTTTGTGCTGTTCTAACCTAACCTTTTATGTTTTTTGGATAAGATTCCCAAGTTCTCATACAGTAGTTTGGCACTAGGAATAAAACTCAGGCTGGTAGTATTAGAAATAGCACCTCCTTATCTTAGGATACTTTTCTATTTCTAAACATCAGCTGCTTACAATCAAATTTAGATAAAATCATTTCACCTGCCCCTGTGTGATTCTTTTTGTTTGTTTTTATTTGCTTTCACTTCAACTCAGTCATTGCTGGTTAGAATCAAGTAACGCCAAAAAACTAACAAACAAACAAACAAACAAAACCCTCCTTCAAGGACACTAGAATAAAATAAAGAAAGGAAAAAATGAGAGAAAATAAAATCCATGTGAGCTCACTGTGTCCTTTGAAATAATTACTCAGAAACAGAATTTATAAGGGACTTAAGTATTCCTCTGGTCCTACTCCCTTAACAAGAAAGGAGAGGTAATTCATCTCAAGCCAAACTGCTTGTTCATTTTGAGACTGCCCTAGGTCTCCACTGCACCACCACTGCAATTTCAGACTGAATAAGAGCTCTATCTCCTTACTACAAATTCAAATTACCCCTTAAAATGACAATCAATAGTAAGATTTATCATGTTTCTGAAAGTGCTTTGGAAAATGGAAAGAGAGAAGGAAAGAGGCAAGGATGGGTGAGAATGAGAACATAATATGGTTACATTATAAAGGACTTTGGAAACACTGGCTGCTTAAGTCCAATTTTGAAAGTATGGTTTTCAACCGGCAGTTAGCACTATAAATTTACCCAAGAGAAACTGAAGCCCAAAACTCATGAATAAATACCACGAGAGAAAACCCAGGGATAAAGAGATTGCCTGTGTCTATTTCCCATGATGCAGATGAACAATGATTTGCTTGCCCACAGGAACTGGAGAATAATGGATAAGACTATAGAAAGAAGAGTTGCATCGTGTTTTTTTTCTTTAAAAATCCATACCAAAACAGTTGTAAACATTTTCCAAATTACTAAGTAATGTTGTACCCCATCTATTAAGTAACTTGTTTATGTAACAAAAACACTTTTATACTGTTTTTGATGCAAATAAAATGCAAGATAGGGATATTCAATGGACATATTACTTGATATGAAATATACCACATTACTTTTAAAACTGATAACCTAGAATGCATTTTCAGTTTGGGGCTACCAGCAAAATAATGGGAGTTTATTACTGAATTACATCTAAGCTTATTATTACAGGTGTATTTTTATCGATGGAGGTTAGTCTGGCATTTATTTTTAATTGCAACTGGCCTTACTGTTTTCAATGTCTGATAACTATGGTGGCATTTCTTTCATCCCTCCTTCACCTCTTCTGCTTGAAACTGGTAACAAATGCAGAAGGGTATAAAAAAATATCAGTTTTATTGTTGATAAAGCTGGATTGAAAAATAAAACTCTACTTTTTCATCCAAGAATTAGGCTAACATCTGTTTCTTCATCCTCCTCAGGCCCTCCCCACTCTTTAACCTTCCACCCCTAGTTGTAGGATGGAGAAGCCCTGAGCTGGGACACTTGATGCACATTAACCCCATACCCTTGTTGTCTGAGGGTAGCTGGGAGAATGATGGCCCCAAGAGGGCTGAAATACTCATAACATAGACAAGTCCCTTTCTCCGATCTCATCAATCAGAAGAGTCACTCATTCATTCATTGATTCATTCACTCATTCAACAAATATTTATTGAATGCCTGCTATGTACCATGCAGGGCTCTATCTACCTATCAGTCAGCCTGTGTTAATGAACAAAACAAGCTCTACCCTGTGATGCTTACATTCCAGAGGAGGAGACAGCCAACAAACAAACAAATCCATAGTTATGACATGGTGATAAATGCTATGAAGAACCACAAACAAGGGTAAGGGAATGTGCTGAGAAACATTCTGATAAGGAGACATCTGTGACCTTCTTTGGGGGCAGGGGGAAATTGGCAGGAAGGGTGGAAGCCATCTTTCAATACTGAAAAAAGGGGGCAAGTTCCTACTTTATCTTTTGACAAGAATGTGGGTATGCAGAAAACAGCTTCCCTTTTATTCCGGGCCTTTTCCCCTCTCCACCCACTGGACTTAACAATGTGTGTGGAGAAGCTGGAGCTGGTGTACTAAATTAAGAGCATATAGACTGTGACCTGGTGAATGAGGGGGCACAAGCTACCCACACGGACTTGCAAGGAGCTCCCTCAGCATCCCAGCTCCCACTTTGGGGAAGTGAAACCCATGGGTTCGTTGTGATTGAAGGCATAGTTTCAACACACCCACAAAAAGGAAATAGAATCGTTAAGATTTATTATTTACAAATCCCAGAAGCCAGGGCCTGGGGAGCATGCTGTGAGCCCAGGGAAGGGAAGTCCTCTGACCCCAGCCACAGAGAAGGAGACAGAGTGTGGGATAGCAAGAACCTATACTTAGAGGTGATTGGGACGGAGAAGACTAACTTTTCTCAGGCTTTACTCTAAGTGGTTATTTTAAAAGGTGCCCAGGAAAAGCAAAGTGGGAACTTATGATGGACATCCTAAACTCAAGTCCTTATCTAAATGTCTAGACTCTGGGTGTGGCAGGGTTATCATACTGTAAAATACCAAGGCAGCAACTCAAAAAAAAAAAACAACTTTGTTTTTTTCAAAAGGTGTTTTTCTCATCACACAATGAAACCCTGGCTCAGCCGAGGGTGTATCTGCCCTTTTGGAGGAGGAGACCAGAAGTTTATCAGCACAGTCACACCTTCAGGAAGCCACTGCAAATGCCAATAGTGCTTCTTCATGTACCATCCTGTGCCCCACTGGACGCCCCCAGAAGGTTCTGATATGGGACAGAGCAGTATATTAAGTAAATTCACGGCAAGGCCATGTTGACTCTATCTTATTTACCATCTCACATTATGCTGAGCTGTGTTGTGCAGTATAGATCATCAAAAGTTCTTCAGTGAGCCCAAATGATATTCTAAATAATATAACACTAGCCAAAAGGAAAAAAAAAAAAAGGCTGTAACTTAGAACAAACTAAATCCTCCCTTATTACTGCATTTCCAGGAAGAATTTACAGTCCCCAAATGAAAACTCTTGCCTCTATAAACTAAAGCAGAAACAGTGTTTAGATTTCATTCTCCAATTTCTTAGTCTTCTTCTCTTTAGCCAGAAGGCTCTCTTTCAGGTTCAAGGGTACACAGTTCTCTGCAGCAGCTGCTGGCTACACTTTTCCAGTACCTATGGGCCTGAAATAATCCCACTCCCAATCTCTAAAAGATCCTGCTGTGTTCAGATTCTGAGAGGCAATGGGAACCATAAGATGATGAGTACAGTAGTGTCACACTCAAGAAACGTAAGACACACAGGTATAGCTGCAACCCCAACAAGTTCTTTCAACCAAAGGATGAACGTGGACTCAGCTATGCTGTGCAATCCAGGCCTCCATCACTGTTGGCCGACAACATTAGAAAAGGAGAAAATACCTGAGAGCAGTCAGTCTCTGTCAGTTGTCAAGAGTGCACAACCTGTAGGCTTAGGCTAAGTTGGGAGGAATCTTCCATCAGGTGGTCAGGTGGGTCACCGTGTGTCACTCTGGTAAATCTGGAAGAAATGTGCCCTGCCTCCTCGCCGGCTGGTCTTCTTGGGAAATTTAGAATTTCCGGTGAGGATAGCCTCGGTCACTTAGTCTTGATTGACACTTCCTTCAGAGTCATTCATTATGCGACTTTTTATTTCCTATTTCACCTTGGAGCCCCGCTTTTCTGGAACTTCAGTCGAGGGACAGGCTTCACTTCCTCTTTTAAGGTGGCATTTGTATCCCTGACTAGCAGGACTGGCTCCGTAATTTGTGGGCCAGGTGCAAATGACAATGATTTTCATTCAAAAATCACGAGTAATTTCAAGGCAAGGACAGCAGAACGTTAAACCAAGCATGGGCCCCTCTTAGCACGGTGCCCTGTAAGACCACCCAGGGCCTCTTACGCTTGGAGCCAACACTGCTGACCTCTATGGCTACCGCCACTCACCCTGCTAAGAAATTTCTCAGGCTCTATATATCACCTGCTAGGGAAAATTTTCCCACATTCTGTTTCAACTTAGAATCATCCCTCATAGAATTTTGATCTAAAACTGCTGTAGGGCGCCTGGGTGGCTCAGTTGGTTGAGCGACTGCCTTCGGCTCAGGTCATGATCCTGGAGTCCCGGGATCAAGTCCCACGTCGGGCTCCCTGCTCAGCGGGGGGTCTGCTTCTCCCTCTGACCCTCCCCCCTCTCATGTGCTCTCTGTCTCTCTCATTCTCTCTGTCTCAGATAAATAAATAAAATCTTAAAAAAAAAAATAAAATAGGGACGCCTGGGTGGCTCAGTTGGTTAAGCGACTGCCTTCGGCTCAGGTCATGATCCTGGAGTCCCGGGATCGAGTCCCACATCGGGCTCTCTGCTCAGCAGGGAGTCTGCTTCTCCCTCTGACCCTCCCCCCTCTCATGCTCTATCTATCTCATTCTCTCTCTCAAATAAATAAATAAAATCTTTAAAAAAATAAAATAAAATAAAATAAAAAAATAAAAATAAAACTGTTGTAGAGGGGCACCTGGGTGGCTTAGTCAGTGAAGCGTCTGCCTTCGGCTCAGGTCATGATCTCAGGATCCTGGCATCGAGTCCCGCATCAGGCTCCCTGCTCCGCGGGGAGCCTGCTTCTCCCTCTCCCTCTGCCCCTCAGGCTTGCTCTCTCTCAAATAAATAAATAAAATCTTTAATAAAAAAAAAAAACCTGTTGTAGATATTTCTGAGGCTCTTAGGACCGATGCCTCTGCCAAATGATCCTCCTCAGAGCCTTACTTTTTTTCAGTTTTGGGGTTTTCTAAAACTTGATGCTATTTAAATGGCAAAAGAAGTGTGTGTCTCATCCCATGTTTTCTGGAGCTGTGGGGTAGGCTCACAGCAATTTTTTAAAATGTTATTATAAAACTTTCAATCTCACAAAAAAAGTAGATACAGTACTATAGTGAACCCCCATGTTCTCATGACCCACCAGCAACAATAATCAACAGTCTACCGATTTTGTTTCCTCGATTCCACCACCATGTTATTGCTGTTGGTTTCTTTTAAAGCAAATCCCAGACATTAGTTCAATTAACCAATACACACGTTAGTGAAAGGATTTTTTAAAAAAAACATAATCACATTACTATGTTCATTACTCCACCCATCCCCAATTAGCACTAATTTCTTAGTACCATTTACTACCAGGACTGTGCAATTGTTATCCAATTATCTCAAAATATCTCTCTACATCTGATCCATTGAATAAGAATCCAAACAAGATCCACACCTTGCATTTGGGTTATGCCTCTAAAGTCTTTTTAACTCTATAATAATTCCCTCTTTCTCCCCGCCCCACCCAGTACAAGTTATTTATTGAGAAAACTAAATAATTTGCCCTATTGAATTGTCTATATTCTGGATTTGAATGAATAGCATCCCCGTAATGTTGTTTAACCTGTTCCTTAACCTCTTTTTTTGTAGGTTGGTAATTAGACCACAGGACTTTTTAAAACCAGGCTCAGTTTTGTTTTGCGGGGCAGATTCAGCTACATTTTAAACATTTGATGCATTTTTTTAACCACCTGTTGCCTTAAAGATGGAGCCTTCCTTGCTTTTTCTTTCTTCTGGCTTTTGTGCCCAACACTATATTTCTAACATGCTCTTCTGGATTCCATCTCTTAGACTCCTCAATATCAAAAAATAGGAAATTGAGTTAATCTGAACCTGCAAATCTAAAATTAGAATCTGCAAAAAGGATTCAGTTGTCAAATCATATCTTCCCTGAACTTTCTCTTAATCAGTAGGAATATTAATTACCTATTCAGTCTCAGAATGGAATATTAATTACCTATTCTCCTGCTCACACTTGACCTAAAATATTTCTTTCTTTCTGGTCCAATGTGCTCATCTCATTCTCTAAAAAGTTGGACAAATTTTTTCTGTCCTCCACTATGATACACTTGAAGATATAAAGCATTAATTATTTCATTAATTCAATTAAACACTATTACTTTGGTCAGGCACTCTTCTAGGTACTGAACAAAACAGGCTAGGTTTTTGGTTGCTGAAAACTCACAATCTACGGGGGTGGGGGAGAGGCAGACAATAAAATAACTTCAGATAGTGGTAAGGTCTGTAAAGACAATAAAACAGGATGATGAAAAGTGAATGGCGGCAGGTTATACCTTATGTTGGGTGGTCAAGGAAGGCCTTTCTGAGGAAATGCCACTTAACCAGAGACTGGATGATATAAGGAATGTGCCACAGGAAGATCGGGGGGATGAGTGCTCTAGGCTGAGGGAAAGCATGGACAAGCTCCTAAGGAGGGAATAAGCTTGGAGTGTCCTTGAATGGTGAGAAACACAGGGTTATAGCATAAATGGCTTAGAAGCCAGGGCATGGCATTTGGTATTATACTGAATACAGAGGGAACATGGAAGGAATTTACACAGGAGAACACGATTTGATTTGCATTTTTAAAAGACCACTCCAGGAGCGCCTGGGTGGCTCAGGTCATGATCTCAGGGTCCTGGGATCGAGCCTCGCATCAGGCTCCCTGCTCAGCTGGGAGCCTGCTTCTCCCTCTCCCTCTGCTGCTGCCCCTGCTTGTGCTTTTTCTCTCTTTGTGTCAAATAAACAAATAAAATCTTTAAAATAAATAAATAAAAGACCACTCCAGCTTGAGCATTCCCTATAGGAGTCACTCACCACTTCTGTTTTCCTAACAGTTTTTGCCAGAATCCTGCGGGCTCCTGAATCCCACAATGTCACATTTGGCTCCTTTGTGACTCTGCGCTGTACAGCAACAGGCATCCCTGTCCCTACCATCACCTGGATTGAAAACGGAAATGCTGTGAGTGCCATCTGTATGGGGACTTGTCTGGGGAAGACTCATTGGAGAGGAATTTCAGGACAGACCAAATATTTATGATGTTACCCTGATCTCTGTCATTGGTCCCACCTGCACCTCCATTTTTCAAAGCCTTCTAGGATTTTCATCTTAGAAGTCACTGCCCTAGAAATTGAACTCCGTGGGTTTGCTTCTTTCCTTGTGTCGTAAGTGAAGAGTAGAAAATCAAATTTTTCCTTATGCTTTTGTGTAAAAGGGAAGAAGTAATAATTCCTTCCCACACAAGTAAAATAATTTTCACAAAACTCACCAGCTTAAGAATTAGTTCACTGGAGCTGGAGGCTACTTTGATGAAAAGTAATCCAGAATTGGAACCCATAACCATCAGTTTAACATTCTTGAATTCATTTTTATATGGATAATAATAACATATATTAAGTGATCACTATGTGCCAGACTCTCTTCTAAGCACTTTACATACAAACATTCATTTATTCATTCTACAAATATCTACTGATTATCTCCTGGGTGTCAGGCACTATTCTAGGCATAATGGATACAAGAGCAAACAAAACAAGCAAAATAAGTCAGTCAGATTAAGACAAATATCATATGATTACACTTGTGTGTGGAATTTAAGAAACAAAACAGACGAATATAGGGAAAGGGAAGGAAAAATAAGATGAAAACTGAGAGGGAGGCAAACCATAAGAGACAGTGAACTCTAGGAAACAAACTCAGGGTTGCTGGAGGGGAGGTGGGTGGGGGGATGGGGGTAACTGAGTGATGGGCATTAAGGAGAGCACTTGATGTAATGAGCACTGGGTGTTGTATACAACTGATGAATCACTAAATTCTACCTCTGAAACTAATAAAAAAATAAAGTAATATTTTCAAAAAACAAAACAAGTGAAGCTCCCTGCCCTCAAAGAGCTTCCATTATGGTGGGGAAAGACAATAAAATAAAACAAATAGGAGAATATTCTATGTAGACAGTGTCAAATACTGTGGGAAAATGAGACAGAATGTGCAATCTTAGGAGAAAGATTCCATTCTCAATAGAGTGGTCAAGGAAGCCTCATTTAAGTGAAGACATTTAAGCTAAGATCTGAAGGAGCTGAGGAGGAGGCTATGTAAATAACTAGGGGAAGAACCCTGGGGAAAGTCTCTAAGATAACACTGCACAAGGTATGTCAGAGGAATAGCAAGTAGGTCAGTGTGACGAGAGGTGAGTGAGCAAAGAGGAAAGAAGTAAGGGGTGAGTTTAGGAATTATGGATCATATAAGCTTATGCAGAGCATTGGAACAACTTTGGCTTTTATTTGAGTGGGATAGGATGCCATTTTAGGTCTCTTTATATTATCTGTTTTCCTGCTGACTCTTACTCATTGTGCTTTGTTTCCTTGTGTGCCTAAATATCTTTGACTACATGCTGTTCATTGTTTAGGGGGGGGAAAAAAGGTCAGGGATTAATTTGAGGTCCAGATAAAGATACTTCTCTCCAGAAAGAATTTTTGTTTATTTCTGCCAAGGACCAGAGACAACAGCTTATCTTGGATCATCTTAAACCTAGTTCAAGGTTTGAAGCTCCTTGGTCATCCCAGATAATTATAACACAGCCTGCAATGCTATGTGGGCTATTTCACTTGTAGTTCACATTGATAACCTCCCTGATATCTGGTTCTTTGAGATTTTGGTTTATTGTATCTCTTATTAGATTTCTCATCTTTATGGAACCTGAGTTTTGATTTCTGTCTCCTTACTCCTCAAAGGAAACAAATTTTTCTGGGTTGGAAAAATGTCTTAGTGAGAATAAAAGTTTCTAAATTTGTTATATCTGGTAAAAACATTTTTCCAGAATTTTAATTTTTTTCAGTGTGAGAATTGGTTTGATAACCCAGCTGACCAATATCGGAAATAAGACTCTTTCATGGATTATTGTCATAATTATATTTTATAGACTTTAACCACTTGTCTATGTTTGGTTTGAATTCGGTCCCTAGTTTCTTTATGAGGTTAAAGATGTTTATTTTAATCTTAATTTAACAAATGTTTTTAACATAAGTATATGTTAGATTCAATAAAATGCTTTGTCATTAATTATTTTAACTTTGTGACGAACATGTAATTTTTCACTTTAAATTGGAAAGTTTCCTTTCCATTCTTTAAAAATGCCGCTCTTTTTTTTGTGTTCTTTCAATTTGCTGTAATTTTCCTTAGGATCATTGCATCTATTTTCAAAAATGGGAATACTCTAGTTTTTTGGGGCTATCATGTTCAGGTTTTGTTAACAATATTATGCCAGCCCTACAGAATCAATTGGCAAGTTGATGTACTTTCTTTTGATACAGAACTCAAAGGGAGGAACTTGAGATGCAAATCTCTCTTAAACTCAGGGACATTTTCCTCTGTTGTATCTTTAATAATTGTTTCTCTCTTCTCTACCTTTTTTTTCTATGCAGAACATAAAGATTAGGAAGAATGTAGTTGTAATAGAAGTTTATTAGACCTCTATTAAATAAATTTATTTTAAAACTACAATCTTTCTAATCTTTATGTTCTGCATATTTTTGTGGATGGACAGAGGGAGTCCTATGTAACTAGGTAGTCCTAATGTCTACCATAAATATCCCCCACAAGAACCCACTAAAGAAAATCTTATTCACGAGTTCTAGCCCATGGACAGATGCCTCAGTCTAGTGCTATATGCCCTCATAATAATTCATAACATTCTTCTGCTACTTTATTGACTCAAAGTCTGCTCCTACTTACAGCCCTGTTATCTGAACTCTAGAATTTTCCATGACTCTATAGGTAAAATTTATCCATTCTCCTCTCAGTGAACTTTAAGGTTTCAGTGACTTGGTTGATATTAATTTTTCTATCAACTCAGTCACATCTCTTTGTATCTTCCAGAAATTGCTGAAAACTTCTGGCCCTTTGATTATGATATCCTTCCACCTTTCTAAAGATTTATTTTTCCTAATTTTAGGTTTGATTTATCTTTTGGGATTTTGGGTAAAGGACAGTTAAACATGTGGGCTGAGATTATCTTTGTAATTCGGGTGCTGAGCATGGCTTGCAATGTACTACAACCTCATTTAATATCTTCTGTTTCTTTTAAGTCTCTTCAGCAGGGTGGGTTCTTTTCTCACCATTGAGGCCTACCCCAAGCAGGCTCTGTGACTTTTCTAGTTCTTTTAGGTGATTTTACATCACAAACACCATCCCAATTTAGTAATTCTGACTGCCTAGCCCTAAGTAATAACCAAAGTTTCCAACTGCAATTCACAGATGCAACCTTTTTTTTTTTTAAGATTTTATTTTTAAGTAATCTCTCCACCCAATGTGGGGCTCGAACTCACCACACTTGAACACTCTAGATGGAGCCAGCCTACCTTTCTTAAGACAACTGCATGCATGCCACCTGCCTTCCACAACAGTCCTGCAGTTAGCTTCTTCTCTCACACTCATTCACTCTTCCCCTACTTCCTAACTGCTATTTAAGACTCCTACAGGTTTGGGGTTGGAAGAAGGGAGGAGCAGTAATTGAAGTGGAAAAGTTCTAATTTAACTGACACTCTTTTAGGTTGGCTTTCCATCATGGTGCCTGAAAAGTATTTAAAACAACTCTTTCCATCATGGACACATTCATGATTCTTGAGAAATCAAGGGATATTCAAGATGAACCCCAATGCCTCATTTTTCCTCAGAGCAGCCATCTCCCTCTTAGCCCCCAATTTGTTAGTTGATAGGAAGTCTTTCTGTGGGGTCCCATCAATGCCCCAAAGAGATCTTTGGCGAAGACAAAATAACTCCAAACCAGATCTTCTATAGAACCTGTATATCCACAAACTCTTAGATCCAGACCACTGAAAAGAGCTACCCCCTTCTTTGCTTCTTCCATTGGAGTTACTATGCAGCCTGCTCTCCCTTCAGATTTTACAGGTGGGTGTCAAATGCATCTCTGCTGTGTCAACAAATTGCAGGTGTATCAGGGTCCCCAAGACCACCCTCAAGTTTGATGATTCACTAGAAGGACTCGCAGAACTCAGGAAAGCCATTATCCTTATGGCTATAGTTTATTACAGTGAAAGGATACAGACTAAACTCAGTAGTGGGTAATCAGCTGTTCTCTCCCTGTGGAGTCCCATGGAGAGCACTTAATTCTCCCAGCAATGATGGCAACATGCACAACGTCTTGTACCAAGGAAGCTTACCTAGCCATGGTGTCCAGGGTTTTTCCTGAGGGTCAATTACAAAAGCATGGAGGGTTCACACGAATGACCTTAGCTAGTCTCCAACCTTTCCAAAGGTCAAACTGATACAGTATAGCCTAGAGTCCCTGCTGAACAAAAAGAGCTATTCACCATAATTTGCACTGTAACATAAACTATCTGGCATGGCTCATGGTCTCAGATATACAAAGACACTCTTATGAGGTAGGATTTTCCAAGGGATGAGAGGTTATCTCTTAGAAGCAAGTCAAAGGCCAGTCCTTTCTTTCAAATGTGCAGAGTGTGAGCACCTCAAGTCCACTTTACAGTTAACCCTTTACTACATAGCAGGGGACATATGCCAAACCTCCAGGTGGTCCTTTTGAAGACCCTCTTTCATACCTTAAGGAGATGGGATGCTTTTTAACCAGTCCCTTGGGTGGGGTGAGGATGGTTCTCACTACAGCTAAACAACTCAAACCTTGATGAGTTATCTAAGGGGTTCTCGGCTATTTGCATTTTTCATATCCTTCAGGATAGTCTCTCTTCAACTTTTTAGGATCTTGCTTGCAGTGTCCGTCTGTTGTCGTATTACAATATATTAACAGCAGCATTTTAAAGTAAAAGGAGTGCTCAAAATGAGGAGAAAAAAAGAAAGAGAGGAAAAGAAGGTGAGGAAGGGAAAACACAATAGGACACTAGACACGGGAAGGGAAGTGTGTGGGAAACAAAGCACGTGCCTGTGTGAAAATCTGGTGGATGCTGTATACCAGGAAAAAGATGCCAAATTCTAAGGCTACCTCAACTAATGAAGAGTGTCATCCTGCAATAGCAGCCTCTTTAGGGCTTAAACTCATTTATTATTTTTGTTTTCACTATTGTTTGTGCTAAAGGGTTTTTTCTTTTCTGATAATTGAACAAAACTATTCTCTCATAATTTGTGTTTAAAACTAATTTATCTTGTCTAAGTGCCTACCATGCATCTCTTCAAAATAGAGTCTGTAAACAAAATAATGTTGCTTTATGAGCTTGCTGCTTGAGGGACGACAAATAAGAATAGGTGAAGCATTAGCAGACCTAAGTTGGAAATGGCCCTCTTCAGCGAATGGTCATTGTAGGGAAGTCCACTTGCCTCTGAGACACTGATTTTCCCATGTTTGTAATGACAGAGGTGTCAGGTGGCTAGAGAAAACCATCCCTAATATGACATCAGGGGTACGGGTCTCCCATGTTGTTAAGTTACAGTCAAGAAACCTGTAGTTCCTGTTCTTTAAGCTAATTAACCTTTAAATATCTTTTAAAATTCAAATCTTATTTGGCAGTCTGTTTTGTGGCTCTTCTGTGGAAGCTGCTGTTGTCGTCTTTGGCCTCTCAAGGTAGTGTAAAGATATGTCCTAAGAAAGCTGGTGGACTGATAGGACTCTACTGATTTGACTTCCTCTGTGAAAACAGGAATAAAGAAAATGGAAAGACACATGCTTTAAAAAAATATATATCAGTGTTTTCAAAGGCTCATATGAGTTTAGAACTAGAAGATACAGGATTAGTCTCTGTTGGAGTTCGGGAGTAATAAAAAAGTCAGATGGTTCGAATTAGTTTCAGTCTTATTGAGACCCCAAATTAATCATTCAAGATGTAATTCACAAAAAGCAGGAAGCAAAATAGACCCATTGCCTCAGATTCTAAGACAGGAATAAAACGAACTAAGAGTAGCTTTCTTCCAGGAAGAAAGCAAAAGTACATCTGCGGTTCTCATGGTCAGGGAGAGGGTTCTTCTTAGAGCCAACTTTCGGTCGTGGGGATACTACCCACGTCCAACTAGAAACCAAGATGATGTTGCTCGTGCTGACACAAATCACAGGAAATTGAGGCAATCATGGACATTTACTGTACAAGCAGCAAACCAGAAGTCTCCTGAGAACAGGGAAGAGCCCACAGTCCTGGTGTTATTTTGGGTGGACTGAACAAACATGAATGCAGAGCTGGGAGCTAACTGGCACAGAATAAAACAGAGTTTGAACTGTGGCTCTCCACTAATGCACTACTAAGAATAATGGGTACTCTAAAGGATGTGAAGGCTCCTTTCCTCCCTGCCTCTGTGAACACATCAACAACCTAAAACCCCAAGCAGTTAGAATAAGAGAAACGCTAGCCACGTGCCCCAAAGTGATCAAGAATTATTTTGTTTCCTTCCTACAGAAATGTCATTCATTTTTCATGAAAATTTGTAGTCTTAGGTGAACTTCAGAGTGAGTAGTGATATTCCTTTTGTTTTACAACATTGGTAGTAGTAATTTCACGTGGCTAGAACAGAGCTTACTCTTCTAAAAGAAAATAAACTTGTATTTTGATAACCAGATTTATTTCAAGTTATACTGATAATATCTCCATTATTTTGGTATTCAAATAAAAAATGTAGAAAAATTACATGTCTCTCTTGTTTTTCCAATTATAGTTTCTAAAATATTTTAAAAGTTGAATCATTTTAATTTGTTAAAAGAACTTTATAAAAGTAAATAACCAAATTATCTATGTTAAAGATTGTGCTTTTGAATTTTCTCAAAGGGAGGCTCACCTTTATTTTACCCATATTTTTAAAAGATAGTATTTTTGGTTCAGAGTACATGAGCTTTGGAGTCATCTTACTGTGTAAATTAAAATAATTACATATATCAGCTGGAAAATATTATGTGGAATATTGCAGCCGTCAGACTGAAAGAGGTCAAGATTTATGGTGATGTTGATCAGAAACAGTATGGAAAATTTTCTCAGTCTGTTATCCCTTTTTCTATGATGAATTGACAGACATTGTATCTCCCTAAACATGGACGCTTCTGGGCCATACCCTACAGCTCCAGGTATTCTCAGCAAGCTGGAACTATGTGTAACACAAAGCCATCAGAGGTCTTTCTATGCCAACGTCAAGTCATGTTGAAGTTACAAGATTATCCATAACTGTGATCAGATTCTCTCAAACCAGCATTATTAATGTACTATTGATACATAAAACTATTCTACAGGTCAATACTAGTTTGCCACTTTCAAAAAAGCTTTTATACACATTATCTCAAGTGTAAATAAGTATGCCTATTTATGATAGAGTTTCCTATTTGACTGCCTCTTTTTGAGGTCACTCTCTCAGAAAGAGAACCTACATACAGAGCAGAGAGCTGTTTATCCAGCTCCTTCAGGTCAGTATGGCTGCGTGACTTGCAGAAAATAACATACTTACTATAAATACCAGATACAGTCACCTTAATTAAGTACTCGGTTTTGCCTAGGCATACCTTGGTCAAAACTCAGTAATAATCTGAACCTGAGGGGCAAAAAGATCAAAACGGAGGGCAAAGGATTGTTTTTATTTTTAGGTCATCAAAAAATACTAAACTGTTGGTCAGGATGATCCATAAAGAAAGAAAAACAAATTCAAACTATGACTAACAAGGCCTGCTGTGCATGAGTCACAAACTGAATCAAGCAAGGCCTCTGGAAACAGGAGGAAAAGCATCCAGGAGCCACATCATAATCAAGCAATGAGTCTTGTAACTTGTTGGTGTCTTCACTGAACTATTTCAATACCTTGATGAAGTCCAGAAGAGAGGTCAGCCAGTCTAAAACTCATCCTCTTCCCTACCAAGAATGTTCTCGGTGACCTTGAAGAGGAGTGTAGGAATGACTTTCTTAGGTGTGAACATGAAAATAGTGCTAGTTTAGTCAACCTTGGGGGATGACTCATTCCCCAATTGTGTCCTAGGCATTACGCTGACCTACTTCCTGAAGGTGGGATTAACCTTGCAAAGGGGGAAGGTAATTGTTCTATAGATTTCACTTCTATAAACTGGAAAGGGATTATATTTATAAATGAAATATCCCAATAGCATACATCATGTTGACTGAGCATAGAAGTTTGAGGCCTTTAGCTTTTTTCTCCATGGTTGCTTTGTTACTAAAATTCAGGAGAGACCAAATTGTATTTCAAAATGTTCCATCTTTACTATCTCACTTGGAGATTCAAATCCATAAGAGGATGTGCTTCTGATAAATACAATAATGACGAATCCTATCTGAATTCCCAACTGAGTGTATGTCTCTTGAAGAAATTTTTCTCTCTGCCTTGTCAATTTCTCACAAAGTCCAAGCTGTTTATCTGGGGAAACCACCATAATACTTTATCTGACTTAAATTGATGCTTACATGAAGTTTTTATCATAAGGATTGAAACTAGTAGTACAGGGAAGGAATAAAAAGACAGACAAACTTCCCTGCTTAATAGCTACAGAGAGTGCTTGGATCCAAGACCAGCCAGCCACCTGGCAGCAGAAAGAAGCAAGCTGGTTTAACCCCAGGGCTTCCCCTCCCCTTGTTAGTCTAACTGTGAAAACAGGCAAAAGAACAAAATAACCAGCTCCAAATTTCTTATTCCCAGTCTCGTTCCCTACCATGGGACAGAGAGAGATCCTTCAAGGCCACTCCTCCGAGATAAGGTCAAGGTGAATCATGGCCTGATTCCCTGGTTGTCATTCCATTCAAATTTCCCTCAAATTGGCATTTTCCCCTCATACAGTGACAATTAAAGAATAATTATCATAACCAGAGTACAAATTCTAACTCTGCAACCTCATAGAAAGTGCTGGGCAGCTGTCTTTCCCACAGAGCTGAAAGGATGATGACTAACACATAAATTAACCTGCCAGTTGGGTGCTAATATTGCATTGATATCCTGGCTCTTCAAGGACATTTGATTTTCTGATTTAAATGGTATGGCATGATCTATGTCATGCCTCAGAAACAGAATTGGCTTTATAACCATTTTTCTTCATAACCGTCCATCCATCTGGTGTGCATTTGTGGGGAACTGAACAGGAGTTAACCATTTCGTAATGCTCACAAGTCTGCGGGTTGTCTGGGTGGTTTTGCTGATTTGGGCCATGATTTCGTGATCTTGGCTGATCTAGTTCCTGTGATTGGCACACTGACTGGGGGCTAGTCGATCTAGAATGGCCTCACTTTTCTATCTGGCAGCTGTTCTTGGCTCCCAGCTGGGGCAGTGGGGCTAACTGGGCCATGCATGCCTCCTCCTCCAGCAGGCTAGCTCTGGGTTGGTCACAGGAGGTCACAGGTTCCAAGAGCAACAAAAAAGTAAGCCACAATGTGCAAGACTTTCACGAGTCTGTTTCTGATTTTCTAAAACAAGTACAAGGCCAGTTTAGATTCAAAGCATAGAGAGAGATGCTACCTCTTGGGGGAAGAGCTACAAAGCTTCATTGCAAGGTCATGGGCATAAGGAAGGAAAAGGTTTTGACTATTTTTGCAATCTACCACATGCCCTTTGACCATAATTTTGATACTTTTTCTTTCAAGTCAACTGATACAGCATATTCGGAAATCCTTGACCTAAATCTATCCGTTTTTTTTCCTTGACTCCACCAGGTTTCTTCTGGGTCCATTCAAGAAAGTGTGAAAGACCGAGTGATTGACTCAAGATTGCAGCTGTTTATCACTAAGCCAGGACTCTTCACATGCATAGCTACTAATAAGCATGGAGATAAATTCAGCACTGCAAAGGCTGCAGCCACCATCAGCATAGCAGGTAGGATGGATTTTCACAACCGCATTGTTCCAGGAGAGGGGAGAGTTGGCACTATGCCACATCTCATTTGGGGGAAAATCTTTTTTCTTTTATTTCTTACTCCAGTCCCCTTTGGGTGATTTCTTCCTCCTTGAGGACACACCAGAGGTTGATCTAGATAACTGATCTTGGGTGATTTATTGCCTCAAAAACGAAATCCTCCAATACCTGTCCCCATGATGGGTAACAGCTTCTAGAAGTTCATTTCTATTTCTTTTCTCTCCCTCCCTTTCTTCCTCTTTTTTAACCTTCCTCCTTCCTTTCTTCCTTTTCTTCTCTTTTTCCATTTCTTTCCTTTCCTTCCTCTCTCTCTTTCCTCCTCCTCTTTTTTTCTTTCATGGGGCTAATCACACTTTCCAGGGCTCTCAAAGAGTAACTTGGCAGACACTTAACATGGTTGTGCCAATTTCTGCATGGCTCTTTCTTGAGGGCATTTTTACTTATGAGTATTTGATCTACTTTGTGGTCTTTCCCTTTCCTGTTTCAGGAAAGCGATAGCAGGACTTACAGGTGTTTTCAAGGAAAAGAGCTGACATACAGATTTCTAGGATATTTGTGTTGAGTTGTAAAGGTTTATTTTTAAAATGTAAATGCCCCAAAGCCTTCTGAGAACATTTGTGGAATTCCTAGAGATGGAAATAATCCCTGTATCAGGAAATGCCAGGCATGCTATACTCATAATATGTCTACTGCCCAAGGGTCAGCAGAGATGCTTGGCTCACATGTGAGGCAAGCACTGGTAGAACCTGTGCCCAGGGCCAGCTCCCCAGATCCTGCTATGTCTTATTACCATGCCACTTCTTTGATCTTCCATGATGGGGAAATTCCTAGTAATGTTTGTGATTTTAATATGAGATGAATAGAGACCACAGAGAAATACATAGGGAGCACTGGACAAGGCTGGCCTTCTAAAGCATGCCTTTGAAGGAAGGAGAAGATTCTAAAACTAAGGATTCCTTCAACCTGCTTCTCCAGGGATCTATCTACTTATAGTACCTTGAGATATCATATCAATTATTCTAGAATTTCCACTGATGGGAAATCATTTCTCCTAGAGAATGGTGAGAATTCTAAAAGTGAATTCAACTCAATTTAACAAATAATAATAAAACAATTATTGCTTACATAGTACCTTGTTGTTGATAAAAGACTCTTACATGCATTTATTAAATACTAGATTCAGGCCATCATTAGGTAGAATAAAGGATGCAAACTTAAGTAACAAATGAGATCATTAACAATGGAGTCCCTGCCTTCCAGGGACTGTCAATCTAGAAAGGAAGTCAGCCAGCCATATACATTATGGCACAGACTATGTTCTACTGCAGAAGCACAGACGAAGAAAACAGCAAGCTGCTGGCAAGCTTAGAGCATGATGGCGATAGAGAAAACATGATGGTGAGATAGAGAACGGGAAGAAAGGTTTGAAATGTGGGCTCTGGCCAGGTTATGAACAGCCTGAGTAGGTTGAATGTATTCTTCAATCAGTGGGAAGTCATCTAATTATTTTAGAGGAGAGAAGTGATATGGTCAGATATATGCATTATCAAATTAGCAGATGTTGGGTGTAAAAGACTGGGAGGCATGGCATGCAGTCAGGAGGCTATCCCAGGAGTCTAGAAAAGTAATGAAGGTCTGAACGACAAGTGCAGCAACTGGTCCAGAGAGAAGGGGAGAGATTCAGGTGATCTGTCAGGATAGAAACGATAGGACTTGAGAGGTGCCTGGGTGGCTCTGTTGGTTAAGGGTCCAACTTTTGATTTTGGCTCAGGTCATGATCTCAGGGTTATGGGATTCTCTCTCTCCCTCCTCCCCCTGCCCTTCCTCTACCTCTCTGTCTTAAAAAAAAAGGGGGGATAGGATTTGAATGTGCTAGAATGTAGCAGTGTAGTAGATATGAGAGTTTGAGGAAGGTGTCTAGAACAAATAATAACAGATAAAACAAAATAGAAGATTTAAAAAAATTAAAATTTTTAATGCCTTTGAATAACCTGGAATTATTCTAGTCTCACTATCTTATGTTTTATTTGATATCTGATCAGCGACCAATGTTAAATAAGTAAATACCTATTTACAGTATCTATCCATCCTTCCCTCCATCTATTTAGATAATGTGCGTGTGTGTGTGTGTGTGTGTAGAGAGAGAGAAAAACATTTACATATGAATACTCAAATCCAAGAAAATAAACTGATTTAATCTAGTTTAACCTACAGCTCCTCAGGGTGAAAGAGAAAAATTAATGTTGCGAATCTTAAGAGCATTTCATTTTAGGTAATTATTCAGTCCTTTACGTATTAATTCCCTGCCAGGGCATTTCCTCCCCTTCCGCCCCTCTCCCCTAGATGGCAGGGGAAAAGGGACTTGAATACATGCAGTGGTGACCTCTGGAACAAACCCCTACCCCATTCTCTGGTGAAGTCTACAGCTGGAGAACTTGTGATCTCATCTCTTGGCTTTGTTAGGACCCAGAGGATGCCCCTGGCTGGCTCAGCACCTTTGAGGCTCGTCCTGTAACAGCACAGTCCTCTCCATCTGGGTCACATCCTTCATCAAGGCCCTCTCTAGAGTCTACTTTGCAACCTCTGCAACTCAGTCACCCTGTCTCTCCCTATGAAGGCAGGCCTGCTGAATTCCAAGTCGGCTCCTTCCTTATCCCTCATGGGGCCTGAAGTAACTTCTGGATCACTTTCATGTTATGCATAATCCATTTGTTATACAAAATCCAAGAGAGATTCAGACCTATTGACCTATTGACCCAGTTCTGCTGTCTACCCAACCACGTCATGCTACCATTTTTATATTAATGTGGCCATCCCATGTCAGAGTAAGGAACGCCTATAAGGTTCCTTGCGTCTAGAGTTCCAAATAAGAAGAAGAGAAAAGTCCCTTTGCTTTGGCTTTTTCCTTAATTTATACCTCTCCTCTAGGATTTTGGTCCAGAGAAAGGAATCTATAAAATGTATATCTGAATTCTTATTTCCTCTACCTTCCTCCTTTACACAACATACCAAGTGGGAGAGACTCCCCGTCTAGTGCAGCAACCCTCAGAGGGCCTACCATCTTAAGTACAAAGATGAGTGTGAAGTCAGTGCTATGGCAATAAAGAAGGAGAACCTAATATAATGGGTATATCTACATCACACCAAGGCAGATTCATTGCATGGACACGATCTTCAAGACGCTGAAATGACTACAGAGCATGACTGCCACCATATCGTATACAGCAACATCACCCCTTCATCCCTGACCTAGCTGATCTAACTCCATTAATAAATGGAATATACCAACAGTGGAGGCTGTAATACTAAAAAAGTAATGGTATCTTCTGGTGGTAGAAAGAACCTTAAGTTATGGCAAGCAGCATAGAAAGGCATGCCTTTCTATGGAGGGAGAAGTGGTCTTAGGCATCAACTCTTAAAGACCAGAGTGAGGCAATGGTAGCCTGGGGGAAAATAGCAGTAGCACTGGCATGGGGAAAAAGATGGTAGAAGTAATGCAAGAACCGGTATATAGCAGCAGAGAGGACTTGAAATCTCCTGCAGCAGCAAGGTGAATACAGATGAAGAGCAGTGACCTCAGTAAGGGCAATGGTCATGTAGGCTGGAACCAGCAATAACTTGACTTTCGCCAGTGGGCCCAGCAATACATATTTAGCAAGTGTCAGGAGCTGTATGTGAACCAATAAATGTGAATCCTTCTGCACATGGAAAAAATTGTTACTAAGATGAATGAAGAAAGACTCCCTTAAGGAACTAATTCATAAAAAGCTACAGGATCCTTTTGTTTATCCCCTGATCAGTTTTTCCTGTTGGATCTCACAGACTTTGAGGCCTGAAGCTCCCCTACTTTTCCTAAAATTTCCCCAGTAGATCTAATGAGGGTGTCTCATGAGTGCAATGGAATAAGACCTCTGAACCCCATGAGACATCTGCCATTTACTCTTCCTCTCCTTGACCCATTCTTTTCCATTAAATCTGCTAGATGCCTCACAATGTTTCCAGTGCCATCAGTGAGGAAATTGCCTCCCAATGCTGAGGTGCTCCCTGAGGCAATATTCCAGGAAAGTGAGGCCACATTGGTGAAAACAAGATCCATGGAGCCACTTAATTCAGAATCATTTTAAAGAAGCATGGTCTTATGCTCCTGAGACCTCCCAGGGCTTGGATATGGCATCTGCTTTCTCCATTTTAATTTCAGCCCCTCTCTCCTTTGGCCTCTGATGGCCTCAGAAGTCCAGAGTTTTGAGTCAGACATGGGGACTCCTCTTGACATTCTGGCAATGCTTCCTTACCCCAAACTCTCCTTTCTCTCCTTTCAGCCATCCCCATCCTCCCCTAGTGTTCTGTAGTCAACAGCCTCCTTTGTCACATTCTCTGTGTTTCACTTTGAAGCTACTCCATCTGTTTATTTACTCATCCCAGCAGGAAAACTGGAAATGGAAAAATCTGGTCTAGTGCTTAGGATTAGGTCTAATGATATTTCTAGTGTTTGAAGGAAAACAAAAAATAAAGATCAGCCTTCATTTTCCCAAAACTCTTCCATGTGTATGCCCAAATCCTTATGCATTGTTTGAGAAATGTGATATACTTCTTTCTGACTCATTTACATTTGCTGTTAGTCATCAAAAGGAGTCAGGAAAATTTTGGAACCTCTCCTTATGAACCAGGAAGTTGCATTTCCTTCCAGCCACAACCTTGAAAGGTTCAAGTTGCAATTTAAAATCACCAGGATACTGGGTATTTGGCCAGGTGCCTTCTCTTTGTCATTAGAACCCTAGGCTCTGTGACAGAGACCAGCAAGACAGCCCATGATCCCTGTAATGAGCATAATTCTGGAAGAGCCAGATGCCACCAAAATAGGCATCAGTACTAATTGTACCAAACATTTAAAGAAGAATTAACACCAATTCTTCTCATACTCTTCCAAAAATTGAACAGTGGGGGAACACTCCCAAACTCATTTTATGAGGCCAGCATTACCCTGATACCAAAGCCAGATAAGGATATCACAAGAAGAGAAAACTACAGACCACTTTCCCTGATGAATGCAGATGCAAAAATTCTCAACAAAATATTAGCAAGCCAAATTCAACATCATATTAAAAAGAGCACTTATCATGATCAAGTGGGATTGATCCCTGGGATGCAAGGATGGTTCAACATACACAAATAAATAAAGGTGATACAACACATCAATAGAATGAAAGATAAAAATCATATGATCATCTCAATAGATGCCAAAAAGCATTTGAAAAAATGCTATATCCTTTCATGACAAAAATGTTCGGGGCGCCTGGGTGGCTCAGTTGGTTAAGCAACTGCCTTCGGCTCAGGTCATGATCCTGGAGTCCCGGGATCGAGTCCCGCATCGGGCTCCCTGCTCGGCAGGGAGTCTGCTTCTCCCTCTGATCCTCCCCCTCTCATGCTCTCTGTCTCCCATTCTCTCTCTCAGATAAATAAATAAAAAATCTTAAAAAAAAAAAAGTTCAACAAACTGGGTATAGAAAGAACATTCCTCAACACAGTAAAGGCCATATATGACAAACCCACAGCCAACATCATACTCAATGGTGAAAGGCTGAAAACTTTTCCTTTAAGATCAGTAACAAGACAAGGGTGCCCACTCTCACCACTACTCTTCAACATAGTACTGGAAGTCCTAGCCCGAGCAATTGGGCAATAAAAAGAAATAAAAGGCATCCAAACTGAAAAGGAAGAAGTAAAATTGTCTGTTTGCAGATGATATGATCTTATATATAGAAGATCCTAGGGACTCTACAAAAAAACCACTAGAACTAATCAACAAATCCAGTAAAGTTGCAGCATACAAAATCAACATATAGAAATCAGTTGTGTTTTTATACACTAACAACAAAACATCTAAGAAACAAAGAAAATCATCCCATTTATAATAGCATCAAAAACAATAAGATACTGAGGAATAAGTTTCACTGAGAAGGTAAAAGATCTGTATGTTGAAAACTAAAAGATTTTATGAAAAAAAATCGAAGACACAAATAAATGAAAAGATATCCTGTTTCATGGATAAGAACTAATACTGTTAAAATTCCCATATCACTCAAAGCAAGCTACAGATTCAGTGCAATACCTATTAATATTCCCATGGCATTTTTCACAGAAATAGAACAAACAATTCTAAAATTCGTATGGAAGCATAAAAGATTGTGAACAACCAAAGCAATCCTGAGAATGAAGAATAAAGCTGGAGGCATCACACTTCCTAACTTCAAACTATATTACAAAGCTATAGGAATCAAAATAGTATAGAATTATCAAAAAAACAAACTATAGACCAATGGAACTGAATGAAGAGCCTAGAAATAAACTCACATGTATATGGTCAATTAATTTACAGCAAAGGAGCCAAGAATACACAATGGGGAAAGAACAGTCTTTTCAATAAATGGTCCTGGAAAAACTGGATAACCATACAAAAGAATAGAACTGGACTCCTCCTATCTTCCACCATACACAAAAAGCAACTCAAAATTGATTAAAGTCCTAAACATAAGACCTGAAACCATAAAACTCCTAGAAGAAAACATAAGCAATGAGTTTGACATCAGTCTTGGTGATTTTTTTGGATATGACACCAAAAGCACAAGCCACAAAACCAAAAATAAACAAATGGGATTACATCAAACTAAAAAGCTACTGCCCAGCAAAGGAAACCATCCACAAAATGCAAAGGCTTCCTATGAAATGGGAGAAAATATTCTCAAATTGCATACCTGAGAAGGGGCTAATATCCAAAGTACATAAAGAGCTCATATAACTCAAAAGCAAAAAGACAATCCAATTTTAAAAAAAAATGAAGAGAAGATCTGAACAGACATTTTTTTTCTAAGGAAGACATACAGATGGCCAACAGGTACATGAAAAGGTGCTCAACATCACTAATCATCAGAGAAATGCAAATCAAAACCACAATGAGATATTACCTTATAACTGGATGACTATCAAAAAAAAAAAAAAGACAAGAGTTAATAAACGTTGGCAAGGATGTGGAGAAAAGGAAACCCTTGCACACTGTTGGTGGGAATGTAAATTGGTTCAGCCACTGTGGAAAACAGTATGGAGTCCTTATAGAAATGCTATATGATCCAGCAATTCCACTTCAGGATATTTATCCAAAGGAGATGAAAATAGGATATTGAAGAGGTATCTGCACCCTCATGTTTGTTGCAGCATTATTCACAATATATCAAAACAGTAGATACTAGTTACAAGATATGGAAACAACCTAAGTTTCTGTCAACAAACAAATGGATAAAGAAGATGTGATATATACAAAATACCTCACTGTATATCTTACAGCATCTCATATACATATATACATACAATGTGATATTATTCAACAATGATGAAGAAGGAAATCTGGCCATTTGTGACATGGATGAAACTTGAGGCCATTATGGTAAGTGAAATAAATCAGACAAAGACAGATATGTATGATATCACTCATGTGTGGAATCTGAAAAAGTCTAACTCATAGAAACACAGAGGACAGTAGTTACCCCATGCTGCGTGGTGGAGGAAATGGAGAGATGTTGGTCAAAGGGCACAAACTTCCAGTTATAAGATGAGTAAGTTCTGGGAATCTTTGTCCATATGGTAATTATAGTTAATAACACTGTATTATATACTTGAAAGTTGCTATGAGAATAGATCTTAAATGTCCTCACCACAAAAAAGAAATGGTAATTATGAGACATGATGGAGGTGTTAGCTAATGCTAAGCCGGTAATCATTTTGCATTATATAAGTGTATACCTTAAACTTACACAACATTATAATTATATCTCAGTAAAGCTAGCAAAAAAAAAAAAAAAAAGACAAAGGGATGCAGCAGAGGAAAAGTTTGCATTTCCCATTCTCAGTGGCATTAATAGGTCCTTCCTGGAAGACTGAGGTTCAGAGTTCCACCTACTCTTATCCAGTTGGAGAGTACAGGAATGAGTCTATACTCCAACATAAGCCAGTCATTCCACCAACACTCCCACCATCTACAATGCTCCTTCTTTGACCTCAGGATCTGGGGCTTCCGGTCACTAAATTTAACACTCAAATGAATATATGCAGCATAACCAAAAATGGGCGTAGAGAGGGATCTAACGTAGTAGTATTGGAGTTCCCCACCCCTCCAATGGACCACATATTTTAAGCATTGATAGTTCACACTACTACCAAAAAACAACAACAAAAAAAAAACCAGAAGTTTGAATTCTATTTTCACAATCGACATAGCTAATTGAACGTACTGCCCTGTTTCACGGTCTCTCTCATGTCTGATAGTCACACTCCCTCGTCCCTGACATGCTCTTTCCAGTTCTGAGAACACGTGGGGATGCATCAGAAGCACACGACCAGCTTTACCACCCAGTGCTTCAGCCGGGACAGGTAGAGTGCTCTTACCAACAAAACAGACGCTGTCCCTGGCTGTTTCATGGTGGCTTTATCTGGTTTCAAATTGATTAAAGGTGTTTGTTTTTGTTTGAAACGAAAGGGAAAAGAATAAATGAGTAACAGCCAGTAGCCACCCTAAATTGCTATCAACTGTTCTGCAGTGAAGCCGAAGAGGGAAGCATTCTTTTTTACAATCAGGCAGCTTTCCCATATTAAAGTTACTGTGTGTTTTAGAAGACAGCCAGAGTTTTACTGGCTTTTCCAGATAATTGTAAAGATACTACACGTATCGAGGACGGTTGGCAATTTTTGGAATCTTAAAAAAATCTAGTTTTGAGATCAAAGCACTTGTTTATAATTGCAACGTTCTTGGACCCTTCCCTGGCTCCCCACCCTCCCTCCAGAAGAAAACGCAACTGGAAGAATTTCTGTCAGAAACACATGGAAGCCCTCTGATTCTCTTACTATTCTGGACACATCCAGGCACCCTTAAATGAGTCTCATTTTTCTTTCCCTACTCATCCTTGAAATAGAAGCCTATCTAAGCTTATTATCTCCTCCCAAATACTATGGCTGGGTTCTCTTTGGCATTGGCACATCTTCATGGTATTGAACCCTCTTTTTACACCTTAAATTGAGATATATAACCTTGGCCTCCGGGTATTTCAACAGGTTTCTCTGCTCAGCTGCTATGAGAACCTGCCTTTACCCCTCCAAATTATAGACCATTTTCTCTAGAAGAATCTCCCGATGCCTCCTTTCATCTTTTCTATCTGCACAGTGGCAGAATGGTCTTGTAGCTTGGGTCCTGTAGGTGCTTTATATAGGTTGGTTTCTCATCTGTAGGCTTGTTTTCATGCTACAAAGTGCCTTGGTGGCTAGTGGAGGGGAATCTGGAGCTTTGACACTACCTGGGCTGATGATGCCAGTGATGGACCCAGGTTGAAACGAACACAGTTCCTGCAGACTCTCAGTTTTCTCTTAACTTTACCTCCTCCAAATCTGCCTGTTAATGCAGTGTCTGGCCTCCTAACCAGAGAGAACTTTCCAGAAACTTAAGAAGTAGCGATATCAAAGCTATCTCTTGCAAATCTGAAGATTTAAATGTACTAACTTTTTTTTCTTTTCCCCTTTAATGTGATTTCCTGTGGGAACTTCCTCTCCTGTTAACAGAATGGAGGTAAGATAGCACTGTGACATCAATGCTTTGTTGTGGTGGTTTTTGTTTGACCTGCCCTTTATTGCTATTTGCTGAGTACTGTAATCTTTCAAAAACTTTCTAATTTCTAATCCTTTTCATACTCTTACAAGATGATAATGAAGATAGGTCACATCTATTGAATACTTACTGTGCTAAGAGCTTTACTTGCATTATTTAAATTTATCCTCAGGACATCCATATGAAAGAGGTACTATTATTATCTCTATTGTACAGAAAAGAAACTAAGAGAGTTTTCTTTGAAATGGAGAGTTCCAGTGACTTACACAAAGGGTAAGTGATAGGCTTGGAAATTGAACCCAGAACTGACTACCCAATTTTCCCTCATAACTTTATCTTGTAGATAAGAAAGTGTTACATTGTAATGTAACATTTTGCAATGTACAGTATTTTATTTTCAGTAAAAATGACTTTCATAAAAAACCTATGAAGTGTCACAACTGTTTTTACTTAATTTTACAAGCAATGAAACTGAGATTCAGAATGATTAACTAGGTAATAATAGTAATAATGACAATAGCAGCTAAGTTTGTGGTACATTTATGATCACCATTTTTCTCACTTTTACATTTCAGTGACTTTATGGGGCAAGACCTATTATCATCCCTATTTTTTAATATGAGGAACCTGATGCACTAGGAGTTGCCCAGACCACACAGCTTGCAAACTATCAAACCTCAATCTGAGCTCAGGTAGACAGACTCAAAAACTCAGATTTGATAACTACTGCACTAACCCAGATAGCACAGTAACTGAGCGGGACCTAGAACTCCAACCACTGAGTCTAATTCCATGGAATAAAGTAATTCATTGCATAAGAAAATTTGGTTAATTCTTAATATTGTGCCAATTCATGCAGCTTTGATGCATTCATTCACTTACCACAGTTCTTTTTTTTTTTTTAAGAGTTTATTTATTTGAGAGAGAGAGTGAGAGATTGAGAGCACAAGCAGTGGGGAGGGGGAGAGGGAGAAGGACACTACCGCTGAGCAGGGAGCTTGATGCGGGACAGGATCCCAGGACTCTGGGATCATGACCTGAGCCGAAGGCAGACGCTTAACTGACTGAGCCACCCAGGCATCCCCACTTATCACAGTTCCAAGAGAGAGTCCTGTCCTCAAGGACTCTACAGTGAAACTGAGTATCTACCGAACAGATATACAACCTAAATGTGGTAAAAGTTAAATTAAAATGTAGGCCGCCAAGAAAAGAGATGCCATCTTTCCCTCACATGCCATTCAGCACTCCTGTCCTTCCAATGCATTTTTAAACCACTCACTCTATTTCTGGCACTATACTGGAAAGCAGAAAAGCTGTTTTAACTTGTATGTATTCACTGCCCCCAAGTAATTTACATTTTACTAGGTGCACATGTACACACACAACATAATAATGGAAGCATGGACAAAGTCCAAGGACTCAAGGACAGAAACAGATCACTCAAATGCAAGTAAATGCAAATTTCTGGCACTATATTGGAAAGCAGAAAAGTTGTGTTTTGTTTTTTTTTAAGATTTTATTTATTTATTTGACAGAGAGAGAGAGAAAGCACAAGTAGGCAGAGAGGCAGGCAGAGGGAGAGGGAAAAGCAGGCTCTCCACTGAGCAGGGAGCCCGATGTGGGGCTCGATCCCAGGACTCTGGGATCATGACCCGAGCTGAAGGCAGCCACTCAACCGACTGAGCCACCCAGGCATCCCAGCAGAAAAGTTGTTTTAACTTGTATGTATTCACTGCCCCTAAGTAATTTACATTTTACTAGGTGCACATATACACACACAACGTAATAATGGAAGCATGGACAAAGTCCAAGGACTCAAGGTCAGAAACAGATCACTCGAATGCAAGTAAATGCAAATGAGAAATCAAAAACCCATTAGTAGTCAGTAAACTAAAAAAAACCCACACAGTTTTTCACTTGTGATAACACAAGCACTCTCAAACCGCTGGTAGAGACGAAACTGCTATAACCTCTCTTAAATAGCATTTGGCAGTTTTTATTAGGAGCCTTAGGATCATTGTATCTACTGATTGGCTAAATCCAGTTTTAATAATCTATGTTAAGGAAATAATAAGTGTATGAACAACAAAATTGAAAACAACACCATATTTATTAACGAAATTTATGAGCAATGTCAATATCTACCAATAAGGGAAATTGGTGTGATTAAAAACCATGCTTTTGAAAAATATAATAGCACAGACAAATGTTCAATTATATTAATTATCATTAATTATATTATTAATAATGCTTATAATCATGCTAAATAAAAATGCAGGATACAAAAGTACATTGACAGAATAATTCTAAATATACTGTATATATAACTATATAGTATGTATATACACTATAGTATATATAACCTTGTATGTATTATACTCATGTATATACTGATTATAACTGATATATGTACAAATATATACAATATATACAGTGTTTATGTATTTGGCTGATATAATTTTCAAATTTTTTAAAATTAAAAATGTTTTCTTCTTTACATCATCATTTTTTACATCTTTATTTTACACAAAAACTAGGTACTGATTTTAGTCAGAAGAACTACAAGAGGTGTTTTTCAGAGGCAACCATGTCCTTGAGGACACTGGGTTTGGCATTTCAGATAAATGACAATCTATGTCTGAGAGCAGGGGTTGGAAACCCTTTTTCTATAAAGGGCCAGATATTAAATATATTTGGCTTTTCATATACAGGCTCCACTGCAGCTGCTCAGCTCTGCTATTACACCCAAAAGCAGCCACAGACAATTCATAAATGGCTGAACGTGGCTCCGTTCCACTAAAGCATTATTACTATGGACACCGAAGCTTGAATTTCATATAATTTTCACTTCTTCTGATTTTTTTCAACCACTTAAAAATGTAAACACCATTCTTAGCTCACAGGCAGTATAACGACAGGCAGAGGGTGGAACTTGACTTGTGGACTGTATTTGCTGACCCCAGCCTTAGGGAATGAACCGTACACAAAGACAGTAGGCATGGAAGAATAAAAACAATTCCAGTTTGCTTTGGGGATTGGCAGTGTAGAACCTCGTCATCACACTTGCTGGGAAAGCAGAGTGGCTGTAGGCAGTTGCTATATAAGGAAAGACCTGTCTGTACAGTAGTCCCCCCTTATCCACGGGTGATACGTTCCAAGACCCCCAGTGGATGCCTGAAACCATGCATAGTACGGAACTCTACAGACACTTATGGTTTTTTCCTGTATATACATAGCTATTATAAAGTTTAATTTATAAATGAGGCATAGGAAGAGATTAACTGTAATAAAACAATAGAACTAGTCTAACAATATACTGTAATAAAAGTTGTGAATGTGGCCTCTCAAAATACCATACTGTACTCACCCCTCCTGTGATGATGCAAGATGAGAATATGCTTGCGAGATGAGACAAAGTGAGGTGAGTGATGCAGGTGTCATTAACAGTGGGAGGCTAGTGGGAGGCTACCTGTGACCTTCCCACGGTGTGTCAGGAGGAGGAGCCTCTGCCTCTGGACTGTGGCTGACCCAGGGCGACTGAAACCAGGGAAAGCGAAACCGTGGAGAAGGAGTAAGTACTGTGCCAGAGGACAGGTAGAGTTCTCAGGTGCACCACCCCTAAGGAGGGTGGGAAAAGCTGTGCGAGTTTCCCCTGGAGGCGTGGGGTTGCTTTAACCCAAACCAGCCTCAGCTGGTCGTCTGGATATGCCCTTGGACAAAGTACTATGTGTTCAAAGGGAATAGAGGTCTCCCTCATAGAAACTGCAAGATCACATTGAAAAATGCTCTGCTGGATGTGGTTCATATCTGCTGAAGCACAGAGAAGTAAGAGTAAAAAGTGTAGGGAGAATCCTTTAAATATTCAATTTGACGAAGCAGAGTTGTCTTTTAAGGAGGGACTTGAGATCATATATCCACCGTTGCTGCTAAAAAGAAACACTTTACAGAAAGGAAGGTCAGCCAGGTTTCATTTGTCAGGAGGCAAGAAAGGGACTGGCTCCATGTGCAATATGAACTAGCATTTTTGGAGCTTGTCCGGCAGACCGTTCCAAAATAACCAGCGTTCTGTGAACAGATCCCTGTGACCTCTGCCCTGCTGTTCGAAGGACCAGCAGGACCAGCTGCTTCTGGTACTTCTCCACTGCCAGTTCCAAGAACTGTGAGCAGAGGAACCCAACTTCAGTTGGACAGTTACTTGCAAAAGATAGCAGAAGACACCAGTGGCAGTTCTTTGCATTCATCTTGTCCCCCAGTTTTTGCTGTGAGCTTCTTTTAAATTTTTTAAGTGATAGGGTTAGGAGGATGAGGATGGCCCCATATGCCTCCATGTCTTGCCTCTGAAATTTGATCACTATGAAAAATTAGAGGTTTATGAGTCTGCAAAAGAGGAGAGGAAAAGGAAAAGGAAAAGGAAGTTGTTTAAACTCTGAAAGTGTGACTGGGCAGTCTCTATATATGTATATGTGTATGCATATATATATGTTATATATGTGTGTATATGTAATACATATGTACTTGGCCCTGTATATCCTTTACCTTGTAGAGCTGATCTTAGCATAGATATACTTCTAAGGCTAAGTCTTTAATGCTCCTAGGAACATCACAGAGGCATAGAAAATTAATAAGAACCATATACTTTATATTTTGTCTTTTCCCAGCATGCAAAGGCAGAAAGAAGTACCAAAATTACAAACCAAGAGCTCATTTCTATTCAAAACCTATTCTTTTTCCTGTTTTTTTCTTTCTTCTTTTACATTATATAGCTACTAAATAAATGAGGACCCAGTACTATCAGGCCAACAGAGGTTGTTCCAAAGATTTTTCTAGGGCATTTATTAAGAAAGGCAGCAGACATACACAAAGATAGATTGATTATTAATTGTCAATAATCCTTATTTTTGAAGCTATTTTTACTAATTTTTCTTTTGTGTACCTTTTCTGGGTTTTTCTTTTTTTTGCTTGTATTATTAAAGGAAAAATCAATGTTTTTTAATTTAAAAAATACTTATGGAAAAATACAGTCAGTCAATGGTTAACACAGGACAGCAGAACCTGGATGAATAACTCTCAGTCCAGAGGCACTCGGGGAAATATTTAACTTTTACACGATGCAGTTTTTATGTTAAATGAAAAGAATCCCACCTGGTTTTATCTATCCCCCCTTTATACCAAGATATTATATTAATATGTGAGACCATTTAATCAACCAGTTTGAAGTACTTCTGGTTATTAGGTATTATTCTTCAGTTTCTTAAAGTACAGCATCCTTGCCTTTCTTGAACTTTCTTAGTGTTATCGCAGACCAGATTTCCCTAAGAGGCTGGGGCATAAGCTATTTCTCTGGGTTTTTGCTCAACCTTACCTGGCCCAAGTTTTCATGACAGCTTCGTGTTTTCTTATTTGAGGCCTTCATTTCTAAAACAAACTACAAACTACAGGTAATGTAATAAAATTCGTATTGGAGGGACACCTGGGTGGCTCAGTCAGTTAAGCATCCGCCTTCGGCTCAGGTCATGATCCAGGATCCTGGGATCGGGTCCCACACTGGGGTCCCTGCTCAGCGGGGAGCCTGCTTCTCCCTCTGCTCAGGCTCTGACAAAGAAATAAAATCTTTTTTAAAAATTAAAAAGAGTAAAAATAAAATAAAATAAAATTCATGTTGGCTAATTAGTAAAAGGCTAGTCTGAATTAGAGGAAGATTCTATATTATGAAACATAATTTCAAAGTATGGTATTTCTTGAAAGTTCATTGTTTTACCTGATAAGGTACATAAGCTGTATGCCATTTAATAGATTTGAACACTATAAATAAATAAAATCTTTAAAAAAAAAAAAGATTTGAACACTATAGTCAGCCATGGTTTCTAATTCAGGTATCAATTGTTCGGATTCAAATGGGTTCTCTTAACAATTTAAAATTTTCTCACAAATTCCAATTTAACTCTCTTACCTTAAAATCCTTTATATAAAGACAATGAAATGTGAAATTCCAACAACTGTACAAATCTAAATGAGCATACAACTCTTTTTTTTTTTTAAAGATTTTATTTATTTATTTGACAGAGAGAGACACAGCGAGAGAGGGAACACAAGCAGGGGGAGTGGGAGAGGGAGAAGCAGGCTCCCCGCTGAGCAGGGAGCCCAATGCGGAACTCGATCCCAGGACCCTGGGATCACGACCTGAGCCGAAGGCAGACGCTTAACCAACTGAGCCACCCAGGCGCCCCAAGAATATAACTTTTTTTGTCATTGTTAACAAGAGAGATCTGATGGAAGGCATAAGAATATGTTGAGACCGTCACAGTGTATACACATAATAAGTGCTCAATAAATATTTGTCGGGTGAGCATAGGAGTTATTACTATAATCCCCAGCATTCTGTTAGGGGGCAGTGGATATGTGCAGAGAGTACCAGCAGTATTTTTCATTCTCCCTCTCATTCTCTTCAGTTGTTACAGCAGATAAGCTTTTAATCTTATTTTTGTGCTAGCACTATACAATTTAGGTCTTTTCCTCATGTATTACCCATTAACACACGATCTGAGTTCAGAATAATTGCTTACATCACTCAACAGATTAGGCCCTTGGGGCTCTGAGTGACCAGATGACTTTCCCCAAGTCATGTGATGAGAAAATAGTAAAGCTGAAGATCTACTTAGCTCCTTTGAGAGCCTGATCCCAAGCTTCCTCCTCCCTAAGTGACTTTTAGTCTTTAATGAAATGCTGGGAAGGTGTGTGAGTGAGAGAATTTGGGTACAGGAGGTGTCACAAAGATGTATGTGTTCTATAAAATTCAGGGACTTAACTATCATAACACATAAATAAACTATGCTCAAAAAGCTGGGTCACCACAATTGTTATGTTCAATCATTTGTTAATTGTCACGATGTATATGTTTTTTAGGTGCACTTTACTTGTTGAAATCAGCTCCATTTGTAAGAAGCATATGAAGTGCCTTAACCAAGAGTAGTTAAATTCTATTTATAATGTAAAATAGTAAAACTACCCAAATCTATTCAGTCCTTGATAGTTCCCAAAGCTTTCCACATCCACTATCACATATGATCCTCATAATAACCCTCTGGAGTAGCTGGAGGTGATCGAATTATAGCTGGGAAGGGAGACAGTATTCAGACAGAACATTTCAGCCAAATTGCTAGTACAATCTTCTCCTATTGCTGTGATGCAGAGGTGGAAATAAAAAATTAAAAAAAAAAACAAAAACCAACCCAGACTGAATGCTAAGACATAGCATGTGATGGAGAACATTGTTCATTTCTTCTTTCAGTAAACTACAGAAAGATAACAAAGGCTACTGCGCCCAGTACAGAGGGGAGGTGTGTAATGCTGTCCTGGCCAAAGACGCTCTTGTTTTCTTCAACAACTCCCATGCAGACCCTGAGGAGGCCCAAGAACTACTGGTTCATACCGCCTGGAATGAACTGAAAGCAGTGAGCCCATTTTGCCGGCCAGCTGCTGAGGCTTTGCTGTGTAACTACATCTTCCAAGGCTGCAACCCTGGGCTAGTGCCTATTCCTACACCCATTTGCAGGTACAATAAAAAAAAGAAAGAAGTGGGAAAATTCTGCTGGATGCAAACAGGAAGAGATTTCAAAAGAAGCTGTCATGTGCTATGATAAACGCAAAAGGTGGCTTTTGTCCAAAATAGAAAGTAATTAATTGGACAGAATTCCTACCATGTAAATCACTGATGACATCCTATAATACAAGGGCTCTGAGCTCCTAGAAAATGTCATAAGAGGTATAATACTCTATTCTACTTGTTACTGTTCACACTATCATATTCATAAATATTCCAGCTTTCTATGAAATAAAAAAAAAAGCACAAACGTGGACCTCATTAGTAAGCTACAATAGAGAAGAAAAAAGGTCCATTTCCAATGTTTCAGCACTATTGGCCAATGAATATGAGATCTTGGTGAGCATTTCAGAATACTACTTTCTGTAATATGTATATTATTTTAAAATACATTCCACCCAATGTTCTAATTTAAATACTAACAGTCTTTCTCATGGTGGGGGGGGGGGTAATAAATAGTTATTTCTTTTAAAACCCCCGTACTCTTTAAACATGGAAATTCATAAATCCATGTTTGATAGAATTATCTTCCCTTTATTTACTTCTTACGTAGGAAAGACAGGACTCAAACTGGCTTTTGAGCCAAGCAGAACAAAGGTGAAACACTGTTTGTACCGCTTGCTAGATACGTGTAATCTTGGCTAACCTTCAGTTTCCTCATCTGCAAAACAGAGAGGATTAAAGGATAAACTGTCCTCATGGTATATGTTAGAAACTGGACAGATACTGTTTTCTTCTGAAGAAAACACATGAAAACTATCAACACATTTCCACCTCTGTTTTGATAAAACTAGAAAATACTGAAATATTGACATAATCATAGGGCCATGAGGTCATTAAAATAGAATGCTCCATTCCTCAACTCACTGCAAATTTTGAGGGTTTGGAGAAATTGTTAAGAGGAATATAACTTATTTCTTCACCCAAGAAGGTTATATTTTCATCAGACATGACAGCTAAGTATCTCTTGAGGAACAATCAGAATTAAAATTGAATTGTATCTTTTTTTGCTAGCACAAAATAAATTTATGAGTAACTTTCCAACATGTATGTCCTAGGCCAGTTTACATGCAAGAGCCACAGATGTTCTTTTTAAGATTAAGAATAATTTACTTTTTTTGTTTTTTTTTTAAGATTAAAAAAATCCCTTTCAATGAGACTTCAAATTTATTAGGATGGCATAGTTAATCATCTCCTAAATCTTTAAGTCAATTGTAGTATACTTAAAAAAATTTTTTTCCTTATACCTTCTGTTTGCCTTCCAAGTTGCTCAAAGGTCTTCAACCGTTTTGTGTTTCTAGTTATTTCTAGTTATTTGTGAGATTTTTAAAAGCACTCTATTACTCATGGTTTTCTTCTCTTTTTCTCTTTCTTTTTGGTTTCAGGAGTAGAATTCAGTGATTCATCATTTACATGTAACACTCAGGGCTCATCATAACAAGTGCCCTCCTTAATCCCCATCACGCATCTAGCCCATCCTCCCCCTAACCCCCTCTATCAACCCTGAATTTGTTCTCTATCTTTAAGAGTCTCTTATGGTTTCTCTCTTTATTTTCACCCCCGCCAGTATGTTCATCTGTTTTGTTTCTTAAATTCCATATATACTCATGGTCTTCTAATCATAAATAGTAATTAAATAATTTGTGCAACTTTCCATGAATGACAAGGAATTTCTTTTATTTGACAAATATTTATTGAGCTTCTGTCTCTAAGCCCTATTCTAGAGCATTTGTTTGTGGGGCTTACATTCTAGCAGGCGAAGACCATGAGCAAGAGAAGAAAAAAATGAGCAGGAGGTTAAGGGAGATGAAGAGTGCCAAGGATGGAGGATATAGTTGTGATTTTAAAAATAGGGTGTTGAGGGGCACCTGGGTGGCTCAGATTGTTAAGCGTCTGCCTTCGGCTCAGGTCATGATCCCAGGGTCCTGGGATCGAGTCCCGCATCAGCCTTCCTGCTCCTTGGGAGCCTGCTTCTCCCTCTGCTTCTCTCTCTCTCTCTCTCTCTCTCATGAATAAATAAATAAAATCTTTAAAAAAAAAAAAATAGGGTGTTGAGGGTAGGCCTAATTAAGTTAAACATAATTTTACTGAATACTCTACACTTGATCTTTGAAATGTTATCTGGAATTGTAAAACAGGTTAGTATTATTCAACTGTGTTTTATTTGCCAATGATCAAATTTTAGACCATTATTTTTAGCTTTTACATTTGATTACATAATCCTATATACAACTACCTGGTGTAGATCTCTGTTACTTATCCCTGATGCTAACTGTCATTCATATCAGAAAATCTTTCTTTTTCTTAAATTCTCAATTTTTATTCATCTCTTGTTCAGCTGGAGTAGGTGTTTTTTAGATTACATGTAAAAAACTTTTTACCATAATCTTATGTGTGTATGTGTGTGTTTCTGACTAAGTCTTGTGTTACATTTAATTTTCCTGAAAATCTTATACACTAATTGTTTTTTGGCTGTGTTGTAATGAAGAACATATAATTTTGTTCTTTTGGAGGGAATATTTTTTTTCTTGCCAAATGGTAGGAGGATTATTTTTTCATCTTTGAGATTCAAAATATTAATAAAATTCACCTGGGAGTAATCCTCTTTTCATTATTTTCTTTCCTACCAGTAATATAAAAATAATGGATAATGTGCCTTAATTATCAGGTTTACATCCTTTTTGTCCTAAGAGTGTTTTCTTTTAGTATATCTTTGAGTATTTTCATTTTTTTTTATGTACTCTAGTTTTCTTATTGGGAAACATTATCTATACTCTGGATTTCTTGCCAGCTCTTCCCCCTCAGCTGTCTCCTCACACAACATTTTCACCCTTCCTTCTTTCTGTGTGCATTCAGTTCAGACTTGTCAAGTTTTCCTGTGATTTGTCCAATGTCTTGCAGTGCCACTTCTTTATGGTTTTTAATGACAATTTTAAGTCCTTTGGTGTCCCTTTCACTTCTTTGTGGTCTTTATTTTCTTCAGTTGCTACTATGTTCAAGTTAACTTAGTTTTCAGTTTATTTTCCATTTCATCCTGATTTTTTTCCCTGTGAAAAACTCTTCTATAGCAGTCATCTTTAATACATGTCAATGAAAACAAAGCAAAACAAACAAAAATTTTTCTCATATGTGCTTCTGCTTAGAGTAAAAAAATAACTTTCCAGGGTATTTACTTCCTCCACATAATGTGGGCTACAGAATTTTTTTCACCTGCCCCATATTATTTTTGCACAGTTTAACAGTGCTGTCTGAATGTAGAAAATTGCCTTTGTGTGACCCAAGGGTGGGACCCAGATGTAAGAAGCAAGCTAAGCAATGTTCCTCTGGTTCTTCAAGTTCTCAGAATCCTTGAAAGCCCCACTGCTCTCCCTTCCATTACAGATACATCAAGAATTCTAAATCCTATTGTTGTTCTTATGACCACACTGTATCCTATCACAGTCATATGCATGACCCTTTCATTCCACACATGTTCAGTTGGCCCATACTGACAGGTGGTTGCCCAGAAAAGTGGCAGTGTAGGCATGAGTATTTTTAAAAAGATACCACTGTGACATATATATGTCACAATGCATATGCATACACACATACACATATACATACACAATTTCCTCCTCTCTGAATCCTTTAGATACTAAATGAGCAACATTGCTATTATCTCCAATTTCTTTAATAATCTTTAATTTCCTTTTATTTTTAATCCCAAATATTTTAATTTGGAGTTAACCAGTTTTTTCCTATAAAGTCTATCTTATTTTCTATAGGATAAGCTTAAACAAATATTCATGCACAAAATTCTGATTAGTCCAACTAGTCTTTCTTCAGCCTCTTCACTGGTAATAAAACACATGGATGAACATAACATTTCATATTTAAATAGACTAAATTACTCTGGCTTTCTCAGATGGAAGCACACACAGCAATGGGATAGGAGGCAGCTTCTCCCCAAGGCAAGGTGGGTAAGGATCCATATACCTTCCTATAACCTGCCAGGAAGGTGGTGCTCTTCTGTTTTGGTGGATGAAGTATGAAGAGGTGTCAACTGTACCCTTCAGTCCCCACCCATTAGCCTTGAGATTATAGAAAAATCTCTCAGGCTAGAAACTGATCAACAATGATCTATGACTTTAATTATGTGTTTTTTAAACTCTATGTACCTGTTTCTGTCCCTTTGTAGTTATTTTAATATGAATTTGAGAGAATGCATATTAGGGATTCCTAAACTGTTACCTCTTGAACTTCAAAATTCTTTTCCCCCAGGAGCATTAACTATGCTTTCAAAACAAAACAAGATAGCATTTCATCTCAGGGATAATATGCTATCTTTCATAAAGTCTCACATTATTTACAATAAAAGGATCCTTCCAAAAACACTTTTGCAAGAACAGACAATGTACTAATGGTGATGTTTTGAAAATACAGAATCTAGGCTCTGCCACAAATTTGGCCTTAATATGCTATGATTCATCGAGTTTTGTTCTCCATAAAATATTCTAGAGAATATTGCCTGGCAGTAAAGGAGCTCTTCTGTGCAAAAGAGTGGCTGGCAATGGAAGAAAAGACTCACAGAGGACTCTACAAATCTGGGATGCACCTGCTCTCTGTGCCAGATTGCAACAAGCTCCCCAGCATGCACTGGGACCCCATGGCCTGCACCAGACTGCCATATTTAGGTAACAGAGTTCTCTCAAGACTTTAGAGGTTAAGACAAATTTACTATTTTAAAGAAACTAAGTTGTGAACTTAAATCTCCCAATATTTCTAGGCATTTCTAATGTATTTTTTGAGTTCTGCCCTTTTTAGATATCTAATCACAGAATCCTACTATTTATCCTAATTGCCCAAGTTAGCATTAGGGTTTAATTTCATTTGTTCAAAAAGAAATTAAGGAGCACTTTTAACTGCTGCTTAAGATCTTATTTTGTAAGGGGATCTTATGAGAGCTTGTAACATTTTTTGGAATGTGCAGAGAAATGGCTAAGAAACCTCATATTATGTCAGATGAGTGGAATAAAAGAATAAAGTCCCCCTTCTTAGCCAACAAAGCAGATTTCTAAGCATGCAAAAATAAGCCACATGGTTGAAAATGCTGATCTCACAAAACAAAGCTGAATCTCTGCATGCTGTTTAATGAACTTCATTTGGAAGGAACTATGTTGTTAGCCCTAACAGCTGGTTTAATTTCAATGACACAATCCTTTCTTATTTGAATGCAAAGAATGTTTTCCAGTTGTATACTGAAAAACTAAAAGAGAACTCGCATTTCTTAGCACTCTCTCACGGAATATGTGAGGTATCTGGATGCTCATTAAAAACAAATTTTTATCCTTTCCCCCTCAGATTATAAAAAGGAAAACTTAACAAGTAAGTAATTTTATTTGTGCCCTTGAACCCTTATGTGTATGTAATCGGATTCATGCATGCGTATTTACACTCATACTTCATGATGTCCAGAACAGAATGTACAGCCCCTCTCAAAGATTTTTTTCTATGCTTACTGGTGTAAAACATGAAGGAAGATCATCAGAAACCTCAGCTTACAGCTCCCAATTAGGCGATGAAGAGCACCGTATTTACTGAATGATACAAATAATATCCCCTACCCCGAGGTTATAATTTGCTTGATCCTTTCTATGGCTACAAAATAAGCCAAACTGAAAATGTCACCTTTTGATTTTGCATTTTTGATTTTTATATCATCTAATTATTTACAGATGAAAACAAATATTTATTTCTTCATTGAGCCAATTCATGATCCTCATTTGTGACAACAGATCTTTCTTTTGGAAGATAGGTGTTTTTTTAAGACAGCTAATTACCAGTATAAAGTTTACAGGGTCAAATCAAAACAGTTTTAAAACTGCGTGCCTCAAAATCCCTAGGAAAGAATTCAAGAAGGTTGCTTGGAAAGAGATGTCCTAGACACAAAGTTGTATCCGATGATGCTTTAACCTACCAGAATGCAGAAATCTTCAGAATGAAATTAGAAAAGTTTTCATTTTAATTAACTTCCTCTGGTTTGAGTGTTCTAAGGCTTAAATCGTAATCATTTCCTGTGATCTATCTTCAGGGCCTAATTGCCTCTGCACCTGGCTAAGAGCCAGGCCTTGATTTTACCAGCTTCCTTCAAGGACTAAGACTTAAAGTATTAAAAGAAAAAATGCTACTGGTCCCACTTGAATGGCTCAGTGTTAATAAACAAGAGCAGTATGGAAACCCTAAAAATCTATTATTCTGGAAGCCTGTCAAATTGTTATTTCCAAACTGAAGGAATGAAAAAGAAATGCTTCAATTCTTTGTTATATAAGCAGCTAAAGTTTAGTTTGATTGGACTTTCAACTGGTGACTGTGGTCTTTGTTATCCTTTGATTGTTTACTCATTCATCCATTCAGGCATTCATTCTACTCTGTGGAAGGTGCTGACCTTCAGTCCTAGACTAGACAGGAACACACACACACACAAAATCCATATTTTTGCCTCATATACTTATTCTAAAAAATTGTGAACAGCATAAATTAGTTACAGTAAGCCAATTTCCTACTCTTAAAAACCTAGTTTTATGAAATCTTTGGTACATGTAAGAAAATGAACAGCAAATGTCATCAACAGATCATTTCACTTGACCACGTAACAGGGAATGTCTGAGTGTGCTTCCTGGCTAAATGCAATTATTATTGAAGAAATTGGCTTGGGCCTTTCAGGTAGGTTGATAGTTAAGCAAAGAAGGCATCCTGATTAGGTAGAGTATCCCATATTTTGTGGTGTGTATAAAGCCCTCAAATATTTCTTGAAGAGTTACTTGATTTCTGAGTAAACTCTAAAGGATATCACCAGTTGACTTTGAAGGGTGATGGAAGTTTTTTTTTTTTTTTTGCTTGAACACACAGAGTAGAATTTCAGTAGTTTTCATTTTTATAACTTTTTTTTTTTTTGCTGAGGTGAAATATCTTTTTGAGCTTGCAATGTCTTTGTACTATTTACTTTGTCTCTTTAGCAGGCATTTCACTATTCCTGAATTCAATAGGGCTGTACACATTTTATGTTTTTCCTCAGATGGGTTTGTGGGTAACAGAGCCCAGGTATCCCAACAGATCTTCAGATTAGCTTTCTCTCACCTGAATAGTTGAAAGCTATATTAGCTGGATACATTCTTGAGTGACATTCCTCTTCTCTCAGTAATATACAGATGTGATTTCACTCCTTTCTAGCTTCTAGTTTTGAAAATGACTGGTCATCCGGTATGAGTCTGGTTACTTTTTCCTATAAGCAATTTGCTGCTTCTGTTTAGAAAGAAACTTTGAGATTTTTCTCTTTATCCCTGTTATCTGCATGGTGGAAATCCTATATAAAGGTGTGTTACTGAACATCTCTTTCCAACTCTGGAAAGTCCAGTATTCAGGACTTTGTCCTGGTAGCGTGAAATCAGCAAGGGAAGTCAGGCTGCAGGCAGGCAAATGATCTTTCTGAAGCAAAAAGCTGATCATACTACTCCACCAATGCTAATCCCACTGATGATTCTCTCCATTTACTGCAGGGCAAAGTCCAAATTATCTACCTTGGCATACAAGGCCTTTTATGACCCAGACCCAGTATCTGCAGCCCTACCTATACACAGTCCCCCAGTCAACAAGGAAACTTTTAGGTGCACCTTTAGGAAAGCACCACAACTGCTTGGTTTGGACCCTGAGATATGCTATTCCTTCTTTGTGGAATACTACCTCCCTCCCCGCCCCCCTCTCCTCCTGCTCCACCCACACACATACACCTTCAACTGGTTATTCCCTATTCAACCTTTACACTTAACTTAAAATTATTCATTTTAGAAAACCTACCTAGTATGCCTAGACCTGGAGTTGAGTTGCCCCTGGATGTTCACAAGCTTAATCAGTCTTATAACACTTCCTACATTCTATTATAATTATCGATTTACTAATTGTTTCCCAGCTAAATACTTGAACACAAAGACTTGTCATGTCCACCACAGTATTCTTGATACCCAACATCAATGTTAACTTAGTGAATACATTAATGTATGGATGAATAAGTGAATAAAAATTCCCCTGATGTTCAAAGGGAAAGGGTAGAGATAAAATTGATGAGAGAAAAAAAGACAAAAAGAAGAAGATCCAGGTTGGTAATTTGGATCCAAAGAGATAATCGATCACTCTAGGGAAGGCCACGGCAAATAGATCAGAAGCAATAAACAAGGAATAACAAAACTATCCAGAAAGGAAGATATAATTAAATCCACAAAGCAAAATTATTATTCAAACAATGCCAATTTTTGACTTTAAAAATAAATCTTACTAAGTCATCATGGATTATTCTCTTAATATGTCTGATATACTTTTTTAAAGATTTATTTATTTATTTTGGTGGGGGGAAGAGGGAAAAGGAGAGAGAGAATCCCAAGCAGACCTCCTGCTGAGCGTGGCGCCCGATGCGGGGCTTGATCTCACGACCCCAAGATCACCACCTGAGCCGAAATCAAGTCAGACGCTTAACCCACTGAGCCACCCAGGTGCCCCATGTCTGATATTTTTGACAAAAAATTATCCTTATATTTACTAATGAGATTACACTACCAATTTTACAAATTACATTACATTCCCTCACGTGTTAAATATGGTTTGAACTGCCCTATAAAATCCAGGTACAAAAATAGTCACCACTTCCTGTCTTTCAATGCTTGCTCCTACTTTATTATTAGCAGGAAGTTTAGCTTTGCAATTTAAGCCCCCCTCCCCACCCATCTTGGATTGATTATTAAAAAAAAAACCCAAAAAACCTTCAGATGACTCAGTCCAAAGAAAGTCAGTTCAGCTTTCAAGCCAATCATAAAGGAACCTAGGAAGTCAAAGTCCACCATTGCTATGATACCTGATAAGAAATACTGTCATTGCTCCTGCAAGAATGCACTGCTGAGCCATTCTTCCAGTTCCAGTGCCTGAGCTGATGGTCTTCCTGCCACAGCAGTGACCAAGCTTGGTCTCCACGAGCTCTAAAACCATTTGCTAGCCATTGGTGCTCAGGCCATAGAAACTGTGTCCACTCCTACATTAAAAAGTCATCCATAGGCACCCCTTGAAATCTCTGCCCACTTGTCATCACTTTTATAAGTGTCCTATTTCAAATGGCGTTAGGCATCTACTGCAATAAAAGTTTTCTTTTGACTTTGTGATGTGCTATATTAATATATTTACTTATATCAAACACATAATTCTTTTACTATATTGCAGCCAATTGCTAACATCTCATTTAGGATTTTTTAAATCTATGTTCCTTAATCTCTGTATGCACTTTTCTTTTATGCTAACATTGCCAGGTTGTGACGTTAGTATTATAGTAACTTTCTACAATAATTTGATAGATTTTTCTCGTATTGGAACATTTTATAAAATCTGGAAATTTTATCTCTTCCAAGACCAAAAGAATGTATCCATAATTCTACAATGACTTTTAAATTTCCTGGTTATGACTACCTTCAGATTTTCTGATTTTTCAAATTTGGTAAATGGTCCTAACATTTTTTCTAAAGATTTAAAAAATTGTAACTGCATAATTACATATTATTGCATTTTTATTTCAATCTACTGTCATAACTCCTTTACCATTCCTAATTTTGTATGTTTGTGCCTTTCTTGTCTTTTAAAAATTAAAATTCCACTGATTAGACTACCTTATAAATGTTAAGACCAACTATTGACCTATTTTTAAATTCTAGCATTTGTGGTATGTGTATTCTAACTTATTAATTTCTGCTTGTACATGGTTGTTACTTTATCAGCTATTTTTCTCTGTTTTCTGTAGTTTTTGTGTTTCTTTTCCAAAGTCTTGAGTTAAATGTCTAGCTCATTCACTTTCATCCTTTTTATCTAATGGAGAGAGATAACTCTATGAGTTTACCACCGAGCACGGCTTTGGCCAAAGCTCATATACTCTATCAGGAAGTTGTTTTCTAATCTGTCTCTATGGCTACTTTTCACTCTTTAAGTGAAAAGTTATTGAATTTTTTTTTAGATGTCCTATCGGATTTTACTTAGTCTATTGTTAATTGCATTTTAGTCAGAATAAATCCGCATAATTTCTGCTTTTGAAATTTGAGATTTATTTGTGTGGCCTGACAAAAGATCATGTCTGTCAGTATTCCGCAAATATTTGAAAACAGGGTTTATTCTCTCCATGTAGGGTACAAAGTACACTGTTTGCTATTAGGAACATTCTTGTCAATTATATTATTAAGATACTCTGTATCCATGTTTTTGTCTTTACTCAGTCAATTAAAAGAATATAAAATATAAATTAATAAGTTTGTTTTAATAGATACACAGAGGACTTTGCACTCTACAGAGTGATACGAACATGGCATCTTTTGGTTTCCAGGGTAATGCAGATTTTGCCTTGTTTTCATATTGCACTGACCTTTTTAATAGGAGTTTGACAGGAGCTCAATTTTTGGATGAACTAACTTCTCATTTGTGTCCTTATATTTCCACTCTTCATCATCTTCTATTATTTTTGTTTTCTTTGTAAATCAACAGTAAATGTGTATAAAAGCTCAGCTTTTGATGATCCTGACGTCAAATACAATTTCATGAAATTATTTCATTTAATAACTTACTTAGGTCCACAATCGTCAGGTCATAAACAACATGATGCAGTGTAAAGAGCACCAGCCCAGGATCTGCATTTGTCTTGGAAGAAATAGTTCCTTTCCCTGGGTCTCGTCTTTAAAATTCTGTGATTCTGTAAATTGGATTGACTTACAACTGGATCTCTGGATTCTTACACTTGGACTTTATAGATATATAACCAGGGAGAACCTAATCCATGAAACCATATTCTTAAAATTAAATTTAGTTTACAAAATTTATTTGACTTCAGTGAAGACTGCTTGAATGCAAAGATTGCTTCTTAAACGTTTAAGAATGAATGAAAAGAATTTTGTTTACTTACAGCATTCCCACCCATGACATCCTCAAAGCCAAGCGTGGACATTCCAGACTTGCCTTCCTCTTCCTCTTCCTCCTTCTCTGTCTCACCTACATACTCCATGACTGTAATAATCTCCATCATGTCCAGCTTTGCCATATTTGTGCTTCTTACGGTAACTACTCTTTATTGCTGCCGAAGACGAAAACAATGGAAAAATAAGAAAAGGTGAGATTCTAATTTAAGCTAACCACATGTAGTAATATTTTAAAACTTACAAATTTAATATTGGAATTGGGGACAGGAGGAGAGATATATGTAACACTGCCAGTCTCTATGACATCCATTGCCTTGCTTTAAGATGAAGCACCCCACCATGATCTTTAAAAATATCAGTAACTTTTTGCATAGGATCACGTTCTAAGGTTAATTTTTCACAGCAGATAGGATCTAAACAATAATTTGGAAGAATATGGCTATCCCTGCTCCCCATCTGCCCCCAGCCCCAGCCCCATTGCCATGTCAGATTGGATAGTGACAAAATTCCTAAGAAAAGGTACCTTTTGACTCCCAGACCCAAGAAAATATTTCTTGCTCTAAATCTGAAGGATCTTCAGCTGCCTTAGTATAATTTGTTTTGTTTCCTCCTAACATTGTATCTCTTTAAAACCCAAGCCCGAATACAAAGATCTCACCTGATCCTGAGCTTATCATTGGTCTTCCCTGTCTTCCCTACAGAGAATCTGCGGCAGTAACCCTCACTACTCTTCCTTCTGAGCTCTTGCTAGACAGACTTCATCCCAACCCCATGTACCAGAGGATGCCACTCCTTCTCAATCCCAAATTGCTCAGCCTGGAGTACCCAAGGAATAACATTGAATATGTGAGAGATATTGGAGAGGGAGCATTTGGAAGGGTCTTTCAAGCAAGGTAAAGTTACCCATGTGAAAAATCTTTCCGTGGAAATATGTTGTGTCTGAAAAGTTACCAGACCACCACTACCTTGATGCCTGGGCTGTATGTGTGATAATTATTATCAAATAATTTTTCACATCATTAACCTCATTTTACTGAGGACTGTACCTTGAATCTTAATAATTTTTCCTCTCTGCTGAAAAATAGGGCTGGGTAGAAGGACAGAATCTTCATTTATGTAGTGTTCAAATTATGAGCAATTAGCAAAGTTTAATTATATTTCCTTTTCAGAAAATAATTTTATCATACATTTAATCATAATTTCTTGCATTGTTTTTAGTAAATAATTGTAAAATTTATTTCTCTTCCATTTTCTTTTGCTGTATTCTCCACTCTGTTTAAAATCTACTTTGAACTAGTATTTCCATTTAAGAATTCAGAGCCTGACATGTGTAGATATTAAATAGATGTCCATGGAATGGCAAAGCCAAAAAGGGGAAAAACAATGCAAAAATGACAGAAAACAATGAGCTCAAGGAAAGAGTATGTATAAGGGCCAACGCTAGCCCATTTATTGCTTCTGTGTGAATTGGAAGGAAATACCCTTTCTGCATGGATGTGGCTCACAGACACACAGCTGGGCCAGAGAATGTGGACTTGGTTTTAATCACCAACTGTCATTTTGTCCTGGTGTTGGGCAGGACACAACCTTACTGCCACTCATAGTGGCCCTGCTATGCAGGTTACATGATTAATGAAAATCTCACACAAATACTTATGGGGAACCAAATATATGCAAGGCACCATTTTAGCTTCAGAAGGATATAAAAATGAGTAAGCTATGGTCCCTGCCTTCCAGGAATTTAGATTCTGGCCAGGGATCAAAGGTTTAGGGCGGTAATGACAATCTCATTGGATCTGTGTACTTTAGAATTCCTGACGTTTACAGATAATGCATTTTTCAAACAACCTGTGTTGAAAATAGTCCCAGTGATTTTTATTAATTGGCGTCCAGAAGTTTTAAGTAGTCTACTACTGCCATCTTTCTTTGATTCTGTGGCTCTAGGAAAGGTTGCAAAAGTGGAGGGAATATATATGAATGTGGGTAGATGAATGTGGATACGTATCATGTTCCTGATCGTTGATTTCTTCCTAAATAAATGTATCTCTCAGGGCTCCAGGCTTACTTCCATATGAACCTTTCACAATGGTGGCAGTGAAGATGCTCAAAGAAGAAGCCTCAGCAGATATGCAAGCAGACTTTCAGAGGGAGGCAGCCCTCATGGCAGAGTTTGATAACCCTAACATTGTGAAACTCTTAGGTATGAAAATAGAAATGAAGAAATGTATTGCATTTATTGCAATTATTTACATTTATTGCAAAACGGAGGCTTCCCAAGTTTTCCTTCTTCATCCTGCACTTGTGCCTTTTCCTTTACTTCTTCATCAGAAAGACATCTCTGTTCCTTCCCATATAATATTTTCTGCACCAGGGAGCAGAACATTGTATTAAATTACCTCAGTTCAAAAAACTGGGTTTTTTTTAATTGCTCAGAAAGATATGTTGTCATTTCTTTAATTTTCTCTCTAGAACCTACAAATACACTGATTGCTAAATCCCTGGAATTAAAAACCAGCCCCAAAATAAAAAAGCTAAGATAATGGTATTCATTATTTCTCTTCCTTTTTGAACAGACTTCTAATTTTTGCCTGAAAAAAGAATCCTAGATCTCATAATCTATTTTTACAGTGATGTGAAGTTGTGCCCAAATGATCTAATATTTCAAGGTGTCCTATTTCCCTCTCACATACAGCAAGAATTTAAGATTTGCAAATGTCCTCCTGGCACTAAATGTGAGACTCTATTTATATGAACATTTTTTTTTTCTTTCTAGAACCAACATTGTACCTATATTTTGAAATGTTTCACTGAGTACCTCACCTAAGATTTTGGATTGTTTTTGCCATCCTTTCCAAATTTCATACAACATCTTCCTTATCATCCTTCTCCACAGAAGGAGCAGAAACACGGAACATTACATGCTCAAAGCAAGCATCCATTCCTAAATTCACTCACCAAACACGTACCAAGCACTTGCTGTACCAGACACCTCGTAGGCGTGTGGGATTTAAAAAAAGAGTAAGACATATTTCTGCTTTCGAAGTGCTAACATGTCGGAGGAGAAACCTCAGACAAATAGGTGATTGTCACGGGATGGCAGGTCCTAGGCCGATAGAAGGAACATCTGATGGGTAGTGGGGGGAGCCCAGGCATTCTAGCGGGAGTGACAGATAAGCCGAATCTTAAAAGGAAAATGGGAGATGTTGACACACACAAATGGGGTCAGGGTTGGGCTGTGATGCTGTCCACAGAAAGCCAGGGCCCCCTGTTTTCTGGTCTTGGTCCTTGGCTTCTTAGGCACGGTAGACACCCCGCCTAACAAGGCCCGTGATGTCGGTTGCAGGCGTGTGTGCAGTCGGGAAACCCATGTGCCTGCTCTTCGAATACATGGCCTATGGCGACCTCAACGAGTTCCTCCGCAGCATGGCCCCGCACAGCGGGTGCAGCCCCAGTCACGGCGACCTGTCCGGGAGGGCCCAGGCGTCCAGCCCTGCCCCGCCGCCCCTCTCCTGCGCCGAGCAGCTCTGCATCGCCAGGCAGGTGGCCGCCGGCATGGCTTACCTCTCGGAGCGCAAGTTTGTGCACCGGGATCTGGCCACCCGGAACTGCCTGGTGGGCGAGAACATGGTGGTGAAAATCGCCGACTTCGGCCTCTCCAGGAACATCTACTCGGCGGACTACTACAAAGCCAACGAAAACGACGCCATCCCCATCCGCTGGATGCCCCCCGAGTCCATTTTCTACAACCGCTACACCACCGAGTCGGACGTGTGGGCCTACGGCGTGGTGCTGTGGGAGATCTTCTCGTACGGCCTGCAGCCCTACTACGGCATGGCCCACGAGGAGGTCATCTACTACGTGCGCGACGGCCACATCCTCGCCTGCCCCGAGGACTGCCCCCTGGAGTTGTACAACCTGATGCGCCTCTGCTGGAGCAAGCTGCCCGCCGACAGGCCCAGCTTCGCCAGCATTCACCGCATCCTGCAACGGATGTGCGAGAGGGCGGAGGGGACGCTGAGCGTCTGAGGGCGCAGGGATGCCCAGGGAAACGCCGCGGTCCCCTCTCGGCCTCTCAGAGGCCCCCGCCCGGGCTCCAGACCCGGAGGAGGGCTGGCGGACGCCAGGAGCATGCGCGGTCTGTGTCTCGGCCAGAACCGAGCCTGCGCAGAACTCACGCGGAAGCCCCACCCATCCGGGGTCCACCATTGCAAAGGCCGCCTAAGCTTCGTGTCCGGAAGAAGATGGCATCCTCTTCGGTCCCTGAATTGGCTGGCGGCAGAGTCAGACTGTGATGCGTTAAATTTTAATACGAAATGTGATACAGAGCTTCATTTTTAATAGAGTAATTCCCGTCCATTATGAAAGTATCTTCCTGGGAGACATTCAGGTCAAGTACAGAACGCTAAGAAGGAAAAACTATTCATTGTCTCCCCACCTAAAGATGGGTGCTGGTGTTTGTTTTTCTTATTGAATTTATTTCTCGCGTTTATGCCTAATTTTATATTTGTAATCTACAAAGTTGTGGCTATACTTTATTGAGAGGGCTTCTAAGGAATAAAGTGACAAATTAGTAAGGCTGTATTCTGATTGTGATTTTTAGTTTCCTTTTCTGTCTCTGCTGCTTCTCCTGTGGAAGTTTTCCCTTTGTGTGCCCTTGCCATAAATTTCATCTGCTTATTTTATTCCTACAGTTTTTCTGAAAAAAACTTTGTCTCATTAATTTACCTTTTTCTTTGAAATTTTTATTGGTATCTTTTCCTTTGCTTTAATTTTATTTCTTTCACTTTCCAGGACTTTGTCTTTTTTTGGTTATCTGTTTTTTTTCTTTTTACCTCATATATACAATGAATACCCTGACAGAGTAGCAACTTTTAAAGTAACACTGTAGGATGTATGTAACTTTTGCAAAGTAATACCGTTTTCTTCTGTACTGGCTTCTGAAGCTATGCATTTCAAATTTGTCATCCATTAATTTATTGCCACAGACTATTAAATCCCTTAAACCATAGTTTACGAGATGTCACAAGATGGTCTTGTGGCTCTGAGTTATTTAAAAGTTGATGTTTTTGTGCATTCTGACATTTTTTCTTGCTAGAAACCAATACCATAGGCAGTAGAACTAATATAGTGTTATTTATCAACTTTTTGCAGGGCTACTAACCCAATCTTGTTACATTTTGATTCTGGAAGCAAACCAACCAACCAACCAACCAACCAACCTCCAGAACTCAGATCCCTGGTGCACAGATTTTTCAGAGGACCTGCCACATGATACATCTTTTTCTAAGGTCAACGTGAATAATATGAATTTTTTTCTGAAATGGTATGAACCCAAATTCTCCTGAAAAAACAAATAAACGGGGAAGAGAAAATAGCAATCTACTGTAGACCAACTTATTTTAATTCAAACTAATTGGTAGTTAGGACATGGAGAAATGGTCTGAATTCTTAAAAGTAGATTTTCAACTGTCTGCTGGAAGAATCCACCTGAAATCTCCAAATCTGCCTCCATGCAACAACTTGTCCTCTTTACTGGAAAACCTGCCATTTCTTGTTCATAGTCCCTCTGGGCAACCAAGACAAAAACATAGAAATTACCCTGGACTTTGCCCTCTTCTTCACCCCTGACATTCTATCAGTTTTACTTTCTAAAACCCTCCTGCTCATGTCCCTTGCCTTTCGATCCAACTGCCCATTACTCAGACTCTATCACAACCTTCCTTCCATTTCAGTCCCAAGCAGATTCCATGGCTATGACAACAGGAGGACATGCTTATTCAGAGTTCCAATTCATCATAGAGAAGTCATAATTCAGTATTGAGACGCAGAGGGGTGCTTTGGATCAAAGTCAGGATTGTAAGTCCAAAATTAAGACAGTCATCCAAAGGGCTAGTTGAAGAATAAGGTTGTAGCCTGTGTCCAAAACAAAAGGCCAAGAGGCCAATAAAGCAGAAAAGCTGGAGAGGGCCAGCATCCCGTGTGGATCTTTCGTGTAGTTATCCATGGCATCCTTAACCTGGTTCAGACATGCGTGCCATATATGCTCTGCAAACTTCTAAGATGTTTTCAGGTTTCTTCAGCTGAGAAAGTTTTATTATAAAAGAAAGACATGGAAATCAAGCCAACCAGAAAAGCCAGCCCACAGAAAATCAGGGTCAGGACAGGTACTCAGTACCCAGCGTGTGGCTTGTGATGCAGGAGTCATGTTGCCCCTCAAACCAGGTGTCCATAGCCTGGTTCTATCATCTGCCACTTTGAGCTCTTTTCTGTTTCCCTCCTACTGCTGAATCACTGCCCTTACTTTCCTGTCTCTTCCTCATGGCTTCTACAGCCTCCTGGATTCCCTGTCTGTGTGTTTTAGGCTCTGATAGTCAAGATCCCAAAGCAAACAAATCATAAAGATATCAGGAAGTACAGTGAGTGAACGAGTAAGCAAGTAAATATGATGGAAACCATTCAATTTTATTAAATACTTAAAGTAACTGAAAACGAAAATAAGCAGAAATCCCCTTATAATAATGGTAGTCATAAAAATAATACTCTCAGCTAGCGTTTACTGAATGCTTACCATATACATTCTAAGGCCTCTAAATATAGTATCTTTAATTGTACACTATCCCTGCAATGTCAGTACTATTGTTATATGCCCATTTTTAGGTGAGGAAACAGGCAAAGAGAGATTGCGTAACTGACCCAAGCACACAAAGCAACAGAGCCTAGTGTATGACCAAAAGAGGCTGAGCTTTCAATCACCATACTGTGGTGTTGCCAATGATTGTAGAGGGAACAACTGAATCTCGATGACTCTATGGAGGTGATTTGTAATTTGCATGGAGTTTCAAAGCACACACTATACCCCTTATACTATTAATTTCCTCTCCAAATCTTAAATAGCAAAAAAAGTATATTTTGGCATTGTTGATTTAATCAAAAGATCAAATAAATGGCAGATTTTGTTGTTGTTGTTGTTGTTGTTAGTTCTAAGTACATTTTCAAGTCATGTAAGGTTATTTGCTCTGTGCTCATGTTAAGGTTCTGTATCTCAGGAACACAGACCCATTACATACCAGTACTGTTTTCTTTGTTAAATGTAGATCTTTCCCATTGTAAAATCACTGTATACATTCATAAGGAGAGACAAGAGAGAGACCGAGCATCATTGTTACCAAGTGTTGGAACAAGCACCAACAAGCCATCTTAAGTGGTTGAGTATCAGATGTGACAAGAGCACCAGGGTGTTGCAGGTGGCACCGAAAAAACGCATTCCCTGGTTTGTAAAGAAGCAGAAAAAGAACACTTCTTTCCATTTTGCCATATGTTATAAACCGTTACATGTCATTAACCTTTCTTCTAAAGTCCAATTTAATTTCTGAATAATATTCCAATTTATGGATATACCATAATTTAGTTAATTTATTTTTGAACATTTGAGTCTTTTCTAATGTTCACTATTACAAACAATATTGTAATGGTCATCCTTATTTGCACATGTCCATAATTATCTCTTTATGGAAACTCTGAGAAAGGGAATGTCTGGGCCAAATGGCATGTACAACATTAAGGCTTTTGTTATGTATTATCATATTCTCTAGAAGTATTGTTCCCATCTGCATTGTACAAATGATCTCATAGCCCTAAACATTTGCTGTCACAGAGAATTCTCTACTTTTTAGAAGACTTGTCTGTTGGTGATAGAAAAAGATTATCTCATTTTGATTTTATTTTTTAAATTACTAGTGGGGTTGAATTTTTCTTGTTCCTAGGTCATTTATGGTTTTTATTTTGAGAGTCATCTAGAGCCCATTTTTCTGCTGTGTTGTTCATTTTTCTAATTGACTTGCAAGAGTAATTTTATGAAAAGAGTATTAATCCTTTGTCATAGTTTAAACAAAAGGGAAAAAATATACACACTTTTACCTTAAGATAACATTTACTTTATTGCAAAGCAATACTTGTTTATTTTTTGAAAAGAAAAAATAATATACAATAATATACAATGTACAATAGAGAAAATGAAAGAATACCAACCAGTGGTAACTAACATTAACATCATGATATTGTTCCAGCTTTTTTCAGATAGATGCATAAGTAGTAGGTAAATAGATAAATGATAGCTTGAGAGCTAGCTAGCTAGATATAGAGAATCATTTTAAAGGAAAACAAGATCATACTATTATTTTAAGCTTTGTTTTTTCACTGAATATATCATAAACATCTTCCATATCAACAAGTATTCATGTGCAACATCACTTTTGGTGGTTGAATAATATTCTATCATATGGACCTACAATATTTAACTATTATTTCATTGTTGGACATTTATTTTTATTTTTCATTATAAATACAATATTCTATTAATCTTTTTGCTAAATTGTGTGAATATTTATCTCAAGTGATTTCTTTAGATATAACTTCTAGAAATGTAATTTCTAGATCAAAGGATATAATATACTTTTAATGCTTTTTAAAATATTGACAAGTTATCTTCCAGAATTATTTTATCAACATATACATCTTTCAACTAGATAAGAATGTGAGGCTGTTTCTTTCAAATTCTCCAGTATTGAGCATTTCAATAGTTGCAAATATAATAGCTTAAAATTTTTATTTTGTAGCTTATGCTTACATTTCTTTAAATGAGATATCGTTGAATATTTTTTTAATGTTTTGAGGATAATTGATTTACTCTGATTTGCCTCCTACTATTATTTTTCTATTGGGTGTATCTTTTTCTTGTTGCTTTGGAAAAGCACTTTATATATTAAGGAGTTAAATTTTGTCATACGTGATTCAACCACTTTTATCACATCGAAAATGTGTATTTCTATTTGTCTTTTACTATAAGAATTTATTAATCAGGAAAGAATGTTGAATTTTTAATCTATTGAGATGACTGTGGCTTTTTCCTTCATTAATCCATTAATAAGTAGAAATGTATGAATTGATTTCCAAATGTTGAAATATCTTTATGTTCTGGGAATAAACTCTCTTTGGATGTGTCACATCAATCTTTTAATTTACTACCAAACCTATTTTGTTAACATGAATTTGCATCAGCATTTATAAGCTCATAAAACTAAAAGTTTATCATTTTCTTCTTTGTTAGAATTTGGTTATCAGTATTACGATAGTTTCAAAAACTTAGAGGAGTTTCTTCCTCTATGATCCTGGTGAGTTTATTTTAAAATAATGGTTCCTTATTAATAATAGCACTACACACACCTATTTTTTTAAACACTCCTAAGAAGGGTACAAATAAAAAATAAAAGATCCCCTCTTCTGATTCATCTCTAGTCCTAGCCTAAGTGCAAACCACTTTACCCATTTCTGGTTTCAGCTCTTCTGGTGATTATCACTGCAACTCTAACAAATACACTTACTTCCTAACAAATATTCTTTCTGAATCGATCAGTTAGAAAAGGTATGTAATATCTCCCTTCATAAAAGATGGGCAGTTCAGAACACTTTTACTCAAACTCCTCTCAAGTTTCTGAGATATGTTAGTTAACTTACTATCAGTTATATTGTCTATCATTATACTTTAAAAGATACACTTAAAGATCCACCACTGCTTCTGGACTATGGAAGATACAGTTAGAGCTCCAACACTTCCACTACTTTTTCCCTCCCCCTTGCACGTTGTCAGCTGTACACCTGTTTCTATGCAGTCAGGGTCTATAATATTTGCATTTGGTTCTGCAACAAATTAAGATTTGAGTGTTGACAATAGGTTGATTCTAATCCTGAAAAAAAGAAAGATCTACAATAACACGATGATGTAAATAAGTATTGCCAAAGTAATAATGATATTCAATTATTTCGATTTTATAATGTATTTTAATATCCATTAATTCTCATTTCCTCTATTTTATGGATAAAGTATCATTTAAAATGTCAGAGTTTTTATGTGCTTTTTTTTTTTAAGATTTTATTTATTTATTTGACAGAGAGAGACACAGCAAGAGAGGGAACACAAGCAGGGGGAGTGGGAGAGGGAGAGGGAGAAGCAGGCTTCCCATGGAGCAGGGAGCCCGATGCGGGGTTCGATCCCAGGACCCTGGGATCATGACCTGAGCCGAAGGCAGACGCTTAACGACTGAGTCACCCAGGTGCCCCTCTTCTGTTCTTTACATTACTTTTTTCTTCCTTTCTTCTGCCTCTCCTCTCTCATGGTTTTGTTTTCCACAAATGTCTTGTGATCATTGATTTAATACACATAATTACAAATGAAGAGCTGTTTTGATTCATATTGGTAACAAGAGCGGGCTTCCTCTGCGGATTTGTTGGTCTGTTCATGCAGCAGGTCTCTTTTTAATGGAATGGCTACCTGTGGGCTCTGAGTATGTGGTTCGTGGGGAGGGCGTAGGCAGGCTGAGTTAGAACTCCCACAGTTGCCAAAGTGATGAAAAGCCTCTACGCTGAGGATAGAATACTTCAGTATATTTCACTTCTGGAGAAAGCTGTTTTTCCTTCACCTCTTTAATCCCCTGTGAGAGTCTAAGATTCTTTCCATATTCTACTCTGTCTCTCTACCTAGATTCAAAACTCCAACCAAGGGCCTCTTCCAGGCAAATCTTCCAACCTATTCAGAGAGCATTTCATAGGGCTCCCGCTGCTGGTGAAGCCTCTCGGTCCCCCTGTTCTGTATGCAAGCCTCTCGCTCACCACCCTGATTGACAACCCACAGCCCATCCCTGCCCTCTGGAAGTGCTGACTCAGAGCCTGGAGTCTTTACTCTGGTGAAACCACTTCCCACCTCCCCTGACAGCTGGCTCAAGCGTCCTGCACGGTGCGCTTTACTGTTTCCTGTGCGTTATTTATGAATAAGAATATTAGATACCGGGGCGCCTGGGTGGCCCGGTTGGTTGGGCGGCTGCCTTCGGCTCGGGTCATGATCCCAGGGTCCTGGGATCGAGTCCCGCGTCGGGCTCCCTGCTCGGCGGGAGGCCTGCTTCTCCCTCTCCCACTCCCCCTACTTGTGTTCCCTCTCTCCTGTCTCTCTCTCTGTCAGATAAATAAATAAAATCTTTAAAAAAAAAAAAAAAAGATTGCAAAGATTTAAAAAAAAAAAAAAAGAATATTAGATACCTTCCTGCCTTCCAAACTTTGTCAAAGTGATGGCACTTAGATTGGTGTCAGCACGTATGCAGATGTATTCTTATTCATATACACGGACTGTTGCATCAGCGAAATCTTGGGATGAAAGGAAAGGGTTCAGGTCTACCATTTTGATCAAGAAGGCTTTCTGGAATCATTTTAAATAGCTCAGAAATAACCTGCTCCTCCTTAATCTTCTTTGTTGGATTTTTCTTTCCACCCTCTTCTCCCAGCCCCCGAATATTAGAACATGCCCCAGCCCAATCCTTGGGCAGCATCTCTCTCTTATCTATACTCTCCCCTAGTGATCTCATCCAGCCATCTCATGCAAGGCTATAAATACCACAAAATGCTGAAATTTTTATCTTTAGCTCCATCCTCTCTCCCCAGCTTCATACTCACATTTCTAATAACCTGTTATAAATGAGCTTTAAATCCTCCTCCCCGTCCTCTCTGCTCTATTTCTGGGCCTGATCTAGAAGCAAAGCTGAAAACCTCTACACAGCTTGCTACTGTCTTTTGTGTCAGGGAAGAGTCTCAGAGCCCCTCCAGAATGAGTGCATGCTTAGTGTCCCAGTGCTGTGGACTTAGATACTCATTCTCAAGAGGGCAGATCTGGCCTGGTTCAATAATGTCCAATATCCTCACCCGTTCCCCTTACAGCTGGCAGGAATTCACCAGTTTCTTGCCTGTACCTGTTACCCATTCCTGATTTGCAACACTGGTGTGCATGTTTCCTTTTTAATGTGGTCTATGTGTCACTCTATGGGGATTCAGGAGGCGAGCACCTGATGCTATACTCAACTCCCCTCTTCAGCCACAGTCTGCCTTCCTGCGGGGAGGGTTTGCCGGTCCTTGTGCTTTCACATCTTTACAGCAAATGTATTTCAGGTCACTATTCTTTTATTTGTTTCAGATTTATTTAAGTAACACTGTCACCAAGATGCATGCATTTATGAACCTTACTTTTGGTACCGATCACCGTAGAAACAAGTAGTTTTCAGTATATTATTTCAGCGTATTATGTAATTATATGCAGAAGAAAATATGTGTCTAGATGTTTGCCTTGCCTTCTAAAAGATCATCTCAGTATAAAGCAAAATAAAGATGAAGGAAAATAATTACATGACTTCTAAACCTTTACATTCTTCCTTAGTGAGTCCCTCTTCATTAAAAACTTCTAAGAGATTCACAAAGGCCAAGTTTTTCTTATAAGCTTCGTCATCATACCTGTAATTACACAAGTCGCCATCATTACTCTTTTCTCAAACCACAGCCTCTGGAAAGGTTACGCCATATTTAGAATTGTGCCCCAAAGAAGAGAAACCACCTGCACTGTCTAAGGTTATGTCAGAGATGTTAACCACAAAAAAACCCGGACTTAGATACACACTACCGTTTGCTGGGTGTGCTCTTAACTATTTAGAGCTGTGATTAAAATTAGAAGCGTTGGCGTGACACTACTTTCTGACTTTCTTTTTTAGCAATGTTAGCACCATGGTGCTTGGTATGATGCCTCTTATTTCAACTGATGCTTTACACAAGTATGGACCAAATATACGATTTAAGGTCAACTCCATTTTTGCTTCCTGGTTTTTTTTTTTAATTATTTGGATGTATTATATTTAAGGATCTTAAAAGAGTCCATTAAGTATCATGTGTTCATTCATTTTATCTTTGTTCATTTAAGTCACCTTCCCAGGAGACTCTGAAGATCATCCGGTCCCATATCACTCTGTTCAGGTCGCTTTGTTTATGGCAGCCTAAAAAAAGAATCACCCTGATTTCAGTCTATTCCCCAAAGCCTCTCAGAAGGGATAGGCAATGAGGAATAAAACCACTGAAGAAGCAAGAAAGACCTACAGAGGAGTGACATTGAGAGAGCAAAGAACCATGAGTAAACTCAGTTTCTAAGAAGGCAAAGAAGACCAGGAAATGCCTGAGAAGTCACAATTTTTAAGATAATTTTTAAAAATAAGCCTCTAATATTTTAAGGAAAACATATTTATCTCAGTTTCTATGGCTGACAAACCCAGTTTCCAGTGATCAGTTTTACA